AGGGCTGTTCCTGTATACAAAAGAAAGTAGCCTTCTTTCAGTCTAGGCCCAAAAAAGTAGAAGACAACGTCTACAAATTAAGATATTCTGACATCGGAGAGCTTCGCTCCACCTCGAATGCCCATACTGGAGACGCAGTCCTTTTGTTGAAGTTCGTTTCTACTTGTGGCGGCAGTTCGGCTCGTCCATCGGGCCACAACCTGTCGCTTCGTAGTCGCAGGAATTGAGTAAGCCGGAGGCCTTTTCGACAACTCCTTTCTTATTCCTTTGAGGGAGCGAAACCCGCCTTGTTTAGCCCAATAACACCTTGTCTAGCTCCAATTCCGGTGGTGCTAGGCGTCTTCGAAAGCCTTCCTGTCATGAGTACGCTCCTCCATCAAAGCAAGAAAAGGACTCGCGCGCGTAGCACTATCATGCTGATTCTTCCTTCACTTCCTCCAATCCAGTCTCGCATGACACACTCCGTTTTGCGCGCCCGCCTCAAAAGCCGAGAACACGCGTTCCACCTGTCCTGGGAAGCCTCCACTTGATAGGGCCAGTTCGATAGTTCAGCTTCATCTACTTCCAATAGCTGCACGGCTTACATGCTGGCATGCTTCACATCGCGCACACATCGACCCTAGGCAACCATCTTTAGACTTTCCTCCCATCTTTCGACTTTTCTCCCATCTTTAGATTTTCCTCCCATCTGTAGGTTTTCCTCTCATCTTTAGACTTTCCTCCCATCTTTAGATTTTCCTCTCATCTTTAGACTTTCCTCCCATCTTTAGATTTTCACTTTCCTCCCATCTTTAGACTTTCCTCCCATCTTTAGACTTTCCTCCCATCTTTAGATTTTCCTCCCATGCATCGCCATCTTTAGACTTTCCTCCCATGCATCGGCATCTTCAGACTTTCCATCCATGCATCGCCATCTTTAGATCTTCCGCGCATGTATCGCCACCTTTAGACTTTCCCTCCATACATCGCAATCTTTAGACTTTCCTTCCATCATCTTCAGGCTTTTTAGATTTTTTAGAATTAGGACAACGCCCATGTATAGAGGATAAGTGACATTTTGGCACAGCATAGCTCCATCATTCTTTGGATTGTACTGCTTGTTATGCACGATATAACGAACTAACTAGAAGAACTATTTTTCAATGAAGAATACTTCTTGTTGCCAACTTATTATTGCTGATCTGTGAATCTATATTTCGGCAGTCTCCCCAAAATTCCCAACGTATCATCACATTTTCTTTCTTACATAAGCAGCTGCATGTGCAAATTTGGGCAAAGAGGTTGGACAAATAAAGCATGACAAAGAAACAGAAAATACTACAATTGAGTTCGGGGCTTTCAGTGAGATGTGGGCTGTTGTCGGGGTAAAAAGCTGGCTCACCACACATCCTACTTCACCTATTATAAAGCCTCATCACGAACATCGCACATATCCGGGGTATTCACTGGCGTCAGCAAGAATTGCGCAAGGGTAGATGGACGGCCATCGTCTCAACCGACATCCGGGGGGCATATGACTCCGCACAGCTCCCCACTCTCATGGATCGCATCCGGGCGGTCAGGATCGAGCCTACGTACGCAAAATGCCTCTGGCGGTGGCTCGCCAGTCGCTCGTTCCGAATCCGAATCGGCCACAGAGAGCGTCGATATATGCCCGCCTTGACGGGCTTACCGCAGGGAGGAACCCTCCCGCCGGCGCTGTGGAGTGTCCTCGTCGACGACGTACCTGAAAACCTGAGCAAGCCAAGGCTACCATCCGGCGCCCGCAGCGCCATGTTCTTCGCGGACGATGGAGTGATCGCAGTCTCTGCGCCATCGCAAGACCTCCTCCGCCTGGAGTTACTCGGCACCGAGGAGGATATACGCCGAGAAATGACAAGGAAACAGCTCCACCTAGACCCGCACAAGACCAATATACTCGTGTTCCACTCGTCGCTCGTTGGGATCTCGATTCATCGCCAGGGAAGAAGCCACCGCGCTCCCATGACCCCAAGACTGGCAAAAAGAGGCGTGCAAGAAATGGAGACCATGGAAGGGCTCCCGTACCGACAGGCGCCGCACATCCGCATCCTGGGGGTATGGATCGACCACGAACTAAGCTTCGAAGAGCATGCTCGGCGCGTCATCGATAAGGCCAGCCGTCGGACGCCGATACTGCGGACTCTCACCAACTATAAATGGGGCGCTACGCCCCACGTCCTAAACCAAACCGCCCGGGCCTTGATTACGCAGAGTGCCACCTTTGGCGTAGCGGCGTGGGGAGCATACGCCACGGAAACCGCTATGCGGAAAGTGAATACGCTGGTCCTAAACCCCGCGCAACGACTCTGCGTGGGAGTACCCCGGACGCAGCGCTTAGAGACGCTCCGCATCCTCGCCCAGAGTGCCAGCATTTTCACGGCTTTTCGACGAGCTTCGGCGGTGATGATCGATGCATCGCTTAGAGGACCCGACACCTTACTGCGGCGGACCTTAGGGAAAGCTACCGGCGCCACGCATGCGCGAGAGTATGAACGGTCATGGGTGTCCATACCCTCGAGGCGTCCAGTCCTGAACACCTTCCTGGAGGGTGAGTCGCCCCTCATCCACCGCCTTCGAGGGTTGGAAGTCAAGGCGCATTACATTCCCGCTGGACCGGAGAGATCCTCGCCTCCTCGCCTGACGCCCACACGAGAGGAAGCTCCGGTGCCCGCTTTCCATAGTTTCGCTCCGGAATTAGACGGAAAGTTCGCCTCTTATCCCTCAAGTGAATGGATCACCTTGGGGACGCAGCTCCTGCGGCTCACTGGTTGGAGTGCTAAGGACATCGAGCCGCTTGTACGAGTGCCCATTATCGGCACTGGTGCGGAGCGGATTGAGTTCTTATTAGAGATGCCCCCTCTGGATGTGCTCGACGGCTTACGAGACAAGGAGACAATTGTCGGCGCCTCCGACGGTTCGCTACGCCGCAGCACCACCGACACGACGGGGACTGGGGCATACCTTATATACGGCGACGCTGTGCCTGCGTGCGCTGCTGGATACCGCTGCATTGGGATTCGGCCCGCTTTCGGTGCGGAATTCCTTGGTTTCTCGGAGCTCATAAATAAACTGGCTACCTTGCCCTTTCGCGCAGGCGAGCGCATCCTCCTCCTCGTGGATAGCCTCTCCCTCCTCACCCGGCTGGAGACGCTCCTCGGGTCGGAACTCCACGGCAACGCGCGCGAGATAAAGCTAGCACGCGCGCTAGAGGGCATCGCAAATCGCTGCACCACCCTCAAGTTGGTTCACGTGCGGTCACACATAGGAGTGCCAGAAAACGAATACGTGGATGGGGTCGCAAACTGGATGCAGCAGCTAATCCCAGCGGGTCCGGAAGAGAGGGAGAGCTATAAACCGCACCACGAGGAAGTCAAAGCGGCAGTCACTGCTGCCTTGGAGGCAGGGGAACAGCAAGTACTCAGCGCATTGCGCATCTATGCACCCACTTCGTTGGAGGACCCTCTGTTCCCCTCCGTTTCGTCTGGGATTTTTGCCGATCTGAAACTCGACCGCCATAAAGTGGCGCGAATATATCGCCGCGCCCGCGAGCGAGGCATGTCGCGCGATATGGCCTGCACATTGACGTCCATCCTCGGAGGAACCCGCTACAAGTGCCGTAGAGAGGGCGGCTTAGCCGGCGTGTTGTGTGCTGTCTGCGGAGAGGACGTAGACTCGTGGCTCCACTCACTCCATTGCACGGAGTTCGACCCTGATTTTGTGAGGGAAAGCGAGGACCACTTCTTAGATTTCGTGCATGAGATTCACCTCGCGTCAGTTGGGACGCCGGATCTGTAGTAGGACGTTAATCACTATTTAAGTGGTTACATATACTTGAACCGTAGGGCCTTCCCTTAGCCGTATCTCCTAATCCATTAGTCCCGAGCGGCCGATTAACTGGCATCCCAGTTATGGGTACCTGCTCGATACTCAAAGACAATATAATTCATATTTTTGCCTGGACTCGACCCGCGGGCTACTTACTGCGTGATAAATGATGCATGAGCCACCCGATTCCATGGGTGACCTTGATACAAACCCTCGCCCACCGCGTTGCCACATGCCCACTCTTACTGCAGTGCGTGTTCACCGGCGATGCGATGTCCCAGTAAATCTACAAGACAGGAGCAATCTGTGACTTGATTGGCCGTAGAACTCGAGAGCCCGATCCTTCGGTTGCATTTCAGCTAGCTCCTCGAGTAGTACCTGTCCGGAGTTGCCTAGCACGAGGGCCCTCCACATATAATAATAATAATATCCGGGGTATTTATCTTGGATTATTTCTTACTATCATTGATGCAAGTATCATAAATGACAGACGGCAGCTTGACATAGACATTGAGGAATCCTTATGGCCTTGTTCAAGCGCCACAAATGACAGAGACAGACCCAAGCCAACAGACACTGATCGATGCGGAACAGAAAAGCAGACTGACTTCACGTTTTGACCCGCTAGATGCGTCTTATCGTAGCTTTGCATGCCTGCTACAGACCCTAATACGCTTTTTTCCACTACTGACAACACGCTCAACCACCAATGGAACTGACAGAAAAATGGCCTTCGACCGAACTGCACTTACCCGGAGGAAGAGACCGAACTCACGGCGCGCTGTGATGTCTTGGAACATGCTATTTTCCTCAGCCCGCTTACAAATCTTCAATTCAACGCAAATTTTAAAAGATACGTAAACTACAGTGAGGTGACTCCTCTACTCTCACAAACGCTGCTTTGATGCGCAGGTCTATTTCAACAGATATTCCATATCTACTAACAGAGTTGGACTCTTCGACCGACTCTAAGAAAGACCTGCACAATTGTCCATCGATCATGACACCAGGACAGTCCGGTCCATGCGACTCAGTTTCAGCCGTCCTTTCGAACTTCAGCTCTGTCTATTTGTGCAGGCATAGCATGAAAAAGCATCATTGTGCAGGCATAGGATGAAAATGCATCATTGTGCAGCCATAGGATGAAAAGGCATAAACCACATTTCGTTGTGTGCCAGAAATAAACGGTTTCTGAAAATCATGAGTGCCCTTTCTCCGATCCAAAAACAGACTGCATAAGAGAGGACGTAGCACATGGGGTCTGCGGAATGAAGCGGTCAGTAGTAACAAGACGGGCCCAATGAATCGATAGACACTACAGAAGGGCTTGATAGTAATTTAGGGTCCACCAATAGCGCTAGTATTACTTATCTGGGAACGTGGATCCAACACATACTAGTCATAAGACGCAACAATCAATAGTGATAAGACGCACGACCAATCACATCTCGCAACGTCCACGCTCTTGTGGAAAATCTCTGTACAGCTACACGTTTCATTATACTAAATTGAGGAACTTCTCTAAGCAAATTGTAAGCATAACCTAGGTGAAGATATCTTGATCTATCTTGAAGTTGATGTGAGGTAGACAAATCGTTAACTTTATGTGACAATTATGGGTTTAGGGAGCCCGTTTCGGTTTCTTCGCTTTCTCGGATAATTTTGGGCTTTTTATCTAATCTGGGATTGCTGTTCATGAGCATCTCGTGTTGTGGTACTACGTGTTCTAAGAGGTCTAGTGAATCACTCAGTTTGCTGAGTTGCCATAAATGTTGCTTCTTGTAAGAACGAACGTAGAAAGAGTGATGGTTTTGAAATGATGTCTTTCTACTTTGCAGTCAAGATAGATGTTGAGTAAGAAAACTAGGAAAGATAAATATACAAGTAGCACGATTAATAAAGAAAGCAGATCTTGTCTCGGAGGACCCTTTCGGTTCCTGTCAACACGCACCATCAGACACTGACAAGTCTCCACTTCCACGTCTCCACTTTCTTTTAGTTTTCCGATCTGTATCACTAGAAACACCGCTCCTTGCTTAAATATGCTTTCTTTTCCTCTAGTATTCCCTCAGTTCTAGATCTACTCATGTGTCTATACGCGCTGTAGGAAAATGAACCTGCATAAATACTAGCCTTCGCGTAAGAACGCACTTTCAATCGTCACGATTCTATTTGTCTTCATCGTGCCTCCGGATCCGACCCGTGCAGCAAGCTTAGACTGCGGTCACTATTCTACTTCTCTTCCTCGGCTGAGCGACAAATTGGCGTCTAGGATCTGCGAGACCGACACAGCCCACGATCAGAACGTAGAGGAAGGCAGCAGAAAGCGAGAGCCATTCCAGGTAGTTTTTTTCGAAATCCTTGCCCATACCACTGTGCACCCAGAGCGCGAAACAGGTCACTAAAACCACATTGAGCACCGCAGCTAGGATTACGAGCAGAAGGAGGAAGAGACAATCCACGTGCTTTTCTCGTCGCAAGGAGGCTCCGCGAAAAAGGTCGATGCCAAGGCAGAGTGTGTGGCCGAATTGGTACACGGCGAAAGATATGAAAGCCACTTTTGCAAGGTCGAGGTGCAGCTTCAGATGATGCCAGGACCACCTGGGTCGCACCGGCTCCGCCTTGCCACAAGACACAACGGAGAGAGCAACGAGGCCCCCGCAGGTGACCAAACCGGTGAGTAGGAGCAGCATATTCGCAACATGAAACTGTCTTCTTGTGGTTGTAGAAGTTGTACCTTTCGAACCAATAATTCCAGAAGTTCTTTCGCCTGATCTGCAGCAGCTCGTAGATGACGTACGAGTGAAAATACTCGGATCTGCTTTCTCTGCACCAGACACCTCTACTTCATCTTCTCCACCACCTCCAGACTCACACGGTGAAGTGCGAGTCCTGCTAACATTGTTGTTGTCCTCACGTACGAGTGATGACACGGGATGCCTCACCAGCAGGGTGAGAAACAGCATCACAGCCAGGAGACAGAAGAGCGGCAACGCGATATCCGAACGGTCGTCCAAGTAGTGCGAAAGGGTCCAATAATAGAAGCTCTTTCCTGGAATCTTCTTGCTCCGCGAGTCCGATAGTGCGACCGTCACAGCAATCGTGACCACAGCCAGAGATACTGTTGCAACGGAGAGCAGCAAAGTGAGCGGAGGCCATGCTAAAAGGTTGCTCGACACGACACTACAGTGTCGCCATGGTGAGGGCTTAGAAGCAACAGGGCTCTGCTCGTTCGCACTCATGGAGCTATACAATATGCCATCCTCGTCTTCTGGTTCACCTTCGTCCACCTGCTCAATACCATCCTCTAAGCAGACCTGCAGTGCTGGCCATGGTACTAAAGGCTGCGGTCCTTTATCGACTTTAGTACCGCTGCTGGTCCTGGTTTGGTGCGCCATAATTGCCGTTTTAGAGTGCTGTACATTCCCACTCTTCGAGTCGCCTAGAATGACAGGTTTGCTCACGAGGAGCTCGTCTGACGTACAGTCATCCTCGTCCAGTAGGGGGTCCTCGTCTATCAGAAAGGAATCCAAGTAGTGCGGTCCACGCACACGCATATAATCATGCTCTTCTTCGTTGCCAAGGTAAGGTGCAAGCGGCGCCATTTTATCCGTCTGCGAATAAATTACTTCTAATTATTTAGCAATAGATAGTGAAAATGAAGATACTTCGCTTCTTCAACAACGAGAAGATAGCCTGCTCCTCAACTAGTAAAAGTATAAGCTTTGCAAGAAGAAGAAAAGTCGCGCATGCCCTCAAGATGAATCAAAGATCACGACAAGATGGCCACGATGATGCAGAATGTTAACAACGTTCCTCAGTGTATGTCGGTGTTGATGAGTCCTCAAAGTAAATTCTCAGACACTCCTAGCTTCTTGCTGTACACGACAAAACAATCGGAAAATGCATAAAAAGTAGAAATTCTGAAATTTTTGATCTAAGTAGTTTCTGAAAAAAAGTTCATGTTTGTCTTTGTCTTTGCATTATAAGGATCATGAAAGAGATGCCGAAAAGCGCACTTTGATAGATTTGTTGTAGTAAACTAGCACTAACTAACATGCAGTTGCACTTGCAGACATGATTAATGACGTCATTAAATTTATGTTTGTGGAGAAGATATCTCACATAGAAGTCGCCCGCTCGAAGATCCGGAAAATGTACTACTCTTCGTTCATCTACTGAAAAAACTTCTACTACACACTAACTTGTTCATGATCCGGAACTTGTTTTTACAGTACTTGAGAGATCTGCGAGAAAATCAATGATCTGGGAAGAACTGTCTTCAAAGATGATCTGGAAGGAACTCTCACTCTCTTCAAAGATGATCTAGGAAAATTTTACTTCAGGGAAGATCTAAGATCCTTCATTTCATTGTTAGATCTTCGTCATTATGATCTTATTTGATCAGACCCCTTTGATATTCGAACGAGCCTTCATACATAGAAGACCATGATCAACAGTATCCAGATCACGAGACCATTCTCAATGCTCATCTGATGATGTGAGTCTCTTCGTATTCTGTCAATGCTTATCCAAGACCAAGATGAGATCTTTCTTGCGTTCAAACAATTTAGAGGTTTGGATCTTGAAGTGCCTACAGGGATCTTTCGGGTTTCAAACCTGCTGCAGTCAGACGCGCTGCTACAGTCTTCTTTTTCCACTTCCTCCTCTTCCCACGGCAGTCTCCGTACCCTCCAGCACGGCCAAAAATAGGAAATTGGCGATACTCTCGCTACAGTAGTGAGGTCGCAATTTTCGCTGTCAAGGCACATCCGGCCAGTGGTCTCCGAAGACTCCGACGCCTCGCTCGGATCAGACCGCTACTTTTGAAGGCGTTGCTCCTTTTGAAGATCTTTCGACCTCCCGTCCTGACAGCACACACTCATCAGACAAGTTTTCAGTACTTATCAGACAAGTTTTCAGTAATTACTCAGTCTCACATCCATGCATAGTACAAGTCCACCTTCTCATTTGTTTTATGGGAGATGGTGGAACCTCTTGTTTCATAGTCCTGCACAAATATCACCTAGTACGCAACATTTGAACTTCTACAACTACAGACGAAACATGGTACGAAAACGAAGCGTTACTACTCAAACTTATGAGTGAGCAGGGTCCAGGTGGGATCGCTAGAGTCTCAAGCGTCCGTAGCAAAATTCGGTCACGGAAGGTGCATTTGGATGAAAAGCTATCTTGATTTTTCGCAGACATCAGGTCACAACTTTTGCAGAGATTGACTACTTTCCGTCGATTAGACGGATAATTGTAGGAAATGCATCCTGGAAGCCTTCATCTAGACGTCTGAGACTCTATGGTTGGACCTACTGCTCCCTCTCTGCTGATTTGACGAAGTTCAAGATTATTAAGAAGAAGCGCTTCTCTTCCGTGGCTTTGACGTCGGCAGAGGGAGCAGAAGGTACGTTGCTTTCGACTTCCTACTTCTTTCATTCCTCTTCCACATGAGTCTGGATGACTTGGTTCAAGATGCATTTCCCACAGCCGCAAATACAAGTACTTCGCAAAAACGCCCTGTACCTCAGCTTTACTAGTTTTCAGCTTCCTTCTTATATTCGCATGTACTATGTATTGGATTCTGAAGATCCCGCCCGTCGCTACGACCGTTCCTTGTCATCTTATGCGTCTCTGCAGCAGTATGAACGGTCTCCCCTGTGTCTGGAGGCAGACCAGCAGGGTCCCTCCCTGTAAACTAACTACACCAACTATACAGTTTTAAATAGAGTATAAGAAGTTGTCCGTCGAGGTCCCTGATCTTGCGTTCTTGAGGAGCACATAACTCTCTAAATGAACACTTTACAACAACACTAACTACTCATACAGTTTATTTAACGGGAAAAGGGTCGTCGTGCCTAGATCCGATCGTACTCTATTAAATGGGAGAAGGAAAAACTACATCTTCGATCCGTAGTGAAAGTCTCCTCTCGTCTTAGCCGGTCAAAGTCCAATGTCCGAAGATGCAACGTCGGATGCTGCTTTAGAAAGAATCCTTAGGACAGGACTCATTCCATCTCATATGATGATGGAGAAGAATTATCCTTTTATCATGTCCTGTCCCCTTTGGTCCTGAACTATCTGTCAAGGATAAGTAGGCCTTTCAATCTTCTTGTTGTACCTCATTTGTAGACCTTATCGATAGCCAATGTCGTGGAAGCATTCCATTCCATGGAGTCTAACCCTGGCTAGCATACCACATACTTTATTCTGAAGAATACATCTGCAATGCAGATGCTCACACGTTAAAAGTACATGATGTTTTGAAGCAAGGATTTGTCTTAGCTTTTGCAAGAGAAGTACTACGATTTCTAAGTATGTCTTTTTGATGGAGCTAAAAGGGTTAATACCCCTTCTAGAATCTAAATTCTTCTAAAACCTTAACTCTTCTAGAGTCCTTGCGTGAATCCAGCTGCCTCAGGCTGAATGTGACTATCTCCTTACCGACTATAGTGCCTAGTATTAGAACGATCCATAGAGAGATAACGTCGTCGCTGAATCTGTTTCGTCTTGCTAGTAGCTTGAGACGTCATGATGATGATAGGGAGAAATGTCTCTAGTTGAGCATCTTGTTTAGAAAGCAATACCACGAAAGATCATGTCTTGGAGAAAGCAATACCAAGACAGATCGCGTACTGAGGAAGATAGATTTTGTTGTTTCGTCATCGGAGGTTTTTAGTTACAATATACATGTAGCCTTAATACTTCTTGCGAATATGCCTCATGCTCAAGCAGTGTCTCAAGCACTGTTTCGATTACAGTAAACGCCCAATCACGCGAATCCCGCACTAACTCTGGTTGAACCCGTCGTGTCTTCAGCAGAGCCTTGGAGCATACTTCTCGCGCTGGCCTATGGAGGGGAACCGCTTTATCTGCTTTTTGATCAATGCCACTGCCTTCTTCAAGATGAGGAACAAGGGCCGCCGCGGCCGCTTCATAATCTGCGTTTTTACAACATAGTGCTTCTGGGTTTTGGTCTTGCTCTTCTTCCTCTGCAATTCTATGGCTACAACTACCAGTACTTGTGCTGGTGCCAACTCCTTCTTTACAACTGGTACACGGAGAACCTCCACTATTGCTTAGAAGGGTATAAGCTGTTCGCAAATGACGCCCGCTTTCGCGCGAAAGGACTGGAGCTTGCCGACTGCTTAAGAAGATCGGGTTCGACCCAACGTGTAGTTAGAAGCAGTAGAGAGAGTGCCGTGTGCATCTTAATAAAACTATGAATGTCAGACAGGAGAGCTTCAACTTCTTTCTGGTTCTAAATTAATTCTGTACCCCGAGATCTGTTGAGTGGATAGCTGTCCCCTTTCTCTTTAGGTGCTCATTGCAGACACCACGCAATAGAGGGAAAGGTAGATTCACATCAGGTGTTGCGATTGACACGCAGGATTCCTTCCGGACTTCAGGGTGACCTGCACCTGTACGTATTAATTTGGAGACTTGCGCAACATATGAATTCAAATCTCTGGATCGCCCCCTCTTGCAATCTGCTCTTCACAACGACCAGGACCAATCATACACATACTCACTTGATGTCACTTATTGGCCATATCACAAACAGTCGTCAGCACATGGCGTCGCACCACAGGCCGTTGAGTCGACGAAAGCGCGAATAGCGATAACAACAAGCTGCTCGAATGTCAAGGTTTTTTCAGCAGTCTCCTGATTCATCGTGACAGAAGCAATGCTGCGACAAGAAGATGTGGATCTTGACTTCAGGTGCCGCAGTAGTCGTGAAAAGTGCATCCTAGGTCGTCGCTGTGCTCTCTTGCGCTCGCTCCGAGCATACCCTTTGAGATGCCACAGCAATTGAAGCGCCCGAAGCCGGCTTACAACTACGGCCTCGTCGAGGTCTGCAGAAATGTTAGAATGATTGATTGATTGACGTGCCTATTCTTGAGGTATAGAGGCTACCAGTTGTGGGGAAGGGAAGAAATTCAGGCTTTTTCCTGTTAGGAGGGTCGAAAAATACTATAAAAAACGGGAAAGAAGGAAGAAGATATGATATATTCCTCACAAAGAAACAAATGACGCATAACATCTGTATCCAATGCTCGTTGTGTTGCACTGCTTCCTTGCTTCTGTTGATCTACTTGTGCTGCAGAGTACTGCAGTGCGTCTGCGTCTCGGCTATCATGCTCTTTTGTTTGTCCGCCATCATGCTCTCTTGCGTCTCCTGCGGCACCAGATCGTTGATACTGCTCATTTGCGTCTCCTCCCTGCGTAACATCACTTTGTTGATCCTCTTTTGTAACCTTGTCGTCGTGCGGATCGACCAATTGCTTTAGCATACTTTCCAGTAGCGACCACGGGAGGTTATCATGTACTCACAAAATGTCAAAGAACGAAGACTACATGGGACTAGAATGTATGAAAGAGGAGAATGAACCAAGTACGGTCTTAATGTGGGGGCTCTGCCGTGGTGCTTACAGAATCTGTAAAACTACTTCAAGCCTTACGAGAACATCATGAATCAGCATGTGCTGTGCAATCTCGTTACCACAGGCATGCAGGACCCGCCCGACTTCGTAGGAGGAACGTGGAGTACTCGGAGGACATTAGAGGTTCCGAGAAATATTAATATCTTTGAAAACAAAATAGTCAAGAGGTGGGAAAGCACTTTTTTACTACATCTAGATTATCGTGGTGGAGCACCTAAAGAGAAAATTATATCAAGATCTCTTCTACTATATTGTACTGAGAATATCAACTGGGGCTAGAAGCTCCTTATCCATGAAGTGGATGCAGAACAACTACTCGAGTTGTAGCAGTGGCACTTAGTGGTCGAATGCCATAAGGATAGGCAATGCAAAATGCTTTTATCAGGTTCTTCGTTAGTGCCTTTAATATTCCTTCGCGAATAGAGGCAGATGAAAATTGAGCAGCTTTCGTTCTTTCAGATTTCCCGAAGAATCTTCTGGGGAGACAGTTGCACCCCACAAGCACCGATGTACACCGGCCGGTTGAGAAACGACAAAGAGTAGTCTGAATGGTTCGCGCAAATCGCTCCATCTGGCATTAGCGTAGTTCTATTCATATTTTTATACATATTTATAATGATGTTAGCACGCAATAAAATCCCTGATCCTTTACCTCCTCCATGTGTTTCTCTAGACGAAAACAATTTAGTTGTATCTATTCGTATTCGTATAATTCATTTCAATGTGTGATATTATCGTAGATACTAGACGGAAGCAATAGAAGAAGTACTTCAACAAAAATTTGAGACTTCCGTTTCCCTTACTTACTACGTTAGTACTCACACAACTGTAGTCTTAACGATAGAGTATCTGACGGAGTGCTGCGGGATACTCCTCACGAAAAGTTGCAGCTGAGCTTAGAAGAGCGAAGTACTTGAAGTTCTGCCGGTCGTGGTCTGTCATGTTTTCCTCAAGACAAAGACAAAAGATCTTGTTCCCTGATGGTCGTTACAGTTTGAAATCTCAGAAAAACGAGGTCCTAGAAGATCACGCTGTGGCCTTACAGACGGTGCAGAGGCGCCTCTCTCTTCCCATTTCTGCAAGCCACAACGCCATGCCCTAAGTAGGCTCCGACTCCGGTTATGTAAACAGGTCTGTGCTAGCGTGATGTATTCAGCTGGTGCAAGGAAGCCACTTTCCATCGGATGCAACTCATTGGGCAGCATGTTGAGGTCCTGCTCTTGATTAGCATGCAAAATTTTGGTATCCAACTCCTTCGGCAGCATCTACTCTACTGGCTCCAAGTACCGAGTCGGAAGCATATCAACACAGATCCAACTCACCGGCAAGCATGTTAAGATCCAACTTACTTTTTGTCACACTGTTCACCGTTCCAAAGCCAAATTGGAGCTTTACAAGACTTCGCAAATTCACTCTAGTACTACACGTAGACGAGCTCGTAGAGGTAGAATCATCCGTGGTAGAAGTAATACATAGCAGTACTTGTAGGAGAGACTTCATCTTATCGTGAAGACCAGATACACAGACTCTTCAATGGGAAACTTAACTGGGAACAAGATCGAGAAATAGTCATATTAAAAAAGATACTCTGTCTCAAAATCATCATTACTAAACAATTCTCGGGACACTCTTTATGGGTAACAGAGCTCTCTCCTCGCTCCTTTCAGCTCTCTTTCTCTCTTCAGAGAGTGATCTTTTGCTGATTCTTCTTACGACCGATGAAACACACACTGTGAAGTCCTCAAGCCCCGAGCTATTTTTCAAGAGACCAAGAGACCAACTTATCATAACAATCGGAAGTAGTCCGATCCTTTTCTCTCGATGTAGTAGACCGAAGCGTGAAACATGAGGTGTGATCCAGATCTAGATTAGTTTCTTTTGGAGATCACACATTCCCTCGAGTATTTCTGTTTCGCTTGTATTTCGGCTAGAGGGACGAGTGGAAGAAACCTTAGCTGCCAGCTCTAAAAGCGTGCCCTGCAAGAAGGGGTAGTGGAGGCGCTACAAATCTCGGCTTCCCACTGTTGAAGCGAGGTTTTCTAATTATACTTATGCATCATGCTAGGAAAACAAATCTGTGAACAAGTTGTGACAATGAAATGTTACAACATCGTCTCTTCTTTATTGGCCAAAAATGTTGTTCATCCTCTAGTCTTCCATGCTAGACGCGGTGTCAGGAGAACTTTTCTTGCCGATAACGCGTACAGAGTCGAGCTCGTCGATGTTGAATTCCGCACGAGAAAGCACGATCTCCTTTTTGGAGGAAGTGAAGGCGCCACCATCTCCGTGCCCGTCCAGGTCCATCCCGTTATTCTTAGACCTTCCATCCTATAATATTCATTCATCTCTTAAGAATGAGGTGCATCTCTTGAAGGTGCATCTTGCCCCTTCAAAAATCAACATGCGTCCGTTGGTTTTCCCTTTGATGAAAAGATGAAACTACAACGAGTCAAAGACTTTCCCCTTCAAAAATCAAAATCAATGCGTCAATGATAGTACACCTCTTAAGTATTCGAAAAACTGAAATAACCGAGTAACTATTGAAAATAAGCGAGATACTGAAAGAAGAGGAATGTAGTCAAGCCTCTCTACTTATTTCAGTCAGTAGCTCGCTTATTTTGAGTTTTCGAATAGACATGAATACGTGGATGTGAAAACATGGATGTGAAAACATGGATGTGAAAACATGGATGTGAAAGCCTTAACGTCATCCATCTCGTCAGACAGATCTGGTGGGGGCATCACGTGGTAGCGGAACTTTCCACAGGCGATTTCCTTTAAAACCAGCACAGCCGCGCGAGAAAGGTCTGGGGCGCCTCCCCGCTTCAATTGCCCTCTGCTAGTCGCAATTTCAATCAAAAACTCGCGCACGGACTCCAAATGCCGTATTGACTGTGATCTACTGGTCTTGCCCTTTGAAGATGTTGACGCACCAGGAGTAGCATTGCTCTTGTTCGCGCTTGGTGACGACGAGGACGATCCAAGGACACCTTCACTAGCCATGTCCACGTCATTCGTCGTCGTTTCTAGGAAAACCTCAAAATGCTCTAGCAATTTGCCCAGAGAGATCTGCTCGGCTAGCAGTTCTAAGACGCGGACTGGATCTTTAAGCGCCTCAACCTTGACAGCGTTCCGAAGAACGTGACTAGGGTCCTCTGTCTTACCGCTAAACACGACACCAGGACTATCGATCAAGCGAATCTTGGAGTCGAGAATTACTTCTTGGTACCTGAGACGAAGGATGGAGGAAATATTACCTAATTTATCATACGCACCTAAGAAGGTTTCTTCATGCTAGTAGATTAAGAACATCTAATCTTGGTCTTCTTCCTACTGGTTTTTGTTGAGACGTGGCCATAGTTATTCAGAAGCGAATTTCTAGATTACTTACTCATAGTGAGTAATGTTGTACTTAAGTCACAAAATAGCAATGATGATATCCCAAATGTTGAGTCATGATCACCAGTTGTTTTGTGGGTATGATGATGACGATTGTACTACCTATACTAGAGGTGCCTATACTAGAGTAAAAAAACGCAAGAATACGCTTTCGTCACTCCTGCTGTGTTTCCTGCTTTGACCGCGGTGCATCGCTTAAGACTGTTGATGACACTGGACTTTCCGACATTTGGATACCCAACAATGCCAACCGCAATACTTTTCTTACTGCCGCCTGCCGTTCTCGAATAGTTTTTGGGAATTAGAGGAATGAAGATGATACTCAAAGTATGTATATAATCCGATTACGATTTTTGGATCTATCATGTGCTTGATATCTATGATACTCGTTAGGTGAGAAAGAAGTTACAACCTGAAAAAAGGAAAACAAAGAAGTCAAGCAAAAAGGAATCGGGGATTCTCTTCAGCATAAAAATTTGCTTTTGGTAAAAATATAATTTGTCGTATAAAACTTATTTCTCCTGCCATAAGAGAAGCTGCAGAAGTGTGTCTGCACCTAGAACTGCAGTGCTTGACTGCAGTTGGCCGTCTTTCGCATTGGTTGCGGAGGTCACGTTAGTTCCTCTAGCTGAACCACATTTGAACAGCAACGTCGGGAACTCTCGTTGCAGGCGAGACATCCACGCAGCTGCCGCTTCGCGCGGAACCAAATCAACTTTGTTTAAGAGGAGAATCATCTTTTTACTCTTGTCGCACAAGACCTCTCGCTCAATAGCACGGTTGCGGCAAGCATCTGGGTCGCGTGCGTCTAAGACCTGTTTTTTTATATCACCAGAAGAAATCACTTCAATCTGACTCTGAGTCTGAGGACATGTGGAGTAAAGAAAGTCTAAGTAATACTAGGAAGCCAGGATAAGATGCCCAGGGGCAGCACACCTCGGCTTCTGTGAGAGAAGCCACAACATGGCGTTGTTTTAGAATTATATGTGAGATCTTTCTCTTGTATTTTTACATTGTTTGTATTGCGCTACTTGCGTCTTCCGGAATATACAACTCAACATGGCGTTATTTTTTTAGAATTAAGTACCTGAATAAGAACATCGCTGCTGTTGACGACTTTCCGCAATTCTTGGTAGAATTTTCGTCGCGTGTTTTCGGCTTCCCGATTTCTATTGGTGTCACCCGCCTCTTCCAATTCCTCGCGTTTTATCCTGTCTGCCTCTGCTCTCGCCGCTTCGTATTCCTCTTGTCGCTGTTGTGTCTGTTGCAGCTTGTCGATCAGGTCGCGGGATTGCTGCAAGTCCTTTACCTTCGTCTCTAAACGGGCGGCCAGGTAAGTCTTCTTGGAAGACGAGCCTCCTGCTAGTACTTTACCGCCTTGGCCCTTGTTTGATCCTGTTTTTGCATCCTGTTTTCGTACCGCATTTTGCTTTCGTCCACTGTTCTCTAGTCGCTTTGCCAGCTTCTTCTGGCGTGTGACAAAGTGCGTTGGCTTGTTGCGTCCCATTGTGTTCTTCGTGACCTAGAGTATTCAACAACTAGTTGTTTTAAAACTTTTAAAAAGGTAGAATGCGTTGGTTCTACAAAGAAAGAAAAAAGTGTTGTAACTTGTCTACTCACTTCAAATGTCGAAGAAAAATAGTAGAAGAAAAAGATGTCGAAATTTTTCGTTGTATACCAAAGAATCAATGCTTCTTCTTCTAGGCTCGACGATTCGTCAGTGTATGAGTCGTTTATGATACCCCTCCTTCCTGAGCGTTGTGCGGAAAACGAGACAGAAGTATGAAAAAAATAAAAACTGTGCATGGTGAAGCATGATATCCATGTCGGCGTAAATAGCAATTAACCTCGTCTAGGAAGCTACAGGGCACCATGACCATATATGTTGTAAATGTAATAAACGCAACGACTAGATGACAGAAGATGATAAGTACTCCTTTAGTAGATCATGGCACCATATTTTATTGGTACTAGTATGAATTCTCGCAACGTCGCAAACAAAACATGGATCTTCGATTAGAGATCTTCAATTCTGTGATGAAGATCGGTGCATTCCTAAAATGTGGTTGTCGTACAAGTAGATGAACTTTGTGTTGAGCTCGTCGTGTGGATCATAAGAACTTCTTGATCGATGCTTGGATCATGCTGCCAGGATCAACATGAAAACAACATAAGAAGTATACAGGATCCTTTTCGTTGGATCAAAGATCCATTGGGTCTTACCCACGATAATTTGATGCGTCAATATACCAGAGGCTTCGACATGATCTTTTTTAGTTCTAGACGAGAGCACGGCTTAGTCCCTCTGTACATCGAGCTTGATGTTCTTGTTCTTTGCTTCGGAACAAAGAAAGCTTCGCTATGATTTCTTCAGTCCTTACTCTTATACTTCATAATTGTAGGTCTTCCTCTTCACTTCGTGGATCTTGATTTCCATAGATTTAAACAAAAAGTCGCGCGTATATGGTGTTGTTGAGTTGTCGCTTTTGAGATCGGGGTATTGGGAATGGCGAAAGAAGGGGCGTGTGTGGTCTTCAGAGCGTTGGTGAATGATATCGGTTCAATTCTTTGGGGTCAAAAATTTGCAAACGGAGTGTATCGGAAATGATGAGACTGGTCGTGCTCCTTGACCATTGTCAACATTATAAAAAAAGCCAATGTCATCATCATCTTCGGCCGCGTCTTGGTCCTTGACAATTGTCAACATCAATCAAGTCAATGTCGTATCCCGCGTCTAGTGCCATTACGTGCCACACGTTGAGCTACTATGCGACGAACTTCGTAGTCCAATTGCTCTAGACATTCCCTAGCCCCTCCATGATTCAAGAGAACGAATCCCGACTTAGCAGTGGAACTGGGTTTCGTGTAGTTAATGTTGGAGTTCTTAGAAATAGTTAATAGTTCCTCTTGCTTTATTTGCTGCCTACTAGTATGATGCGCGTCACCTTGAAAGTCTCCGTCACCTCCAGTGCAAGTGCTGAAGACGTCCTTCTCCGTGGAGAGTCTAGTTCTATCATTTTCATTGCTTGTAGTTCCGTCAGTTCCGAACGCACCTCCTCCTGTGGAGGTAGTCGAGTCGCAGGTGTCCTCCTCGCGGTCGTAGGGGACCGAGAAGGTGGAGCTTAGACCCGAAGAGAGTTCTTGTGAGGAAGAGGAGGTAGATCGGTAGGAGGTCGTCTTGGCCAGACCCGGGACGCGCCCCTCGCCTAGCAGCAAGCCGCCGCCCTCTGAGAAAGACAGAGTTCCGTTCAAATTGCAGACACCATCCAGAATGTTGGCAGTAGTTACGTAGTTTCTTGATTCTCTTTCGCTATGATGTTGATGGTGTCTCTCGAGGAACAAGCCAGAAGTGGTGCTAGAAGTTGTGGTGGTAGAAGAAGTTGTTGTGGGGACTCCTCCTGTGCCACTTGTGTGATCATGATGAAATCCTGCATGAGCATGTCCACCTCCACATGATGAGGAATCCGCGTTCATCACACTTCTTGAAGTTTCCATATTACTTGCTTCTTCAGAAGTTGTAGATGAAGCAGAGGTGGAGTTTTCTCCTGGATTGATGCGGACATGAAGGACTGGCCTGTTGCCTCCGTACCACTCGTTGAAGTCGTTGAACACTTCCTCGCACTCTTTCCGAACTGTCGGCACCCTCTGCCCACACCCGATTTCGAGGATCACGAGTCTCGTTTTCCGATCCTTCTCCATCTTGCACTCCCACGACTGGTAGGGCTCGAAGGCTGTGGCGAACAAGTCCTGGATCAGTTCCTCATCGTCATCGGCGAACATTAATACACGCGGACGACGGATGCGACGGGAAGTTTTGGTTTTCACTCCCTGGCTCTTTTCTCCAGCCACATCTTGTTGAACATCCATGATGTGATCCACATCTTCGTCGCAAGAAGAAGGTGTCAGCCCTGTGGCAGATGTGCTCATTGTCACGTCCGCTAATAATGGACTCAATGTTGCTGTCTCCTGCTGCTCTATTGGAGTTTTAGAGCACGTTCTTGATGCGCCAGTACTAGTTGAAGCGGCTTCATGCCATTTCGCATTGAGAACAACTTCCGCTGCGTCCGAGGGATCGATTGGCGCATCTGCTTCAACGTCCTGCCACTTCGAGTCGTCGCAACAGCCATGGATTTCAGCAAGTCGTTTCGCGAGACGCGGAAACCTGCGGAAATGCCCATCTACGTTGCTCGTGAACACGTAGTGGTTAGGGATCTGCAAGGGTCCTCGTCCTGATGTAGTTCTTGAGACTCCTGCTCCACCTAAAACTTGCAAAGGAAGTTGGTGCGTAGTCGATGTTCCTATAGAAGAAGTTCCTGCCGCGCAAGACATCTTTCCGTGGTTTTTCCGTGTCGTTTTCATCGAGGAAGAGGAAGTTTGTCCTTTTCGAGGAATCTGCCTGTTCGACGAGGAAGAGGACAGACTAGGGGAAGAACAGTTGCTCAGTCGCTGTGGGGGAAGAGGCGCTCCGAGGCTACTTCTACTGCTGTCATCTTCCATGAAAATTAGGTTCTGACTCGAAGAAAAAGAAGGTCCATGATGATTCTCTATCCTTGTTTGAAGATTGGAAAAATAAGCTCCACCTACTTCTGCTCCTACTCCTGCTATTTTTCCTGCTTTCGTAGTAGTTTCTCCACACTCTCCTCCTGCTGCTTTTGCAGAGAAGGTCTGAGACTTCATCTTCATCGTCGAATCCCCTGCTACCTTCGTCTGAAGCTTCGAAAAAGACGAACTAGGTGTTGACCTACTAGGTGTAGAAACTCCATCACGCGGATGCCGCTTAAGCCAAGACTCGAGAACCGAGTAGCCAGCATGCGCGTCAGTGCGACTGTAGAGATCCCGACAACCGTCCCAAAACGTCCTAAAAGCCTCATAGTCGTTATTCCGCACGTAAGGAGAGCAGAGGAGAGAATAGTCGTAGTTTTTCACCTGAAGTTGTTAAAGTTCTTGATGAGGTGAGAATTGACAATGACATTTTTACTAGATTGTGTTTGTGAACAAGTCGCTACTTGTTATAATATAATAATGGTAGTCTACCAGCCGTCCTAACTAGGAGAGATATTTATAAGAAGGAGAGAGTTGCTACTTGTAGTGAATATAGATTGATTATAGTAGGATTTCTCCTAGGAAGCCCTTCTGCGACACTCTAGGTTGATGAGGGAGTGAAACTGTTTGCATGAGACTCGAGTTACCACGCAACGCCTTTTGCGACATTGCAAGGATAAAAAATGATGGAAGGCACCCTGTTTCTTAGAGAAACCCTGTTTCTTAGAGAAACCCTGTTTCTTAGGGACCGCAGTTTTACTTCTTAGTCGTGGTATAGTAAACATAAACGGTCATCTTCTACCTCAAAGGACGATAGAGACCACCACTCCTCATCGAGTTGGCTGAGAGCAGCTTTCAAAGTATTGTTGAGGATATGACCTATGATTCATTAGAATGTGTTTGTGCAGATTCAATTGCAAGTTCTTCAAACTGCTTGTGCTGGAGCATTACAATAGTACCGCTGTACCTAACGACGAAAAAAAAAAGATTGTATTATGGGTAGAAGTACCAAATGTGTATCGCCGTATTCGTCGTAAGTCGGCAGGCCACAGTCTTTCCCCATGCCGGCTCCTGCTGCAATAAGCAACGTATTGCAGTCGACTAGCGCCTCTGCAACACGCGTGATTTCCGCTGGTCCGGAACGGAAGAGGTTGGGCTTAAAATTAGGACTCATTTGTACAGAACTTGTTGACGAGGACGTTGTAGGTGGAGGTGGAGGCATCTGCATGTTCGAAGAACTCGTTGCAGAGGAGGGTGTACACGAACTACAGCTGACTTTAGCTGCATTTTGTCGCGGCTGAGCAAGATTTTTAGCCTGTTGATGTAGCTGGTCGTCTGGCGCAAGAGGTGGACTACTTCTAGATGCTGTTGCTGGACAAAGACTACTAGAAGAAGAAGATGTTGGTGGAGGACGAGCAGTCCTAGTACCCAATGCTGATGTAGATGTAGTTTCTTGATTAATAGATGTCCTACCCAATGTTGAAGTTGAAGTCCTACCCTCCAATGTTGTATTTGAAGATGTAGTTACTTGGTACGACATCAATTGCTTGTTTGTTGTACAGCTCTGTGTATGTTGACCTCGAGTCACAAGGTGCGTATGGAGACGATCCTGCAGAGCGGCTAACGACGTCGGATCAAATTTTGCGAAACGTCTGTCCGCTTCTTCTTCAGTCAGCTCGACTCCCGTCATATTTTTTTCAAAACTCAGTTTTGTTCTAGACTACGTGATACTTACCTCTTAAGAAGTTCTTAGAGGACTAGAACTACGTAAGTGCCTCTACTTGAAAAGAGACTTACTGAGACTTAGAAAGTCATTCATTGCTCTTCGCAGTAGTTGCAAAAATAAAGTTTTTCATTTAGACTCGCTTAGAAAGACAAACAAGTCGAAAAGAAACTGATGGTCTTCAACATCCTACTCACGATCTTGTCGCTTAGGTGATGCAGTCCACGCATCGATCCTATCATCATCATATGTCCCTGGTTGTCATCCTCTACCACTGGCTAATATGTCCTAAACTATATACTTAGTTGTCACCTCATGATGACTAGTGTTGCTGTCGCTGTGCCTGTCATAGTCAATAAATTCAAAATGGTCATTCATTCATGAGTTGTAGGCCGTTTTTCATCTCTGAGATCTTCTCGGTCCTAATCCTAGTTACAATTTTCTCGGGTGGATGAGAAGCGCTTGAGCGTGGTGAACATGGAGAACTTGAGCTTGACACTTGTGTGCTTTTCTTTAGAATGGGCGTTTGTTCCTGATCTATCACGATTATGATTTTGTTCGCCGCAACTGGCCATTTTCGTTCTTCCTTAAATGATTTTTAAGGCCCTAAGGCTTTTTTTGTACAATGTAATACCTGAGCAGGTGCAATACTCAGTCCATATACAGGGGAAATCACTAGTATCTGCGTCGAATCTGATACGGTTCCTTGCTACATGCTGATGATTCTTTCCCCTAGACCTGCGAGAGGGCTTTCTGTAGACGTACTAGAGAGCAACCGAGTAGACGTCGTAGAGAAATATGAAGATCTTGTTGAAATTTGAAGTGTATAATTTTTACATATAGTATTCGTGGTAGAAGAAGTTGCCTTCTATTAATTTCGACAAAGTAACAAAGTAAACGACTCAAGCTCAACGAGTCTTCCGCTTACAAATATATAGCATGATGTTGAGTCTCAAATATTCCTACACCTCCATAGACTTCCACCGCGAAATCCTCCATATCCTATATTAAGTTTTATGAACACAGATGGATCCAACAACTATCAGAACGAAATCAAGACACAGAAACAATTACAAGACCCAACCTAAATCACAACGAACGAAGATGCTGCAGCTTGCCTAGCTAGAAGTAGAATCAGCTACATCGTCATCACGCTGATCATCGTCGCGTATCAAGCAGCTCCCTCTTAGCAGCCACGCCCCTTTTCCAAGTGAAAACCCGCACTCGAGTCCCGCCGCCCGCCACTTGTTGAAGCCGTAAAAATATTATAGCACTTTTTAGCCACTGATCATGGACCTGGATGATGATTAAAAGAGTACACGACCTACTTACTTTGGTGAACATACTTATTCATGAGGGTGCCTATAAATCAAGAGGTGGCACACACCAGACCAGTATCATCGTTGTTAGCTAAATTCCTACAGCCTCCTGAAAAACAGGACATCAACAGCCAACCATAAGAGTCTTCTGCGTAGCTTCTACGTAGCCATTGGCAATACCAGTCGATTCCCATACCACTTGCTCATGGCATAGTAGTAAAAGAAGTCGCAATATAACACCGTCTGGACGATACCTGAAGAAAATGCGCATCAAGGTATTTAAATGGATAGCGTCAGCGCCGTCTTTTGAGTCAGATGAATAAGCTTTGAAGCAGCAGAATGACCAATGCAAAGATTACAGGCAACCTAAAAAGCTAAGCCTACCCCATCTATGAATGAGTGAATGAATGTGCCCACTTTGTGGGTGTGTCAGTTACACCTCTATCAAAAATATTGTTGCCAAAAAACCAAAGAAGTGGACCACCAAGTATCTATCGCTTGGCGGGGCGTCTACTCATCCACAGCATTGCAAAAAAACCAAAGAAGATTACCGCCAAGTATCGCTATTGGATCGTAGGTTTTGTCGACCAGATACTTGTAGATCCAGTTGAGGATGTAGAAAGCCCTATAAAGTCCCATGGCTGTGACGAAATGCGAGGTCAGGTTTTCTACCTTGATAGATTGTTCATTTCAACGAAATGCGAGGTCAGGAGGTTTTCTCCTTGATTCATTTGGTTGAACAAGATTAGTTGACTGCGCAATTTACTCTTAGTTACCTTTGATTTTTCATTTGTCTCTTGATTCATCTGATTGATTGCTTCCGTATCTATTGTTCAGGAGTATTCTTATAACTTTAGAAGGAGATGAGGTTACTATCTCAAAAAACGCCTTCAACTTGTCTTCTAAGGTAGGAATGTTGACAACTACAACTACTAACTGAAAGTATAACATTGTACTTCTCGCATTTTCGCCAATAGCACGAGCTGCGGAGTTATTGCCACTGCCTCGAGGAAAATGGAGCTCGCCCATAATATTTCTGTCGGTACTAGTTCCTCGCACGTTATGCAGCCTAAAAAGATTAGAGGTTAGTTTCAGGTTGGGCTCCGTCTGACCCTAAAAAGGTTAGAAGACACTGTTAGTGGTCAACCTCAGCTATGAGGCTATAACATCGTTATAGCCAATATCTTTATCTACTTAGCCTTTTCGCATAAAATTACGCACGGCGCCAGAAAGTAGAGCTCATACTTGAAGCTGTCGACACTGCGATCGTAGGTCTGGTTAATCGGTGGCTTAAACCGCATCAAATACACCATATACCCCGTCGACAGGATGAGCAGTTTAGAGCTCGCACACCTGTGGCGTACTTTTTATATCGCGAACGAGGACGCATCAAAGGATTCACTCACTGGTTGAAATTTCTTGCGAAGTAAGAAGCTTTATTGAGGCAGAGAGAACAGTGCAGAAGAACGCACTGGGTCCTACTCTAAGTAATAACAAAAGGATGAAAGAGGGCCACGTAGATTGAAGAACTCACTCAGGAGCGATATATAATACCTGCACTATGTTGGGGGGTAAGTGCTTCTACTGAGTCTAAGAAGCTGTCTCCTCTATTCTTCATAAAGAAAATTTTCATCGCGCTGTTGTAGATCGATATGAACTCGTATAGCAGGTCCAGATATCGGCAGCAGAAAACGATGAGGGAAATTAGATGAGTCCATCATCATGGTGTCCCATTTAGTACTCCTAGTCCTAGCCTAGTGCTGGATCTTCTAGATGATAGAGTCACCAATTTGCCCATACAAAGAGCGATTTTGGAGCCGTTGGCGCTGATTTCGAGCTGTTTCAATGTATCCAGACATAGTTGTATCTGATAGATAGTTGTAACACAGCACAAGAAGTACTACGTGTAGGATCCACCTTTTGCCTTAAGTAAACCTCCTGCATCCGACAGCTGACTCCGACACAGCTCTTATTCTTGTTGATTTTCCATAGCACAGATTAGAGTAAAGGTAGCCTCCTCATGCTCATATATTTTCCTTTTGAAGAAATCATAAGGAAGGGGGACAACTCCACTCTCGTTTCAGCCTAGTCCCCACACGACATGGGACTACAATCAATAGTGAAAGAAAAAGTAGCCTTAAAAAAGGAGAATGCTCGCCAGGTGGAGCATATCTCCAAAGAACCGAAAGATGTTCATCCTGCAGAAATACGCTGGAGGCGCTACTTTTTAATCTCGCGACCAAGAACTGGACTGTCCGACTAAACTTCTTGAAGGGCAAGTTGTAGATGGGTTCCGGGCTCACGTCGTTGTCGCAAATGTCTGTATGGATTGAAGTTGACTACTCTACTAGTCCCTTTGCCGGTCCTGCAGTCGATCGAGCGTAGTCGCAGTCGTAGCTAGTCGCTGTGATCTCCTTGTCTACTTCTGAAGTGTTTATAACCTCTTAGTAGTCGACGTTGTCCCTTCTTTCATGCTGTAGCTTTCGCTTAAAGCTTCATATTAGGTGGTCTAAGTGAAAGTATACTAGGTGGTTCGTGCTCTTCGCCGCGCCCAATAAGTGGCATCATTATACAGATGAGTAGTACTATCGCTAGTTTACTCCTCGTTTTTCTTTGACGAAAAATTGGCTCGATCCTGTATGTTGTAACTAATAGAACAGCTCAACGTGCCTCCTCGTAAAAAGCTGTCGTCCCCACGTCCTCGCCCGGCGGTAGGGGTAGTAGCAGCCACTACTAGAAGTAGGAGTGCGTCTTCTTCAATCTTTCGGCCGAAACTTCATACCGAAGAACCTAGCTCACCGTCATTTTGTAGGTTCAGAAGCACCCTTCATAGAGGAACCTTCATAGAAGAGCGTCATTTTTCTTCTTCTGTAGTTGCTACGCCTACAATACTACTTGGCCCGTTCTTCTTTGTGGTACGAGAAAGACGAAAATCCCGTAGGCTTTAGAATTCAAGAAATGAAAATGATAAAAAATACTTGTACCAAAGACAAAAGGCAGACTCCTCACCGTACCAGTACCAGAGCAAGTTGACGCACTCTATTAACCAGCAGAGCGTGGTTACCGTACTGGAAGCTGTGATGTTATGATTCACTCATGTGCGTGACTTTTTTGTTTCCTCCCTGTGTCTACAATTTCCCGCACTGCGAACATTCAATTACCCCGCGGGAAGCCTGAAGCACGACGGCCAGGCACCAAAGCTAGGCAAACGACTAAGCACGACGGAGGAGCATAGAAAAATCGACAACCCTACCTACAACGTGACCAAGAGGATCCTTCGTCCAGCTCAAGTAGCCTAGCTCTTTACCTACAACGTGAGCAAGAGGATCCTTCAGTAATCACTTCAAATTCTCCTTGTTGTGGTGATTCTCTTGCTCGGAGTGAACAAGAACAGAAGAGTCTTTTTACTTTTTAGAACTGATAGATAGTTGTGTCTGAAGATAGATAGCGAACAAGAACAGAAGAAGAGTGCACGACGAGAAACAAACTGCACACAGACATCCAGTGCTGCTTATTTAGTTTCCAGAAGCCAGACTAGTTGTAGCAAGTCGTGGGCTCATACGGCCAGGCTGGAGAAGTCTACGATGTCATTCTGTCGCTCCGTGTTATAGTTGAACGTGAAGCACTGAACTATATAAGGACCCGTATCACATAGAAGTCTTTCAACGTCTCATCTCTGTGGAGCTTGTTCAACATTTCCCCTGTGTTCGCAGTCTTAGTCTTTAACTTCCATCCTGTCATCATCATGGCGTCTCAAATTATCATTTGACTTTCTGGTCGTGGTCATTCGTCGCATTACATTTTGTTTCGAATTCTGATAAGTGCCTGCTCCTTCCACGAACTCTTCTGTGCATGTCATGCCGAATGAATTGTTCGATAAGAAAAAGATTCGAAATAGAGTTGCTTGTCAAATTGAGACTGGAAGTAAGAATATAACCCCACCAGCACACTGCACACAATATCTAGCAGTACAACTAGTGAGCTGCCAGCACTCAGCTGTTGTTGTCATAATTTGATGATACTGTTGTTGTCAAATGAGCTTTGAAGCAGAAAAATCAGTGCTTAAAATGAATTTGTTCTACTTACAATATACACCTATCAAAAGCGCTTACCATACGTCGTTCTCGTTGAAAAATATAACCCCACTACGACTCTAGACCGACCATACTCGTTTGCCTCCACTTGATTATGGATATTAATGCTGTTGTTGTCAAATGAAAAATATTACATCTCCAGCCTCATGCTGCTGCTACGAATTTCAGGCTGCTCCCCTAATTTCAGACTTCTGTACTACGCTATACTTTAGACCGTTTCTCGGAATCTTTAAATGTGTTTGGTCTCATAAATCTCGATAGATATCACCTCTACCACAAATAGTTGCTGGGATAGCCTTGTACTTCCAAAAAGAACAGATATTGATAATGATGGAGTTGATAGACGATAGTGGATATAACAGTCTTTTATTCTTTCTAAAAGAACAGATTATAATAGGCATTTAACAACCTCAGGGTTAGCTTTAGTGTCTAAGGAAAAATGGGATTGATTCCATTTCTTTCATGAAGTCTAACACTGGCTTGTCCTGAAGGCTCAAACTCAATAAAGCACTCCCTGAGCTCCTACCCTTTCCCCTTGTCTAGGCGCTTTCTACTCTTTCCCCTTGTCTAAGCGCATTCTTGCCTGTGCGAGTCTATGCGCTTCCGACAAATGACGCCCGGGCGAATTCACGCGCGATATGTTGGAGCAATAAATATAACAAAGTACCTAGAGAGGAAAACTTAGCACCAGTCTGCAACAACAACTTTCTTCAACTGCTCTAGCGGAAAATAACCATCCATAGATTTACTCTGCAAAATTTCGAAAACACGAACACCAACATCTTAGAACACCTTCATTTTCGAATATCAAGTATTAAAGGAGATGAAAAGCCTATGCCTACTTCTGCTGATGTGCAGTATGTCTCTTAAACGTAAGAGGGCTCTCGCTTCTCTGTGGAGCACCACTGGCATGATCGTGCACATCCTGCATCATCAGTTTCAATTGCTGTCGGAGCGGCGAAGCTGTACTGGAAGACCCCCACGAAGCTGCGCCCTCATTCTGTCTGCTCGTATTAGTACTAGAGTTGAAGTCTACTTGCTGTAAAAGCTCGAAATATGTCATTGTCTTCAGCTTTTTTATTCTTGTATTCCCTGATAACCTTCTTAACTTTAGATAGTCAAAAACCTACTTCACGGATGATATGAAAAAGCTTCCTGTCTACAACAGGATGAGGAGGCAAGTAGTTACATTATCGCCATCACTTGCGTTCCCTTTGTAGTAGTCTCACTATATTTCTTGAAATTCGTAGGTCTACGCGCCTACTCACTTGTATTCTTTTTGTAGATTGTCACGATCACCTGTACTCCCTTCTTAAATCTTCTAGATGTTGCTCTTCCAGATGTTGCATCCAATGCCCTGGCTAAACGCGCTCGCTTAGGCGAGAGACTTTTCGCTAATTTGTCTGTTGCAAATTTGTCGCGCAGTAATCGCAATGGCGAAGAAAGATTTGACGCTAAGATTGGACTCACACTTCTTCTACTTCTGGACGATCCATCTTCTAGAGGACTGCTGTTGTGAGACCCACCACGAGCGAGACGAAGAGACAGTTAGAGCTACCGCGTTGGCATCTTCCTTGAGTGCCATATCCTTGGTGAATGTTTTTCAAGTAGAAAAAGTAGACCCAAGGATCTTGATGCTGAGGATGCTCGAGCGGTAGCCTTAAGATTGAGGGGAGCGAGCATGAGAACCTTTTCCGACCTCGTCTACGTCCAACTCTGCCAAGGACATGGCTTCCTCTACTCGTCTCGCAATTTCGTTCTTAGCTTAGAAAAATCTCCTTTATTTGGTTGTTTTCAATAAATAACGTAGAAGAATTCTTGCCTGAACAAGGAGAAGAGCTGAAAAACAATGATAGATACTCTGTGACTGTGTAGTTGCATGATATCCTATTTAGTTAAAGACGCGCTGACCACATTGCCCCTAATGAACTCGTCTCCTACTCGAAATGGACTCCACTAGTGCTCTGCTAGAATGACCACTTGGAGAAGATAGCCCACCTACGGGAGACCTGCATCGCGTCGCCCTCGACGTCTTCGAGCGTCCTAATTGTCGTGTTAGAACTCTTCTATTCGACCGCCACCACCTGTCATTCGGCTCCTCTAACAGTAACAAAAAGATGAAGATCGCTTGTTCGAGCCCACTCTTTCTTTACGCTACTCAAGTTCGAACAATCGATCTTCATTTTCAGAATCAACCCAGAGGAAAGGAACTTACTTCATTTTTAACGTCCGACCAAGCCGACGCCTAGCGGTCTTCTTCAATCGTGAACAAACTGAAACTTGAACAAAACTGAACCAAGAACGGGCTCTCTTCTATCTATCTAGCTATCTATCAGCTCTTGTCACTCATAATTCTATCTATCGGCTTTTGTCACTCATAATTCTAGTAATGCAGACATTTCGTGCTGCATCGCTAGCCCAAGTGGTGAGACTCCCGTCAAAGAAGCCTCCGCCTCTTCCTCATAGGCATTCCCCATGAGGGTCAGGATTCTCGCGCTTGCGGCTGCGCTTCCTCCTTGTAACATTTGTTTCTCTAATATTGAAATGTCGCGTGCTGCGACACGGGGTGATTCCGCGACAATTCTTCCATCTTCGGAAGCTACGCAATTTATGAAGTTGTCACAGTGGAGACGAAAAAAACACTACTTGTTAGGTACTTTTAAACATACCTTTGTAGTCTTCCTTCGATTGACAAAAAAACTACTCCACACAGAGACGAGATGAAAAAACTTATTGTCTAATTATCAGGAGAGAAAAAAAGAGCTACTCACCTAAATTTGAATATTATCGTGCCGTTCTCAGCGAACTGCTGGTGGTAATTCATTAGCAAGAGACTGCAAAAAAAATACGTGCTGAAGTATTACTTACTCTGCATGTTTGTTCACCATCACATGCTAGTAGTCCTCCCTGTATACTCATAAACTTCCCAGTGTTCTTACTCGCAAGCGGACTGACCCAGCGAGTGTCCAAGATTTTCAGGGTCGGCGCTTCGATCCGAAAACTCTTTGTGCGTAGGGAAGCGCGCAAGCCAGCGTCACTACTAAGTAGTGCTCCACTTCTTCCACCTAGAGCAGCTGATATCATGTTAGAGATTGTTGACTGATTGATTGACGTGCCTGGCAAGAGGTCTGTTTCATCGATGAAGAATTTTTCTCCCTCTTTCTCCTTCTCTTTTCTTTTTCTCTCCCTTTTTTCCTCCTATTTTGCATTTCTTTTCGTGTATTTCAGGTCTAACCGTCCCTGGTCAAGCTTGAAGCAAATCTTACACAGTCTTATCCTTTTCTACCATTATCGTGTTTACCAATTCCTGTCCTTCCACCTCGTCCTAGGATGTTTTGTTAAAGACATTTTTGACTAACTTGAATCACGACCAAGAGCCTTAAGGATAGGGCCAGGAGGTTGTTGCTCAGGAGCTTTCTGTGGTCTCGTCCCAGGACTACAGGAGCTAAGTCTTAGAAAGCTCTCCTTTCCTCCCTGTCTCATAGAACGAGAGCTGTCGTGTCAATAAATAGAACAAAGCGGACATATAAGGAACAGCAATATTAGTTTACGTAGAAGTAGAAGTAGTAGTGTAGTATTTTGAAGAAGGTTAGCCGATATATAAGAAATAGACGATAGGTGGGTTCTTGCTTACATAGTCCAAACAAGTTTAACTGCTGGGTCTCTGTTGAGACGAAGACAAAATCAAAAAAAAATGACCTTAAACTTGGACTTACAACGACCAGTCTGCTTTTTTCGTCTGTTTTTTTGGCCTTGTTGCCACGCATAGATTGCCACGCGCTTCGCACATCGTATACTTCTGGCCCAGCTTTACTCGGTGGAGACAGATAAAGAGCCGGCGTGAGCCTAGATGAAGTATTGGCATTAGCACGAGGTTCTTGACTCCTTGTAGTGCCTAACGTTGTACAGCTACCGCTGGCAGCAGGTCCACGAATAGAAGTGCAAGCCGGCCCTGTCTGTTCTATAGCTGTCCTGCCACGACCCACTGTAGTTGTACCTACTGTGCATCGTGTAGCTGTACTTTTAGGAGACTGTCGTGTAGTGAAGAATACTCCTTGTTGTAGGACCGTACTGGGCACTAGCCGGCGGGGACTTGGGGACAAGGTCCGCTCTGATTCCGTTTCTCCAGCATGGACGACGCTCTGACTGCGGAGTGGGCTTCTATTTTCTGCGGTTGGTGGAGCCCTAATTGGCGGAGAAATCTCGACAGAAGCTCTACTAGTCCTGTGTGCTGGCATCGCAGTGCTGGCAATAGCTAGAGAAGCTCTAGGACAGTTTTGTGCTGGAATTGTGGCTGCAGATGAAGGCGATCTCAACGTGTTCACTTGGTCCTTTTTGAGGCTATCTTGCAACCATGGCTGCTCCTCTTGTCGCAACATGGTCGTAGAACTACTCCCTGCACCAGAGGACTTCTCAATGACCACGCATGGAGAACTCGTAATGTTCATACTAGCCTTCTCCTCGACACGAGTAGTACTAGCTGCATCAGCAGAAGCAGGCTCTATCTCTACTAAAGCCGCGCCAACTGTCTCCACACCCTCCACAACAGTAGTAGCCGTAGCTCTCGCTACAGGAGTTGTAGGCCTCTCTCTACTATTAACGGCTGAAACATTTCACTTTTTAGTAGCAACCTCAACCTCAAGTAAAGAAGGCTTGTAAAAATGAAATGCTTCAACCCTTAATACTAGAAGTATCTGTGCGGATCTCTTGTTCCTGCTCTTGTTGTCCTATAAGTTGAGCTTGCTGCTCTTCTTTGTAATCAGATCTATCTTCGGGGTCTCGCAGATCAAGCATTTCACCTGACGACGAAGTCACACCAAGTTCCATTCTCCTCTCATCCTGCTCCGGCGTCGGCGAGCTTTCGTAGTTCAACAACAAACTAATCTTAGTCCCACTCGTCCTTTAGTTTTTAGAGGCAGTCCTCATCAATGATTATCCGTGGTCGATGAAAGGCTTGCCCTTCAATTATCGCCTCTTGAGGAAAGGGAAACCCACTTCTGAGCATCGTCTTGCCTTCTAGGAGGATCAGAACGACATGGTGAGTGACATGAATACACTCAAAAAAGAATCTACCGAAAGCAGAGGATAGTGGACAGTGGACTTCATCAAAGGAAAAACCACCCACGTCTTTACTTCACTTACTTTAGCCGATCCTTCTACTGCTTATCTCTTCACCTGTACTAGTCGTAGTCCACACGAGGACGAGATAATCTTCATCTGTACTAGTCGTAGTCCAAACGAGATAGTGATCGACATCGACTTCCAGCCTTAATGTTTACATCAGGCGACGGCAGCGGTGTTGGCAGCTGCGGCAGCGATGACATGGACCCAGACCGTTGGACTTGATCGCGAGGCGTGGATGCTGGCGACGGAACGAACAGAAGCGGGGACGCGTCGGGCGGTCGTGAGAGTTGTGGGTTTGCTCCATTTTCAAATATGTTAGGCGAGAAGTCGCTAGTACCGCGCACAGCAGGAGAAGAATTACCCGGGAGGGTATCTTCGAAGACGTCGTTTTTTCTATCCTCTCCATCTATCTGATCACCATTACTGCGCGATCTAGCGCCTGTTTTTGGTCCTCCGTCTCGCCCTCCTGCAGTCGCTGTCGTTACTGTCGAAAATGTTGGCACTTCTTTCGCTGTATCAGCATTTTCATTGGGCATTGGCCTTTCCTGATATGCTGACGCCGATGGAGGTACACCAGAAGACAAACCCCCTGCAATTTTCATTGGCGTAAATGCACTATTCTGCTTTCTAGATTGTACAAAGCCTGCTACAGATTCAAGTGCTGAAGCGAATTCCCTAGAAGATGACGCTGCTAGCGCTCGTCTAGATATTTGCTCCACCCGTCGCTTCTCGATGCTCTCCCGAATCTTAGCCAAATCCGTGGACAAGGACGCAGACACATGATTTACAAGAACCCTTTCTCCTGCTCCACTTCTGCCCCCACTTGTATGAATGCTTCCACTCATTGAGAGTGTCGATAAATGGGAACGTCGGTCCCCCATTGCCTTCTTACTTAGGAACGACATTTCCATACCTTCGTTCTCACAATGAGTGGCATCATACATTGTACTACTAGAAAAAGCTGCCGACGAACCTGCTTGAGGCGAAGAGACAGCCTCCATACGCCGTCTCCGCAACAAGTCTCCAATCGGCGACTCCTCTCTTCGCGTGAGTAGATTTCCAAAGTTCTTAGGGGTTGAGAGTTGACCTCGCTCTCTAGCTCGCATATCATCTATGGACTTTAGAGATGCTCATGGAGAGGTCAACTTCCAACCCTTAACAAGAAAGGACTGATCAGGAAAAGAGGGTAGCCTCGAGTCTCCTCCATCATCATTAGTAAAGCGAAAGTTATTCATCTGAAAAGAAAGCGTCTTGTTGTTATCTTCTTTGTCTTCAGCGCGTTTGTCCTGATGAAGACTCGGCTTATGAAGACTCGTCTTACCTTTGGTTCCGAGAACTCTTAGCGGACTAGAAGGCGCAGAAGGTGCACCAAAGACTATGTTAGGCGAATTCAGAGGCCCCGGCGACGCCGGCTGCTCCTGGTTATTTCCAATTCCACCTATGATCACGGCGTCTCTGATTGAAGATTCAGCGTGTGCGCGAAGAACGTCCCTGATTGAAGACTCAGCGTGTGTGGCAAGAACGTCCCTGATTGAAGATGCAACGTTCGAAACTACCACGTGATTCTTTGCAGTAGGAGACGTGGTGACCTCCCTACTAATGTGTTGAGCGTTGATCTGCTCAGCGTTGGCAGCTTGGGCAGAGGTGAAGGAGCTAGACGACCCAGATCTCATGTCTCCTGATCTGCTTCCTCCGAGTCGCTGCTGCACCGAGTGCAATGGTTGTTCGCGGAAACTTCCCATATTAGTGCTTGCTAATGGCGACACCCTACCAGAACTAGGGCTCGCGGAACGCAGATCGGCGACTTGGTTGCGCAAATCTCTCAAAACGTCCTGCTCCCGGTCTTGCGCTCGCTGCAGCTTCCGTCGCTCCGACCACCAGCTCTTTTAGGGGTTGTAAGTTGAACGATAATATCGGTCATGTCATCTTTTGAAAAGGTCATTTAGATCCAACTTCCAGTCCTTAACCCTTGAGATCCGAGACACTGCCGCCAAAAGGCGAAGCCTGCCTTTCCCGTCCAGCATGGAGTCTTTCGCGCAAGGAACTGATTGACTCCGCTAGATTCTCCACAATCCTTGTTGGGCCTCCAGTTGTACTAGTAGTGCAAGAATTAGAGCTCTTCAAATAAGTGTAAGTATGCTTACTTCCACCTTGCAAGTTGTTGGGTTCATTTTCTCGGAGTGACGTCCTAAGAAGGAAACGAAGAAAAAGAACTTGAACTTGTAGCAAGGAATTATGTCTATATCAAGCCCTAGTAAAAGCATAATCGTGCTGCTTACCTCCGTTGCTTCTACAAGAAGCTTCTTGAAGTGCTCCAGAGAGATAGCCTGCTCCTACATTATTGCGTATCCCTACACTGACAGCAACAGCAGTAGACGAAGACGGACCAGCAGCGTTGTAGTTATTAGAGGTTGCGACATTGCATTCTTCAGAACATGATCCCTGACTTCTTTCTTACTGGGAAAAGAGTCAGGGATGTTCGTGCAGGATGCAATGTGGAAACCCTCAAAGTTAGGAGGTCTACTCACGGAGTCATGAATTCCAACTCCTTTACTAGCTGTAGTAAGTGAAGAAGTAGAAGTCGCGTAGCCAATCTGGCCACGGGGAATGTTGCTGCTGTATTAGAGGTACCGGCAGCCCATCTTTTAGAACATCTTTTAGCAGCACTTTCCAAGTAGAAACTGGCTTAAAAAAAGATGCTGTGAAAGATGGGTTGACGGTGCCCCCTTAAGTGTAGGTGTTAATAGTGTTGTTGTATTCGCCCTCTATGGTCTTAGTCAATTGGGTTGCACCCAGTATCTCATCTCCGGGCCGCGGGCTGCGTGCTGTGATAGCGGGCGAAGAAACGGCTCTACTCGTAGCCCCTGAACAAGCTGCAGACTTTTTAGACCAAGACTTGCTTACCTACTGCGGAGAACGACTGTGGACGACCTTGAAGAAAATGAAAACCTGCTGAAGCATCTACATTATAACTCATTTTCATTTAACCCCTTAAAAGAGCAAAAGCGGGCAAAGAAATGCGCTTACTTTTCTTGAAAAGGATCGAAATTTCCTTACTTCATCTAAGAAGTATGTGTTTGGAGCAGATTACTCTATTAGCCGAGGACTCGAACCATAGCAGTGTCGTCATGGGAAGACTAGGGTGAATTATTACGGTAAGCCTTAAACTTTGAACGATTTTTGATGTCCTCTAATGCAATTTCCATGTTTTCGGCTAAAGAAGCGAAAAACTTACGCCTCGAATGCTTCGACTGCTCTGACATTAGACAGTCTTCCTTGGGCACAATCTTCCTTTCAGACAATCTTCCTTGGGGATTTCTGATTATGGCGACAATCTTCCTGGAGACAGTCATATGATCCCCCATTTTTGAGAGTGATATGATCCTCTTTGAAAGTCGTGCGACTCTCTCTTTGAGAGTCATAGAAGCCCCCTCTTTTCCCTTGAAAAAGAGTCACAGTCAGGATGGTAGTCGTGAATATGGTAGCTTTCCGCGGTAGCCTTAATGACAGCGCGGCCATCTCAGCAGACATATTCTGCAACTGCGTCAACATCTGCGTATCTTTCCGTCTTAGAGCAGTATTACGCGAATGCCTTTCCATTTTATTCACAAATAACGAGCTGCATTTGCAACTTCTGGGAAGATGAGCGGGATCATGAACCAAAGCAGAACTACTACTAGAAGCAAAAGCCAACTATTAGGTGTGACGACATGAAAGTGAATCGCGACAATACAAGACAGAGCCAGCTAGAAGTAGGTGAGACGGCATGATGAAAGTTAAGTATATTCACTCGCTCCTTCCCACCACATTGGTACGAGGAGAAAATAAAAACCCAAGAACTCATCTACAACGACCCACCGTAACATTTGTACTCTTTGCTTCTCTTTGTCCCATTGCGAGTCCAGTTTGCGAGCCAGTCTCCTCAACACGGCTGCCTGGATTTGACGGGCCGCCCATTCCCGTTGCTCTACCACCAAAGTCCTAGGTTGCTCGTCCACGTCAACAGCGACTTCAGAAACCCGCCTTGGCGCTGCCTGCAACTCAACTCGGTCGCGCCTAGTCGGCTATCCTTAGAGCTACCGCGGAACAACCGGCTTTCCTCTTCTGAAACGAATTCCTTTCAAGAAGAATCAAATAAACTACGGATAAAAAGTTTGAGTGGCATCCTCCTTGATAGTAGTCCTACACGGGCGGTAAAACCCTTCCCAAAAACGCCCTCCTTGGGGCGATCTGCCGGAGCGGTGTTGTCATCACGATTGACTACGAAGCCGAGGCATCCTATCCTATCCTATCCTGTCCTAGTAGTAGTGGAGCCAACCTAACTAGGAAAGAACCAAAAAAGAAAACGTGAAGGTGCAAATTTATAGGTCATCTTCCCACTTGAGAGTTATCTTCATCCTACTTGTTTCTTGGACTCCATAATCTGACGTGGAACTCGGCTTGTCCACAAGCTTCACATCCGGTCGCGCCGTGTAGGGCACGGAACGACGTTGCGCTTGAAACGGTTGCAATGTTTGGTTTTTCGAAGATCTACTTAGAAAGATGCGTAGTTTACTAAGACAAAGACTTCATCAGAGAGATGCGTAGTCGACGACCTCGTGTGAGCGTACCTGTAAAAGCAGCGCACTGAATCTTCTCTCTGGACTACCATGTATAGTTAGATTAGCAGGTTGCGGATCCTTCACGATCAGCTCCCGCCCGCCTCCCCACAATTTATTTAAACGCCCACACGACCATTGACAAATTTAATCAACTATGATCCAAATCCACTTCATCTGACGACTAAACACTCTCATCCACACGTCAATCCTATTTAGGCTAGGTTAGGTCCGGGATTCTTCGCAGTGAGTCCCCCGAGCTCCTAGCTCAACTCCGAGGATGATGGGCGACTTGAATAAAGTCAGCAGAAGCACCAAGGTCGACGTGACTTGTTTACTACAGTGAACTGAATCATCAAGCACATGTTTACTACAGTGCACTAGTGGCCCAGCCTTAACCTCGCTCGCGTGGCGCTTACCCGCAAGATGTGAGCATGGTTTGCAGCAGCGCGCACACTCATGTATCCGTGCAACCCGGGTAGAGGGATTTCCCCACGAAGTTCAGGATGCAGATCCGCTGCCATGGTAGGCGCTGAAGAACGCTTAATGTTCACTACATTAGAAGATGAAGAGGCAGCTGCTAGTAGTAGTAGTAGTAGTGTACCAAATCGCAGTAGTGCTAAGAGGTTGCTAGTGCTAAGAGGTTGATAGCGCGAGTACCACGAAGTAGGAGCCATCTCCATCTAACTAGAACAGCATCGTTATTCAGATGAGGAGGTCCTCATCAAGTAGAAAGTAAGTACTTCTTAGAAAGAAAATGAGCATCAATATCAATATCTCTCCGACGTTTTTCAGGTAGAATAAACGATGGGGAGTGATGAAAGATGGGATCACGAAGGTGTCCTTAATCACAGAGGTCGTTGCGCCACGCGCACTAGAAACGCCGCTAGAAATGCTGCCTCCACCTCCAGGCCCTTTGCTAGACCGCATAAGCTGCGCAGATACACTCCTCACTCTGCTATTAGCGCTCACAATAAGTCATCGTCTAGTCGGCGAGCCTCATAGCCTTACCGTACTAGAATGAGAAACCAGGATCAAGAAAAAATCTCTCCTTGAATTAGATAGTAAACCAGTAGACCTACAACAAATAAAATATACAACAACAAAGCAAAATCCGAAGACACTTTACTTTGAAGTTGAACAAGACAACCTAATACCTTGTTAATAACATTAGAATTCCAGCCATCACACTTCAATCCATAATTCCACCTTATGCGTCCTGAGGATATTTTCCTAATAACCTTAGAACAATGAAGAACGTGAAAAAACTATAATATAGCACAAGATAAGTTCTAAATCATGGTCGTCTTCTAAATCATGATCGTCTTCAGCCCCAATACTTATACTTGTGCCTCCTCCCCTTGTCCTCGCTACCTCGTGCTCTATTTCGTGTCTCCGTGCCATTTTCATCAGCTGCGCAGCTGCCTTCGTCGTCGCCATGCTCGCGCTTAGGCGCTGCGACGTCGACGACCTTCCACTCAGTTGCCCTTTTGTCGTCGTCCCTGGGGGTAGTATACTATTCTTAAAGGTAGTTTTCACTATCTCGAGTCAAGTGGGTTGCCCCCATTGCCCCTTAGTCTCCCCTTTAAACCAAGGAGGACTCCACTCAGCATAGTCCACATGGGATAGTGATAAACTACACTTAATATTGGCTTCTTCTAAGCGCTTTTGTGCTTCCACGGACAGAACACTGCTGCGAAAAACTCGACGCGGAAGGGGACTGCTCGTCAGCGGCACTGCGCCTAGCATCGTAGACCGGTCTCGCTGCTCTGTAAACCGCCGAGGCTTGTTCCTACTTAGATAGCGGATGCATCCTGATACAACGAAAAGCGACGTATAATATCGACAGCCTTAAAGCTACTATAACCCTGTTATTCTTGAAGGCGATGACGGTCAAGTTCAGCTGAAGAAAAGCTGAACAAAACTACTAACGACCTTGTGTCTAGTGTTCATGATGAAGGATATTATATATTGTTGGAAGGGCTGAGCCTCTAGAGGTAAAAACTAACCGGCTGTTTTATCTTAGTGCTTCGAGCGCCGCTGGACCAAAGCCCCAACCTTATGAAAAGGAAGAAGCCAGTCTAGATTTGCAACACACCTCTGAGAAAGGGGATATTTCAAAACAAGTTCCTGCTATATACAAGACCAGAGCAGTTTCAGAATACTGAATACAACAAGACATGTCATGTGTGTGTCCCTCTCCCTGTCGCAGTTCCTATAAGACTACCTCCTTTTTTTTTTGCGTTAGGACTATATGCCACCGCCCTTTCAATCAATTAATTAACATGTTCAACTAAGATCATCCAAGTTACATACTGGAGGCGCATAAAGCCGTACATTCGGCCACAAATCTACGGACAATATTATTGCACAGAAGTTATGGATTAACCACACCCTGTACAACGAAAGCGACGTATAATATCGACAACCTTAAAGCAACAGCCTTCGGTCCTGGAGAAGCGACTGAGTTCACTACTGAAGGCGCACCCGAGCTACTTGGTGCTTGCTGAAGGCCTTGCTGCTTGTTGTCTTCTCCTGAAAGAACTTCAGTTGAAGATAGGGTGTTTGTGCCTGCAGTTTTATCGTCTGCTACGACTCCTCTTGGTCCTGAGCCACTCGTGCTCTGCCTTGAGGCCATCATAGCAGTCACAATATCGCGCGTGCTCCTTGTCCTGCTCTGCTGATGCATTAGAGGGCGTCCCGTCCTTCCCATTCCATGAATGGAAAGTAATTTCTACGACGTGCATCTCACGTTGCATCTCTAATGAAATTGACTTTCTAGTACAAGAACGAAAGAGGGGAAGGGGATCACTCACACTCTCTCATAGTCGAACTAAGTAGAACTAGGGAAAATCATTTTCACTAGTTCTAAATGAAAAATCATAATAACTTCCCGAGGAGAATCAAACCACTTTCTTAACTGTGCAGTAGACCCACCTGCTACATTGTTTACTAGCACGCTTCCATCGCCTCCGTCGTCTTTTAGGGGCATTACTTCGCTGTACAATTGGAGCGGCGGCACCCCAGATGAAGATCTTCCTTGTTGTACTGTCGGAGGACGAAGCTGCGCGGCGCTTGTCGCAGAAATTCCAAAAGTTAGAAGAACCCTATCAAGCATTATTTCTGTGGCCTAAGTCGTTATTTTGCCACTAGTACCTCCTGAATAGTAACTACGGGATGGACGGACGAACAGCAGAGTACTTACTTATATCCACTCTGAGCCGAAAAATAGAATGACAGCAACTAGTAACCCTATAATTCTTGAAGTCGTGATGTAGTAAAGAATGTAGCAAAGGGCACTGTCTCAGCCTTCGTTCTTGTGAACTAAAAAAGTCTAGCCTCTTCTGGGTGAAAAAGTAGTTTCTTCTTGCATACTCGTTGTAGCTGCTAGCCTTAACTGTACCGAACGAGGAGTGGTCATGCCCGAACTGCTGCTCAGTCCGCGGTGTCGAAGCGTCACCAAGTCATCTTCTTCTGCAGGAGTCGAGAGCGGCTGGAAGTAAGGACAAGGGATGAGGAGGGGCTACGATCATACAGCTACTTCATCTACTTCCATGTATTCGAAAAACTGAAATAAGCAAGTAACTGATCAGAATAACCGAGATACTGATGAGAAGGAAGAGTAGCCGTGTCAAAGCTAGCTACCTGCCTTATTTCATTCAGTAACTCGGTTATTTTGAGTTTTCGAATAGCTTGATATTCTCTGAGTATCAAGTTTCATTGTGAACTGGCCACGACAACTATCCACAATACTGTAACACGGTGCGGTCAGGCACTACGTTGCGATCAGTCGTCCGGCTGACAGCCCACAAAAAACTGTAGTACCTCTCCTGCATCATCATGTACAGCTTGCGTCGAGTCGGCCACTTGAGTAGCAAATAGCGACGACTTGTGCGCGTAGCGTCCATGCTGCGAGGATACCGATGCACGCCTCGATGGCAACCGAGGCCGATCGCCGGGCGATAAATGCAACATGGTGGATAATTCTTGATGAACTTGATGCACTTATCAAGATCAACTACCAGGGAAAGCATTTTTTGGAGATGTAGCCTACTTCGATCATCTTAGTCGAGTACTACAACAACAGAGCAGTCCCTACCTAGTCTTCACATTCATCATGTGCTTTTCTTCAGTTTTCTAGTGTGTTTCGGATTCGATCTATGTGCACTAAAACTTATTCATGAATGCACTTCAAACTCCTTTTGGTCTCTTTGTTTTGCTTCATTTTTGCAATTTTTTGGCTGAGCTATCGCGATTACGATTCTGCTTGCCGCAACTGGCCACTTTCGTTCATCCTTATGATATCGCGAAGCGAGTGCCAGTTCTCCTTTTTGGCTCGTCCTTTTTCTCCTCTCTCTGCCTCTGCAAGCCACACTCTTCGGCGAAGTTAGTATTTTTTTCGTAGAGTGAGAAGGTGTCTATTTTTCATCTTCTGCCTGTTTTTCTGTTCTGTTGTATTTGGTATCCACTATATTCTTGAAGCTATGGTATAAGAGTAAGTATATTCGATCTAGCACAACTCTATCATGTCCTACTGCGTAGATGCTCAGCGTAGATAAGGACGTTCTTCAAATTCATCTTTTAAACCAAGTTCGAAGTTGTACAAGCTGTCGGAACAATATGAACTAGGACCTGTTTAACAGAAGCAAGATAGATACATGATCATCAAATGGAAAAAAGTATTCAGTCGAACGGTAAACTGCGCTGTTCATTAGACTATGACATCAAAATCAAAGAGATCATAGTGTTTTGCCAAGAAGTGAGATTTTCCGAAAGAGTACAGGTTAGTTGTAAATGTGATTTAATTTCAATGGTAGTGTACACAAAACTAAGTTGAAGTTCATGAAAAAATTTTCTTTTCGCAAATTTCAATCGAAGAAGTACTACTGTGGTAGAGCACTTCAATCGAACAACTCCATCCGTAAAGTTCAATCCAAGAACTACTCCTGGAGTAAGCTTCCATCTAAGGAAACTTCCAGCAAACTTCAATCGAACAACTCCATCCGCAAAGCTCAATCGAAGAATTTGCGATCGTGTGGTGTCTGCGTCCCGAAAACGAACCATAAGGACAGGATCCCACCCAGTAACGGCACCACTTTGCGGTCCTTAGAAAGAGGATTGCTGTACTATTTCCTAAAGCTGAAACATCAAAGCCGGCCACTTTATACTAGCACGACATTGGAGGTTTGTGCTCTAGTGATTCTTGTTAGATGGTTGGTCTGATACTACTATCAATTCCTTTGTTCTGCTTCGATGAGCGTGCAACTGCATATCCTGAAAATTGTAATTGATTGATTGCTTGACTGATGTGCCTGGCGAGGAGAGGTTGAAGTTCTAAGTGACAGTGACAGCCTATCTGATATAACGTGAACGGTGGAGCCACCCTAACTAGGAAGAAGCCTGATATAGAAAAGAAGGGCGAACCTTCTGGGCAGTTAGCAACCTACAGGAGAACAACAACTTCCAACAATATTCACTTTAGGGCATAAATTGCAATGTGTAGTATATCTGGTCGTCTGGCCAATCTATCATGGATCGGTACTGCGGACAGTCCGTGAGGTAGTTGCGGATCTCCTCGATGTCTGGGGTGCTAAAATGCATAGGGAAAGCGCGGAATTTTCTGCCCTTCTTCACCGGAAAGTCGTCCATGGAAGCTAAGAAGGCCTCGTATTCCCGCACCCATCGTTCCCAATCCTGCGACTCCTTATTCATTAGAGCTACCGCGTTAGCATCTCCCTCTTACTTTAAGAATAGTACGGAGCAGCATCTTTTGGGTGGGGATTTCTTATCTTTTTCAGGTAGTAGAAAAATTTTTCAGGTAGTAGAAACAGTTTTGCCAAGGATGACGCTGACGATGCTTCAGCGGTAACCATAACTTCTGGTCAAAGGTCGGATCAGCGAGGGGCGCGAAGGTCCAATCGTATCGAGAAAATTAGACGACTTCCTAGAAAACGACTGCTCAATTCGTTCTACTGCAAAATCCGTTGCTGTGATCCTCTAATGCAATTCAAGAAACCCTCGTTGAACTCCAGTACTGTCTTGAAACAAATCGTGAACATGTGTAAGACAGTTTCAAGTACAACTGAGTCTACACTACGACGATGGTGCAGATGAAAGTCCCTCTCCTTCCAACAACATGTGATGACAATACACCTAAAAATTAATCGAGTAACGTGTTGACTACTCTCCTCCTCCTCATGCTTTACTTCATCTTCTGTTCCATCTGCCTTAAATCTGTGCTGCTTCCCTCAGATGTTCAGGACAGGAATAAGGGTCTAGATTCATGCGTTCCTCCAGCATGTCTATGAAATTCGAGAGGGTCCTGAGCAGTACCGGTCGCTCATCGAAGTAGCAGTCCAACCCTTTCTTCGCACGACTTAGACCTTGCTTCGTTTCGTCTTAACGTTTCTTCATCTTAATAAACAAGTGCATCTTTGACCGTTCTTTTCCCCTTGAAAATGCGTCAAAGTAAGATGCCTCTTCTTGAGAGGTAGAAGCAGTAGGGGTGTACAATCCAGTCCCAGACTAGGGGTATGTTGGAAAAAAAGTTTCTATTTCGTGGAAGCCTTAACCGATACAACCTCATGTTCTCCTTCATCTCGCTGAGAATGTTCTCCGTCATGCTGTCTGCGATCGGAACTTCGCATTAGACTCACCAGCTCTTTCGAGTAAATATCAGATGTTCAATGTTTTGTAGCATCTATTGATCAAGTATCAGATTATGTATCTATGTTGTTGCCCGGGATTTAAGCTTAGACTTGGCAGAAAACTCGAAGGTTTAGGCAGACCGCGAAGGGATCCTTTTGGTACAGTCTTCGTTCATATGAAAATGAAAATGTTTTGTAGCATCAACTTCATCTTTATTTCCATCGATCACTTCATATTAACCAGTTCCGGGACCCACTACATTCATTATACAGTTTGAGTTTGTCATTATCACTTTCTCCTTAATTTATTGGTGGCGGCACAATCACGTCGTGGTCGACGTAGGGTATGGCGTATTGGTCCTGTCCCTGTTTCGATGGCGATAGAAACGGGTCCCACAGCAATTAGACACGCGCTCATAATATGTCGCAGTATCCCTATCCTTCTTGACTTCATCTTAACAATATCATCTTACTTGAAAAAAAATCTCTATTTCCATATTTATTTCGTACTTGAAAAAGGGGACACAGAAGATCCTCCCTTTTGTTCCCTTTTCATCTTACAACTTGAAAAAGAAAAAGGAGACAGCACAGAAGATTCTTGTCTTTTGAAGGATGCACCCTTTATTTTTTCCTACCAAGAAAGGGCCACGACCAGGCTTTCGAAAAGGAGAAAAGCCTTAATGCAGTGGTTCATCGATGTTGAAGACGATACAGGCGGGGTGCTGGTTTTGCCTGTTCGCCCACACGTTCTGCATATTGAACACGCATTCCAAAGTCACATTAGGGGTTTCAAGTATTTGACATATGAATGTAGCACGACCGTCATCGAGCCGCCACGCGTCTCTGGTGGTCATCTTCTACGACTAGCGAGACAAGAGAGCTGCATCTTCACAGGGTTATTGTCTATGACTCTTTTTAGGTTCGGTTAGGTGTGGTCTATGACTCTTTTTAGGTAAGGTGTGGGCCCACTAGAAAAAATAGAAGAAGTTGGTCAAGAACTTGTACAAGTAATCCTTAATCACATAGGGCAACTCGGTTACCAGAGTCTCTCCCTCCACTAGCAGGTCCATATTGGGCGCAAAAACCATCGAGCTTGCCTTCTCCATCATGATCCGTTTTAACTCGTCACGACCTGAGGATGATGAATCATCTTACAATTTATCACCAAGCTGAAGACTGACAGATGGATCTTGTTTTAGTATCATGTTGATAGGTCACTGCGCTGCAGACGTAGAATATGTCGACGATGATGATTGCACCTATCATACTAGAGGTGTTCGCAAGTCTCTCCTACTCTAGCCAATGCAGAAGTACCAAGTGTCTTTTTTCCGCCTTGCTTCGCGCGCTGTTTTGCACGTGGTGGCCTGCCAACTAGACATTAGACGGTAGATGTCACTACGAGTAGATGGTTCACATAAAATACATGGTTCTAGCACTACTTCATCTTAGATGGTTCACATAAAATACATAGTTCTAGCACTTCATCTTCAACTGTATCTCTGTAATTGTATCTGTGGAGATCCTCTTGTACAGATGTTTTTGTTTCTCTAGCTCTTACTCTACAACTAACAATGAATCTGTGGTGGAGCATCATTATACTGAGAATATGTAGCACTTCCACTTCTATTGTAACAAGTTGAAGGGATGTCTCACAAGCATAGACTTGAATTTCCAGTGTGTCCAGCGTTAGCCGCGCATCGGCAACTTCACTGTCCCACAGCGGGTTGAAGTTCTTACGGCCATTATTAAAGGTTAGCAGTCATTCGTGGCCACGGAAGCTATCGAACGGAAGCTATCACCTGCAAAGCTCTCCCCTTCTTCTCAACCACCAGCGAGATGAGACAGTGCTTTTTGAAGCGTTCAGCGACCAACCACAATGACCACACTGTATTCTGACCCTTAACATTATCTTCCTCATCCTCCTCCTCCTCCATCAGCTCTATATCCATGCCCATTCTTGAAGAAAAAATCCAAACTAACGGTGCTTCGGTGCCAGGTACCAAGTCTTTGGTTAAGCCCACGTCGGTCATGATCTCGAACCTTAGAAGGCCGTTTCCTAGTACTTTTAGTTCTAGTTGTTGACAACTATGGAAGTTGTGATAACCAACATGTTCGACAACTTACAAGTTTAGTTCACTGCTCTACTTACAAGAAGTACTTTTAGTTCTAGTTGGAGAAGGCCCTCTCGAATTGACTAATTTCGTCATAATATTATATGCTCTGGCTGGGCATTACTTGGAAAAAGCTCCGGCGGCATGTCCAACCATTGCTCAATGTACTCGACTAGTGCGGAGGGGACTCCTTTGGCCCTGGCAGACGAGGGTGTAGGTCTAGGTAGTTCCAGTTCGTCTTCGGCATGGGAGGAGGTAAGAGGTAATTCGTTTGTTGAGACGACTAAAAATGTTTGACAACAGGTAGTTGAAAACGCTGTTGTTAATTGTTCGTTGAGACGACTAAAAACGTTTTTGTTTATGATAATGTTTGACATCAACACCAACATCTTCACAATTTATTAGCTGTAAGATCGTAAGTGGCTTTAAGCGTAGTTGTGGTTAGTTTGATACTAGAAAATCAACTATTTTTAGACAGGAATCATCTTCAAAATGATAGGTTGACAGTACTTTTCGACTTTTTCTATGATTTGGTCGCAGGCGCGTCTTCTCTCCTTTCGCGTTTTCTTTATGTGTGCTAGCCTTTTCTTCATCAACACTGAATGCTGCAAGTTCCATTCGTTTGGTGATTAGAGGTCTTATCTATCATTCTCGACTTGCTTTGGCTTATTTCTGTAGGTCTAAGAGTCGGTGGTTTGAGATGTGAGTAAATCTACGTAGCACTACAGTAATCAACGTCTAGTACAAATGAAACGATCCTCCATCTGGTGCCCCTGCACCTTGGATGATGTTGATGTAGGTAGAGGTACCACCTATTACTAAAAAATAAACTTCAACTTGATGATGCTACTCAAACCAATTGTTCCTAATCTGGGATGTCCACAAGGATCATTTTGCCGAGTCCCAAGCGCGTCGTCTTCCCACCGTCCCACCTTTTTGGAAGGACATAGCGTCTACCAAGTGATGGCTCCCAGAATTAACGCCAGGCAATCACTATCCGTGATTGAGTCAGTGATTGAGGTGAGTTACTTTCTTCCGTGGTTGAGTCAGTTGCTTTCTTTTCCCCTGAGTGAGTTGCTTTCTTTCCCCCTGAGTGAGTTGCTTTCTTTTCCCGTGAGTGAGTTGCTTTCGCTTTCTCTTCTAAGAAACGCTTTTCTAACTGGTAAGCTTGAGATAAGAGCCGAGAAATACTCGAATCTGCTGTGTAGGAACTAAATATATCCCGCTTAACAGAATATGACGCTTTTGTCACGCTCCAAAGTAACTACCCAACAATGCTCCACTGTCTTGCCATCAACATCCTGGATCTGACCCTTGCAAACGTACGCTGTTAGTTTTAGGTGTAAGACGTAGAAGCAAGATGGTAAAACTGCTAGTACGACTTTGAGGTGATTCGGTTAATATCTATTGAGATAGTGAAAAATCAATTGTAATTTGGACTCGTCGAGAGGCTAATGGAGATGGATTGAAATGATAAATAGGGTGCGCTTGTTGAAATGTTGCTTAAAACAAATTTACAAAGGCCAGTTCCAATGTGATCTATTTTCATGGTACCGTTTTAGATCTACGCAATTTTCCTACCGTTCTTCTTGCATCCTAATAGAATGCAGCACAGCAGCAGTGCGTGGTTCTGTGGGGGACCACGCCTACGCGCCAAGATGAATGCGACGTTCTTCAGGCTATCGTCTGGCATTAAGCCACTCCTCTCTTGCTTCGAACTGCTCTGAAATGGCACACAATTCATCCAGTGCAGTCATTAGAACAATACATCTCGAGATTCGTCGCGTCTAGATTATTAGTACATCCTGGACCAGAGGACCTTCTTTGCTTCTAAATAAAAGGCGCTCCCCCCACTAGACAAAATAGATGCCTCTCAACGTCAACAAACTGAAAATGAATATGGAAGATGGGTAACCAGTGTATGAAGCCTTAAATCAGCACTGCTGGTCTGCACAATTCTTGCGGTATTATGAGGGGGCACAGGAATGCTGGTAGCGGCAAAAGCATCCGTGTCTGCGGATGCATAGCAGTACACTGGAATCGACGGCAGCCACGTTCCGAATCCATGTTAGAGACGACATCATAGTACTGAATTATATACATTGATACGTATTCAACAAGCACTTGCACGTAGTTTTGATGTGGAGGTACTCTTCATTGTACCATTAGGTCCTCACGTCTATGTACTGTTGTACCATTAGGTCCTGTCAATAGTTCGTAATCCTTGGTCGATTCTATTATCATCAATGCTTACGTATCATGAGTGAACATGCCATCTCATAATCATCGGATCGTGTTTCTGGGGTCGTGCGCCCAAACTATCGCCGAACGGCCCCGCGTAGGACTGTCGAAAGTATGAAACAAAGGCGCTTCTTCCATCTAAAGAGACCATCCAGACTCGCCTTAAAGTGGGGACGAATTGGGCAGCCTTCTAGATTGTCTGCTAGATGCAAGAAAAATCATCCATAGAAAAAGCTCGTTACGTTGCTCCCAATCTGTTTTGAGCTCTTTCCAAACATCGTCACCTCCTTCTTCGTTCAAAATTTCGTCAATGCGCACATCATGGTCCCAGTCGGGATAGAAGTAGGCCTCAAAATGCACCTGCGGTGGCCCGCCTCCGGCATTTGGCAAGTTGGACCCTTTTAACTCCGTTTTCGCGCCATCAAAGACCCTGGTTGTTTGTTCTCTTTCGAACCACTGATAGGTCCTTGGCTTCGCGAAGTCGTCGTCGGGATCCACCTCTATCGGCTTCACTGGTCCTGTGAGACAGCGACCTTGTCGATTCTTGGTCAGCAAGATGTCTGCTATATCGAGCAGCGGTATGAAGAGGAGAGGGAGAGAGTACGTCTGCTCCTATATGCGCGTAGCTATATCGAAGGGGAGAGAGTGGCTAAGATATGTTGATCAATGTATGCTATGTCGAGGAGCGATATGAAGGGGGGAGACTGGGGGCTATGATGATATGGTATGATATGATAGACTGATCAAACAGAAGAAAGTGCCCACTATGACTGGGAACTGAAAGGTGTTCAATCCTCCACTACTAAGCATAACATATCCGCCCAAGTAGGTTGAGCTCGTGTCATCGTCATCCCAAACCTGGATGTTGACAGGACCTTTACTTTCCAAATCTAACCTCAAGGCTGTCTGCCTGAACTTCTTCTGCGATCTCATTTCTATGAAAGAATGACGCTTGCTTTTCTCCGTAGTTCTTCTAGACGCTTTATTTTTCCTCACCTCTAGAACAGCAGGAGAGTGCCTGCCTCGATGGCCCTCCACTAAAGAAAATGGGAGAAAAAACGCCATCCATAATCTGTGGAAAAACGAGTCTGACCGGGAAAAACAGTGTGAAGTTGAACACTGGTCTGCAGGTCCTCTTCAGAATAGGCGAGAACTGAGCCATCCCATCCCAAGCTACGCGTAAGTACGGATCACTTGTACCCAGATCGAAGTCGCGTGTATTAGATACGCAGGAATCGCGCTATGGCAATCGAAAAAAACTCAGTTACTCGTGATACTAACGTAGGAATAGCGCTATGTATACTTATATAATTCTGCTTTTCTCTTGATGTACTTAAGGACAGCTCCTTAAGGCAATCTTCAAAAGACTCAGTTACAACTCATCTTCAAAAGAGACAAGTATCCTCTCACGAAGATTGATTCTTTTTCCAAAAGAATTGACAATATGCTACAACGAGGAGCCTTAACAATAGGAAGGTTCTCACACTTCGCTACTCGCACCACAAGATACTGCTCTTTGCTGCTCAGATGCGACACCATGCCACTGCCTTTGGGCTGCTCTGGTCGCTCTTTTACATCCGTTTCCACTTGTCGCATGCCACGAGAGAGCTCTTCGACCTTGATGTTTCCGACTAGCTCTCCTACTAAAAATTTCCTCCGATCTACGGTCAGTGCCTTTACACGGGCATTGATTAGATCGAGTCAACATTTAACATCATCAGTGCTTTCATACGGGCATTGATTAGATAGAGGCAACATCAGGATCAGCATGGTTCTTGATCATTTAATATCGTATACTATAAGTCAGACGAAGACGGAGCAATAAAGACTCTAGTAAGTAGTTGTTGTCCTATTACTTGGTATTCTGTCGGTGTCTTCAGGAAACGATAACAAAAGAGGAGGACGTTATTGTAGTTTTTATGGAAATCGAGGTCTTATTTTTTCCTTCTCAGTGATCTCTCAAGTTACCCAAATTACTTTTCCCTTCTCTCCCTAACCCTAAGGGTCTCAGCTTTTCTACCCACTCCTTCCAACGCCTTCGAGTACACAAGCAAGAGTCTTCAATTACATCATGACATCAACATCATCTGCAAGCAATCCGGCAACAGCCTCTACCTATCATAACTTTAAAGCCAAAGAGTGTAAGGCATTGATTTAACGAACTTGTTGAGGAGGTTGAGAAGCTTTCAGCTCTCAGCAGTTCCTACCTATCATAGCTTAAACACTGAAATATCCAAGACGCTGGTCAAGCCGAAGAGGGCACGTCCAATGACAGTTCCGGGATAACCGCCTGAATCGATCCACTCTGGCGGATCTCCTGTGGCACTGCTCACTACGAGGTACTGGTTCTGCAGATGGGTCCTGGTTCCGGTGAAGGTAAAGACCTAAAGTTAGAAGATGAAGAGCAGGACTAGGACGTACTCTGGATTGGAGAGCGACCGGTCGTCCAGATTATGGTAAAAGTTGTTGTCCCCACGAACATGGATCATGAGGCAGACGAAAATGACATTGATCAGCAACATAGTACGAGTATTGATTGATTGATCTGCCTATTCTTGAGGTACAAATAGGGGGGGGGAGGGGAGTATAATGGATCGAATAAAGAAAGTAGATACTTACATAGTCGAAAATTCTGTCAAGAAATCTCAATCCTTAACCTGGTTTTGGCCAAAAAAATTTTCCCCGCTCTTCGTTCCACTTTGTACTCCGCAATGTACACTGTCGTGCACGCTCAGCCTGTCCGTGTCGACTTCGCGGCACCGCAAACGTCAGCTTATTTCGCGCGTCTTTCCACTTTGTGGCGCCATCAGGATGGGTGGTATCTACATGGATTAGAAGGTCCTTAGGAAAGAGGAGTAGACGAGGCAATTCATTATCGGTAAGGTCCTAACATTCATGAGGTACCTAACATTCATGAACTACCTGCTACAACGCTGATGTTGATGCGCACCAGTGGTACTAACTTCTTTGACATAAGCTATCTATCCTCGTATGAAATACTAGCCATTAAGGGTTCGGTCCTTTCCTTAACTTAAAGGTCCAGTTGTCGAAGGACAATCGAAAGTCAAACACCTCTTCGATATTGATACTGCAGGAAAGCTTAGAGCCGCCACGTTTGCATCCCTCACGCCATCCTTGGCTTCGTTTTCAAGTAGAAAACGGGCCACAGATCATGGTAAGGATGCTTCAGCGGTAGCCATACAAAACCTTGCCACATCGAACGGACGCTTCTTCTCTGCAATCTCGTCAAAGGATAATTTCTTCTTCAACATCAAGTCTTGGTTCATGCTGCGCGTAGCGAACTCCATCAACGTCTTCGAGATGGTCCCGTAGTGCTCTTAGATGAACTTGAGTACATTATATATAAATTCAGTGTGAGTAATTTCATCGTCCTCGTCGAGTGCATCTTTGTAGTATCTTTTCTCCTGAGAGCGCGTTACCTAGTAAGATGCCTCTTTTATTCTGAAGATGAGTCATACATCGTCACCATTCTTGAGCCTTAATACTCGTTAAAAACCCAGTTATTGATTTTCCAGAGATCAATCTGCAAACAGTATGAAGCGAAAATCTGTTATCATTATCAAGTTTCTGAAGAAGAAAAGTATGACAATGACAACAGATTTTCTTTTCATAAACAGTGCTTCTCTAGCTCTGCGTAGGGTAAACGAAACCTTTTGTTCTGTATCAGCGCAATCGGCTCATCCAAGTCAGCGGCTTCTCCAGGAGATGAAAGGAAGCGGAAGAGGAGGAGGAGATAAGGTTCAAGGAGATACACAGGAGAATAGCGTACGAAAGAAGTAAGAATTTAGCATACTCTCCAAGAGCAGATGAAAGAAGATGAAAAAGATGAGAGGGAGATAGACACAAGCTGATGATCGTCGTTCATCTTCTTGGTTCATATTTTTCATGTTGATCATGAAAATTTCATTGTATCTGGTCCTAAACCACTTTGATTTTCTAGACAACAACGGTGGAAATATCAGAAGTAATCATGACTGAGGCTGTAGTTTTTCATGCTCATCATAGCTTTTTCAGCGAGAACATGTTCGTATAGACGGGTCTGAGACGCACTCTTGGTAACCGTTTCGCTGTGGAGCTTCGTACGGATACAGCGAAGAAGAAGATCATTTCCTTGTTGGTGACATTTTCGAAATTTCGTATTTCGAAGGTCATTTCCCACATCCTACTCCTCTGCTCTGGTGGTAAGTTCATTTCTGATCGACCTCCGTCGCCGCCTACGAATTGCGCTCCGTAAGCACCGACCATACCAGATGCACCAGCAAGTTTACCGAGACCAGGCACACCTACTTGCGGAATGGCGCCCGTTAACGAGGAAAACCGCGATTTTCTCTTGCCATCGCCACCACCGCCATCCTCTGCTCCGCCTCCAGGACTCTCAGGCGCATCCGCATCTTTTTCGCCAGAACATGAAGAAGAATGTAAATGCTAAGTGGTTTCTTCAACAAAGTGAACTTATATGTCATGGATTTTGCTCAAGAAACCCGACGTACAAGGCCTGTGCAGAAAGAAACAATTCAGTATTAATGTCGTTCTTGATGGAGATACTCTAATATCTTCATCTTATCACGACATTTTTGACTTTTGAAATCTTCCAGTTCGGTTCTCCTCTACTTAACTTCGATTGTCTTGAAGGTGAGCCCTTGGCATCTTCCTTGCCGACGGTGACCGCCACGTCATCTGGGCGTAGCTCCATGTCATCCGACATGCTGGGCAAGCGCTGGGCAAGCGTACGGGACACGAATCCACCTCTCCTTACTACTACAGCAAGAGTAGGAGCAAAGAGACGAGATATAGTTTTCGTTAGTTCCTACATTTTGCTGGTTTTTCACATGATCATGTTTGTGGCTGTAGTGGTGCTTGCAGTAGTGTTGTGATAGTGGTTCATGGAGTTGTAAGGATCATGTTTAGTGAGGAATCACATTCAAAAGTAAGGAAAAAAATGCGTCATAAGGAGCTTAGGAAAAAGTAAGGGAAAGGAAAAACTCAGAGGAGGTGAAATTGAGAAGAGGTCTCCATGGACTCCTTAAAAAGGACAGATCGATGTATTATCTCAAAACCGAATCATAGCTGTTTCTTCGTCTCGGAAATGTATTTCTCTCAACGCAGTCGCAGATTCATCGCTCAGATTGCACTTACACTCCTGCGTCAGAGGCAGTCTCCTGATCATCTTCATGAACATCCAAACACCTCTAAGGTTCTGAGGCATCAGCTTCAGCATAAGGCGAACAACCTATTGTGTCGTGCATTTCTATTGCTTCTTTCCTAAAACTTTTAATTTACAAGTTGTATGGAAAAGAGCGTGGAAAGATGGCCATGAAATCGGTCACAAAAGTATTGAACAATAGTGAAGAAGTAGAAAACGTCTGAGGTTGAAGAAGTGGTCTTCGTCATGTCAACCGTAACCGTTTTTTGGCGCAGGCCTGTTCTTTGTCGTGTCAACCGTAACCGTTCTTTTGGCGCAGGTCGGTTGATGTTCTTTTAGGAATGTGGTAGGGTTCTTCTTCTTTCACATCAGAAATTAGAAGTTGTAGTTGGAATACACTTCGTTCCTCTTCTTTCACACCGTTGTTGTATCTATAGTACAGCTTGTTATTGCTTACCGTCTTGTATGACACCAACAAGGGACTCCCGGCTTTGGCTTTTACATTGTGAGTCTAAGTAATATTGCAGCAGCAGGGCACCTTCTGAGTGTGAAGTGAAATGACCAACGATGAATAACTGCAGCATGACTGTTTCAAAAAAAAGTTACAGTAAAAATGATGCTGACCTTCAGTGAAATAAGATGGAAAAATGAGTGTGATTTCAATGATCATGTTCCTTTTGAATGACCTAGTCGGATGCCCTGTGAATGAGTACAACGAACTATGACGTCGTTAATCCCATAAGGGAGGGAGCACAACAGCTAGACTGCTATCTAAAAGAGAGATTCAAATCTCTGATTTTGATGTGGTTACATCATCGCATCTGTAGTTGAGTTCCTTATTCTGGCCATCGGCGAGAAAAAACTGTCTTAGGTACATCAGAATCTTCACATGGGGAAAATTACTAGACAACTAGGGGCAATAAACAACTCAAGCTCAAGCTCGCGGGGGTTTCCCGTTTCTCAATCGCCCTGGACCGCGGTCCACGTTTTTTTTTTGAGTTGATGAGAGGAAAGGGAGACCAGAAGAGATAGGTTACTTATTATATTCTCTGCACACGCATAAACGTAATACTATCAGGTGAACATTTCCGATAAGATATGTCATGATCTCCCAAAAAAAGACACGACGCATCGTCATTGTGCACTGATTTTTCTTGCATATTTGATGAAAGCAGTAGATGGAGTCATGCCTTGAAGTACATACGACAAGCATAGACTACGAAAACAAGAACGGCGGCAGAAAATCTAAAGTAATAAGTAGAAATTGCGTAAAGTACATTGCATGAACCAAGAGAAGGGAACAATACAGAGTGTCGTGTTGATGAACCAAGATTGATGATATTACCGGATACAGGTAATTCCTGTTTAGTTGTAGACGCACAATTTTCGATTCTCAACGAAGTTACCCCCTTGCTGTACTATATGGAAAACTTGCTCCTTCAACCAACCACGTGGAAGTTATCATCCTTGCATATTTCTAGGCCGCGGTTCCGGTTCAGTAGGTGTAGGTCTTTAAATACATTCAGGACCACACGAACAACTCTATAACTTTTTAATTGGTCATGAGGAGGGGAAAACTTCTGCCTTTACACCAACTAAGCATCCACGCAAGCCCAATTTTAGAGTTTTTTCTATCTTTGGATACAAAAAAAAACATGAATTCAAAAATGCGTTACGAGAGTAGAAGCCCCGGACGACTTCGACGAGAGAAAGCTATCTTGTGAGAGAAAGCTACTACATCTTGTGACTTCTCAACAATAACAGCGGCCCCTTCTATTTGTATTTTTGATTGCGCGAGTGAGAAAAAAAAAGCCGCAATAATGGTTCTTTTGCCGCGGCTCGTCGCTACTGAACAGATGACACGGGCTTTTTCTGCATTGCGAGTCGGACAAATTGTGAACACATAAACGATCAAAAAAATATTTCGAACAGCTAGATTTGATATTCATAGACAATGGCGATTCTTGATATTCATAGACGATGACGATTTAAGGACGATACTGATAGATGATAGTAAGGATTCGAGAACTAAATCAGATAGATGGTATTAAGGATTTGAACAACATCGATCGAGCCTACTTGAGGTCGAGACTACTTCAGGTTGAGTCTTGAGTTCCGATCATGCTTGCATGACTAGTAGTAGCAGTAAACCCATTCTAGGGGTACATCTTGCTTGTTCTGGGGAATGGGTTAATTAAAATAGAAAATATAGGCTGCAACTAGGACGAGAAAGGCGAGAACTAAGGGCGCAACACCGATCCCAGGACCGCCTGAGGAACCACTCAGCTCGCCGTTTCTGGGTATCAAAGCACCCGCATTCATTTTCTCCTCGTCGAGGTAACCTGTCAGCAGAGGAACAGTGCGGCTCGGGTGGTAAGTGTGTAGTTCAGGAACAACAAGGTTGTAACAAGATTCATACATGAGATTGTTGACCTGGATCTTACAGGATTCAGCGAACAAACGAAGATAAACAAAGTAAGGAAGTAAGTAGGGAAGTAAGTAAGGAAGTAATTAAGTAAGTAAGTAGGTAAGTAAGGAAGTAAGTAAGTAAGTAAGGAAGTAATTAAGTAAGTAAGTAGGTAAGTAAGGNAAGTAAGTAAGGAAGTAATTAAGTAAGTAAGTAGGTAAGTAAGGAAGTAAGTAAGTAAGTAAGGAAGTAATTAAGTAAGTAAGTAGGTAAGTAAGGAAGTAAGTAAGTAAGTAAGTAAGTAACTAAGTAAGTAAGGAAGTAAGTAAGGAAGTAAGCAACTACAGATTTGATTTTAAAACTTCATACTCAAAGAAACCAGTAGTACCTACAACAAGCTTGTCTGTCCATTCTCTTGCCGAGTCGGAGTGGCCAATATCCTCAAAATCCTCTGATACGTCCTTCCCTGCTAGTGCTAGGATTACCTGTGACGTCGAAAACATAAATCCTTCAAGATTGGATGGTCATGAGAAAGGACCTGAAGGTGTATTGTGAAAGGATTTTATCCTATTAATCTTTCTTGGTCATTGGAAGATTAATGCTGCTGCATCCTCCATATCAATGCTGGCTGAAATCGAAATTTAACGAAGAAGGAGTTGAGCTTCCGGTTCGTTGATGTTGAATGCATCCAAGGATACAAAATTGCTTACCTCTGGCCCTCCTGGGTGCTCGTTTCGCAACTCCTTGTTTACCTCAATTACGAGACCATGTATCGCGACCTGAACTTGGGCGATTTGATGAAGGAAGGTCGAAAATAAGCATAATAATGACTCGGATTGGTTCAAGTGCCCCCCATCCGTGAGGTATGATTTACATCGCATTGTTTTAGTCGTGTGTAACCAGACTACTCCATTTAGAAGCAGCTACGTTGTATCAACAAGATCATTTCTGTAGATACCCAGCAATCTTCTGCGCTGTCATGCTTTGCCAGCTCCTCTAGGGTGATGAGCCTCTTAGGCGGCCCAGAGGCCTTCTTCTCCCCTGCCTCCTCTTTACTCGTCATTGTCATAGTCATATTCTGTTCTGATGGAAGTAGGATGACGGTTTCTTCCAATCTTGTCGCAGCAGTTGAGAGAGAACAATGGGATTAAACGAAGACTGAAAGAACTAGAGGAACCAGAAAAGCAGACCTACGTACAGGGGTACCTTCAAAAAAGCTTGGAAAACAATCAAAGAGGTCTTGTGAACGAACACAAGGACAAAAACAGCCTCAAATCCTAGGTGGAACTGGAAAAGCTGATAAAAGAATCCAAGTGCTAAACGCAAGGATATAGTGTACAACTACTAGACGGATGAAGCCGTACTTAGCCGATTCTTGCCAACTATCTATAGTATGATAGATGCTGCGCAATGCAATCATATTTATACTTTTCTTTGCAAAGTCACGAGTAATCATGTCGAGCAAAAAGCAAACAAAAAACAGAGATTATGGATAGTTCAGAAAAGAACATTGTTGAATGATCCTGGCTTGTTTGTATTAGAAGGACGACTATGATTCGAATGAGATATCTTGTCAAGAATCAAATTCTCGAATTTCCTTAGCGCAGCCCACGCACTTTTAAGGGACCACAGTACCACTCTCGTTTTTTGCGTGACAACATCGCGTTTCGATCCACGACATGCTTGTTTTATGCCTTTAACATTTTGTAACATCACTCAGTCATCATTCACTACACACACGCTTTAACACACGCCTTCCTCCGTCTGCCGTTTGCCAATACATGCTTTTGCCGGGATATATGATACCTCAACCTCTACTTGGATTTTCTAAAAAACCAGAAATTTTTCCTTTAACAGATATCTTTTGCTCTCGTCTTGACAGAACAAGCAGCACTGTTTTACGCTGGCTGAGTTTCGCAGCTATAATAGAACAGTCGTCGCCAAGAACTGTCTAACTAAGACTTCAATTATACTATGCATAGGAGCTTTCCATAAAGAACTTCCGCTGAACACAGCCTGAAACCAGAATGGTCTCAATGTCGTCTTTACAACTGTGTCGTCGTAAGGACTCTGTCGTCAAAAGAAGTGATTACGGTGTCGCTCAGGGTTTCATCAACATCTAGCTTCTCGTCAGCGTTTGGGTTGTAGTGCTTTATTAGTTCGACAGGGACTGTCGATATTCCATTGGATTTCTCATTATGTGTGGCGCGGGCGTCGTTGTGGGACTTACTGCTTTAGCTTTCCTCATTACTACAACAGTAAAAGCGAATCAATCTTCAAATCAAATAGATACCTTTTTAGTTGGGTAGGTGACACATCAAACAAATAGACCGTATACATAGATACAGGTACGTACATTGTGGGAAAATTATTCCTTTCAATGTGCTGATCCAGAAGAACTAAGTACATGTAATTATAACATCCGAGTTTACAACTCGTCCTTGGTCGCCTCTTGCGCAGCTGCGTCTTCTGAGGGGCTATCCGTGTCCTTCGATCGGTACTGCTCGACGAAAGAGATTAGAGCTATCACAAGATGAAGAATGTGAAGTAGTGATAAAAAAGTCTATTGCGATAGAGGGCGATTTAAAAAAGCCATCAATTGCAAGAGTCTAATGGAATCCATAGAACGTCGGCTTATCATGTTGTACCAAAAGGTGGCTAAAGGTTGTTGGGAAAAAAAGCTTCAGTTTAGTACACCATGAAAGTCGTTAAACAAGTAAACCACCTTGGTTCTAGAGAAGTCATAACTGAATCATCGTATCCAAGTTGCGATCGCCGACGTAGTGCACACTGTGGTATTCTGGGTCGTTCCGGCGATACAGCTTCAGCGTTGGGTAGCCCTGGATCACTTCCTCTACCTCCAGCGGGAGGTCATTGGCCGTCGCGTCGAATTTCGCGATCAGAACCGTGGAATCCGGTACGTTGTACTTGGCCGCCAAATCGCGGTACAGAGGCTCCAGCTTTTTACAGTGGCCGCACCAAGGAGCAGAGGTTAGAAAGACAAGCGAGAGCTACTTAGTTAGTCGTTATAAATTGTGGAGTGAGCAGATTCGAAGAAGTTCAACAAGATGTTGAGTAGCCTCTTGTGGTACGCATACGCTTTTAGTTTTGAAGAACTAACTCACTATAATAGACTATCTATCAAACAATAGTGAACAAGCTCAAGCTCTCTTCTCCATAGGTAAAATTTGACCAATACGTCGGAGCTCTTGAGAGTGTCCAGGAACTCTTCGCCGACAAGGGTAAAGACTTGACCTTGATCCCGTGTGTTCTGGCTCGGCGCGTGTTGGCTCTTCAGATGCGGTGCAGCACGGGCGTCCAGGAAGTCCTCGCAGAAGTCCTCGATCTTTGACGGTGTCACGGCTAGAGCGTTATTCAGGTAGTTCAAATCACTGTCCTCTGATTCTTAGAGGAGTACTCGAATTTTCTGCCTTGTGGTGGGTGATAAAGGTAATTCATCCTAGTAGTAATCTTTCCCTAACTACATAGATTTCCAGAAACGACACTCTCAGTGCTTGTCTCAGTCTGCTCACCACATCTGTGCAGAGGAAATACAACAAGCAAAATTTTGTTTTCAAGGATGCAGCTGGCAACCAATCTGAAAGATGTTGCACTAAATTATCGTTATACTCATTTCAAAACAAACTACAACAACATCTCGTAAGATTCAGTATCCGGTAACTGGATTGGCAATTTGTACTTGACCATGCCATCTGTAGGGTCCTTCACGATGCGAATGCATGGCAGGTCCTCGTAATCTACGCTTACGTAGTCCATCAATCGCATGTCCATCGGCTGTTTGAGGTATATGCGATTTTTTGGGTGAGGGTGATGTGGAGATCTGAGGATATAAGTATTCAAAAAAATGGTGAAAACTTCCTCTCATGCCGCGTTTACTATGAGAGTAGTTGTACGTAGTTGAGAGTAGTACGTAGTAGATGTAGATAGCTCGGACTTAGAGCAGAAAAATTGAAATCATGAGTTTAAATTCTGTGCCAACAGGATGATCTTCATCACTCAGAGTGGAAAGAATATACCTGTTCAGCTCCAGCCAGGACGACGACAAAGTCTTGTTTGTATTTCACCGCCAGTTGGTGCAGACTGTCTTCGATCAACTGCTGTTGCGTTACAATGCCGTCTTTGTGGGACTCTGAGGCGAGCGCACCTGGTGAGCAAGAGATAAGAGCCGAGAAATACAGGCAATGTTAGGTTAATAGCACTTACTTATTAAGTATTCGAACACGTGGTTGTGCTACACAATTTAACTTTGACTTTCACCAGTAGTTTTATCTTCTTCCCAGCAAACAACTCAAAGAAACTCCTCAAAAATAGCAACAAATGAGAAATATACCTCGTCCTTCGTCTCGGAAATAGACGAGCATGGGTCTTGGGTCATTGAATAGCAACGCTGCGTTTTCTCCGGTAAATACGTTGACGTTTGGCATACTGTAGACCGCAATAAAGAATTAGAGTTAACTTTATGAGGACTATATCTCAGTGTCTGCGTGTCTGATCTACTTCCATGTTGGCACCTACTTTTCCCTTGTTTTATTCTATGTACTATGGGAAGAAAAGGATACCAGAGGGATGGCACCTTTTCCCTTGTATCCTTCTATGGAAAAAGAAAAGGATACCACACACATTCCGAGAAGAAAGATGGAGAAAAGCTGACCATAAAAGAATCTGATGTCGTCCCCGACCCTCTCCCAGTACTCTTCTTGCCCTTTAATCGAGATAGCATCCGGAGTCACAATAGGCGCGACTGCCGCACCCTCATCGAAGGGGTACCGCATATAGACGACGTCGCCATCCGTGATTTGCATTAGAAAGTGAGGCGCGGGGTTTGGGTTTGGTTGGGCCAGTAGTTGGTTCAACCATTATCAGATGTATATGTTTTTAGGTCTATGATCTGCGTAAATGATGGTGTTATAGAAGAATCATCGAATTATATCAAGGAACAAGTTGTATCACACCATAGCTTGACACTTGGTAAGTTCTTCACGCTGCTTTCCGCGTCCACAACAGCCTGTCCGCGTGCGATAGTTGCGTCGTCTACTACTTGCCGCAGTAAAGAGTTCGGCGCCAGTCCAAAAAAGATGTCGTCAAAGGTTACGCCAACATCTTCTAGCGTCTCAATCTTCTCCGGATCGTCGCAAAACGCGACCACAATACCACCCCCAATAGCAGCGGAACTACCTGCAAGTCGTGGTAGGGTAATGAAATCAAAAACGTTTACGTTAGAGAACTTGCTTCGACAACGTTTTTACTTTGATATGATGATATACCCAGTCAATTTTGCAATGTTTCTAACTATATTTGTCCTCCTTTATTGCATTTCTCCTCATGTTCAGGAATGGAGAGATTAAAAACGTTTCAACATATAATTCATTGATACCACGACTTGGCGTCGCATCTTTTACATTTGTATCAACGAACAATAACATATTTATTCATACCACTTGGAGTCGCATCTTTTGCTTTGGCGTCAAAGAAAACGTTGACTTCTTCTGCAGTTTTCAAGTGTACCAAGATTGGTCCTGATTTTTTGTCCACCCATGCCACTATATTGTCCCACATGCGCCCTCCAGCATACTCCATGTTTCTATTAGAAGAACTAGGTTATCTTCCATGTTGTCTGTGTCGTCTGTATAATCTCCTATTTTGCCATCTTGGGAAGATGAAGCATCTACCCCTGGACTTGTGCGTGTTCTTTTCCTGCCTTGCATGTATTATCAGGGGTAGAACAAGCTGTCTTGTAAGGGTAGAAGAACGCTCACAGGGTAGAAGAATATAAGTACAGGAAAAACCGCCGTAACTTTTCCCGATACGAAGAATTTTAGTGTCGGATACCCGCGGACGCCATAGAGCTCCGCCAATTTCGTATCCACCGTAGCATCGACAACTCCAAAAGGGATCGGAGGATCTGATTTGATGGTGTTGGTAGGCGGGTGGGTGGCGGGTAGGTAAGTAGTAGGCGGTGTGCTTTCTTTCCTCATTAAATCTTCCGCGTACAGCCTTTCAGTGGATCTAGATTTTACATTGAGATGTACCTGTAACATGCACACCAGTGACTGAGTATGCTTAGAAGCCAGTATCAAATACCCCGTTCCTGAAGTTTCTGAGCTGCCTTGATGTATTCGGTTCGAAACTGCTTGCAATGCCCACACCATGGCGCATAAAACTGCACCAAAACATATTTGTGACTGGTTATGAAGTCTGCAAATTAGAGCCCAATCTTCATCTCTATTTACGGGCATAAGTACCCACCTAAGAATCAATCCCAGAAGAAAACCTCTGAGGTAATAAATACTTTGTAATACATTTACATGAATATGAATTGTCGTGTGCCTTAATCAAAGTTATCTGCCGTGAGCAGGGTTACCCCATTCTGGCTGTAGTCGTCAGGGCGCAGATCAGAAATTGCGCTCACACCAAGGATCCACGAAGCGAGGCAGTGGATACGATTAGAGCAGATAATCGCTCGGAAAAGCAAACGTCATGTTCTTGAGAAAGGGATAACTAAAAGTTTGTACTTTCGAAAAGGATTGGAAAAAGCCGTTGATTTTAGTAAGTAGTATTCGTTCGCGTGAAAGAAAATGTGAGCAAAAATTTAGCCGTTTCAAGCTGGTCAAGTAAACGGAAGAGTAAAAATTTACATTTTTTCTTGAAACCCTCAACATAACAGAAAGCAGCAATGGGCACAGCGCTAGTAGTCTCCCTATCCTGTTTCTCCGAAGGACAGCTCTAACGAATGTTTCATGTATTAGTCCCAGGAGTGAGCTTGCTTTGCTGTCCTCTATTAAGGTTTGCGTGCGCACCCTCTCCCTTTTCCATGTTCCTTCACTTGGCATCGTAGCAGCTGTAGCAAGATAACTCTCGCCTTGCGCACAAGGACCACTTGACGACTGCGATTCCGTCATAGCTTTGGGAAAAACGGGGATTGCTGTCGATATTGTCCTACTCCTACACCTACTTGTTTTGACTAGAAACTGATAAAGAACCTCCTCTCAACAATCAAATTAATAGACAACCGAGGACGTAAATTATATTCTACTTGTTTCCAAGACTACACGATATTGAATTACTACAAAAGGAAGTTGGAGTAAAGAAGGAAACAAACGAAAGAAGACAAAAACTAACAATAGAGTTAAACTAACAACAGAGTTAAAAAATTTTTCAAAGAATTACTTCGAATCACCGTCCACCTCTGCAAAAGCGCGAAAGAAGCATTTTAGGTGGCGACCAACGATCCATAGCCTCGTAGGACAAGCAGTGTAGTAGAACAAGTAGTAACAGCATAAGTAGTGTAGTAGAACAAGTACTGTTGTGTAAGTCCTTCGCTCGTCGGCACAGGATCGAGACAATTCAGTTCTTTCCTCTCAGTCGTGGCATTCAGACCCACTCTTGTGTCTGAAGAATGAATGGTCTTCTCCTACAAGGATAGGTTAGGTCCTCTCCTACAAGGATCTGAGTTAGATGTGACAGAGACTTGACCATCAAACAGCGAACAAAACGACATTGTTCACGCCAGAAGAAGATGACTCAAGCCCTCTCGGAATTTCATCTCTGTTTTGCTCGACGGCCACCTGCGCAGATGAGTAGAAGAAAAAGGAGCAAGTTCTTGCAAATTTAAGATTCATTCATGAGTCATTGGAAGATTCTGGATTTGACCACTAGGAAGATTCTGCATGAAACATCATTGACAGACCAGGGTCAACAAGCCATTTGTTTCTTTAACATCTCTTCACAACTCAGATGCCCTTTTTTACTTCGTGTTAATCCATATTGAAAATGAAATTGATAATCTTGAACTACCTCCCCAGAGCCCGAAGTAACATCATTAGTAGGAGTAGTGTCCCATTTATCGCTTGCTAGAGAATCATTTTCCTTTCTTCCGTGTAGAAACTAGGCCGTCGTCCTAGTTCTATCTGATAGATGTGTTAAAGATTCATGACTTGTTCCTATACGTCTAAGATACGAATCGTCCTATCAAATTACCACTATGAAATTATACCTCGATGTTGACGTGGTCTTAATTTGAGTTCTTGTCTCAGTCTCTCTACTAGAACAAGCACGACAAATGCACGTTCGCAAGTACCACTCCAACCAGCTCTTTTCCATTTAAACAGGGGCTGAGGTGTGGAGAGTGTGAAATCAGATAACCTCGAAAAAAGAACGAATTAACGAACATACTGGAGGCTTCGGACTTACACATTCTCCCTCCCGTGCTTGTCGTGTACTCACTAACGAAATCCTTAGTAGCCAATATTTTTCGTGTTGTTGTTCATACCTATTCAGTAGAACGTGTTGTTGATGTCGTGTAACGTTTTAGCTCCTGATGTTGATACCTATAATTGACATGAAGACTTTCTTGAGAAGTAGCCCGAAAAGATGATGTTGATTTACCTGTAACTAAGTCTATAATTGATTCTACTTGATGATGGACATAAGTCGAGTTCCTGTTTATGCTTCGATCATACCTACGTACAACATCGATAGAAATTTAGATAAGAAAACGAATGTCATTTTTTTAGGGCGGATCTATTGACTTCGCGTTTGTAGTATGTTTCTGTTCCGACACCACTAGACCACAGTTATACCAGCAACTGTAGAATGAGAGTTGGCGACTGTCGTGTTACTCCTTAACACAACAACGGCGCTCGTAGTCTCCGGCTCGTCCGCTAGAGGATAGTAAATAATTGATGCATCGCATTAATATTTGTGGAGTAGTCCTCTTCTCTTCAACAGTCATCATCTGAGTTCGACAAATTAGAACAACGATGGGTGTCAGAATGTCTTAGACTGGGACACCTACGAAGATTCAACGTTTGTCACACCCAAAAGAATCAAGAATAACACTGTAACTACCCGCCCTTGGCTTTCCCCGCGAACGATTCACATCTACAACCCTATCTACTCTGCTACGCCCGCGAATGACATCTATGCACCCTGCCTCTACTAACCCCTTCTACGACTACTATCCTGCAAAGATCTCCATGACGATATCTGAATATCGGGTGAGAAATGAGCTCTCTCCTAAAAAAAAAAGGACCCACCTATGTACTGTGGGAAACGGAAAATTGACTACTTATGTATAGGAAAGAACTATTTTGAAGATATCGAGGGGCCTCGATTTTTTTCGAAACAATCAGTCACTGTTAGTTTATTGACTCATCCCACGTATTGCTGCAGTAGTCGGATCGTGAGCGTGAACAAGGAACAACAATGCGTATGCGAAGAAAAATCACCCAAAAAAATAACAAAACAAATCTATCTACTTTCTAGGGATAATTGAAGTTAATTTCTACATTCTCCCGCTTCTCCTACAATGGCATCTACATCCCAGAATAAGAACTATTGAACAGAGTTCTAGGATGTAGGAGTGCGAGTAGGATACGCAGAGTTCTATGCTGAAGCTGAAGATTTATTTGGTGTTAGGTACACGTACAACAGGTTGATACATAAGTCTACTTGTTCAATATGTTTGTGTTTCTTGTTTTCATCAACATCAATGGGTTTCGAGCATTAGCTGATTCATTATACGAGCGACTTGTTATTTCACGTGGTTTGGCAGGCCGCTTGCAGCCACGAGAGAAAATATTCTTGTGAGTGACGACAGAGCACGCGAGACTGCAAGTATACATGATGTTGATGTTGACCACGATTGACTTGATGACCTAGATCTTCGTCGGCCGGTAGTATTTGTTGTTGTCCAACATCTCTTTGCCTGCTTCCTCTCCCTGAATCTATTTGCTTGCAGCACTTGTTGGAGTACTTAGAAGAACCTTCTTGGTCTTTAATTCCTGTTGAAAATTCCACGATCACTTTCCCCGACGTAGTCACTTTCAACAGCAAATGCGCCAGAGCATTGAGGGAATGAAGCTGCCCAAGCAAGAATTCCCTTGTTTCGACCTCGGTGATCAGCGCCACATCGTGGTACAAGAGCAAGTGCAACCAAGATTAGACCTAGTCTATGGCGGTCGCATCTTCTGTGAGGCTTGTTTTCTCTGCTTGAAAAGGATGAACTCCCTGCGCCCTCTTTGTGTCCGCTTGAAAGGAGAGAAACCTAGGACCATGCTGTAGTAGAACAAGGCTGTAGTAGAACAAGGATGCTCTCCTGGTTGCCTTAACAAGAGAGCAAGATGCTTTTTCGCGTGAAGAACAAGATACTCTTCCGTCGTGGGCCCAACTTACTACTTTTTGCTATATCCATCGTGGAAGCAGAGGATCTCGAGGTCTTGTAGTCCTTGCTCGCCTCCAATGTTAGAGTCTGCTAGGTTGCATCTCGGCCCTCTCATCTTGACCCCTTGTCGTGCCTTGTATTTCATGAGAACACAAGGCAAAAGGGGACCAAGATGCCGAGAAAGATGGACACTAAACGTTGACCATAACAATGCTCCAGCTCCTAGCTTTTTATGATCTGCATCATCATTCCTATTACTACTATCCTTGATATTGTTGTTGTTATTCGTCTCAACCTTTTGATCTTCTCCTCGTGAGGTTCTACCTTGTTGCCCACTGCGTTCGTCGTCGTTGTTGTTGTTGTTGTTGTTGTTAACCAGGAACAAATGGTCATCGGGTTCGGGTGAGTGCTCCTCGTCTACAACAACCGGCACGCCCAAAAAGTCTCCCCTTGCCGGAAAGTCTTCATCTGCTTCGTCTGCTTGAGATGTATTAGAGGATGCATTTAAGGATGATTCTTGAAGAAGAAGAAGAGTATCTTGTTTGTAAAAATAAATTCGCGTCTAGTAGTATCTCTTATGTACAAGTACAATGTATCAACTCTCCTTGCTTTACAAGTCATTAACTCTTGCACAAAATATCAATCTGTGCAGGGGACTGCCAAAGAGATCTTTATCTTTTTTTCGCCTTAAAAAGAACTGTGGAGTTTCCCACTCCTTGCCGAAGAGATCCACTACTTTTCAGCGTCTTGAGTTGCTCTGCAGCGTGTGCGTGGGGGTCTAGTATAGAGCGAAGCTCATTCCGAAAGGCGCGTAGGTACGGTGATAAAACTTGCTTAGCGATTCGAACCTTGTCCTCCCGCAACAAGCCGAACTCTTGGGGGATGATGATCATGGCTAGACGTCGGACTAGCTGTCGCAGTTCCTGTGCCGCAGGTAGGATGCGTTCTAGAAGGTCCCGGTTCTTCCCAAAATCATAGGCCAGCATCCAATGCAAGGTGGGGAAAACCGAGATGTCAAACAAGGAGGACGAGGTGTCACTCGTTGGTGCATTCGACTGTTCTTCAACAGAAGCTACAGCAGGAGAAGCTGGAGCTTTAACCTGGAAAAGCGTTGTATACATTACTTAGGAAATTGGAGAAATCATGAAGAGCAGCTTATACTTCTTCTTGTTGTTTTAACAACAGTACAAACATGTTTACCCATCGAGAGAGACATGATCTACCTGATCTCTTCCTGCCAATTTTTGACTAACCGATGTCCAGCGTTCGAGCATTTTTCTAGCTTCCGCGTCTCCTGACTCTGAAGCTGTAGACACTGTCCCTAAGCTAGACATGGTTTCGCTGATCCGGCTATAGGCTACCAACGATGCCACGTGCAATAGCGCTCCTCTGAGGGAGCTGTAGTCGTGCACTACGTCGCGGACCACCTGGGAAACGGCCGGTTCGTCGAAGAAGGAAGCAACTTCCTCTGGATCATTTTCCGAAGAGTTCAAAATCTGATAGAGACGGGGACGTGCCTCTGCAAGAGCGCGTTTCTGAGCCGCTGTGCCGGGAATGCCAATGCCTTTCACGTAGGCAACAGCACTCTGTGGCAAAGAACCACTGGTCTGCAACAAGGTTTTTGCAAATACCTGTTTGTATTTCAATTTTTATAGATGTAAGCAGGTTGTTATAAAATTTGTGGTTGCAAATTTTACGTGCTGTATGTCACTCTTCACTTATAAGGCAATCATTGACACTTACGAGTACTTAGTACCGCCGCAGTTCCCAGCTGACATCCGTCGTCAGTAACCTTGAGTTCAAGTCGATGTCGGTAAGCCTGATGCAATTTCGCAATGTCTTCTCCTTCATATGCTTGATTTCTGAAGAAAGATCCGAGTCGCTCTGCTTGGAGCATGCCTTCAGTGGTCAAGTCTCCACCCGTTTTCAAAACAAGCCAGACTTTCTCCGTGTCTACCACATGCCGCTTTAGCTTCAGCTTCAACAACCGGCCTTTAATACCCTGGTCAAGCAAAAAATGCGCAGAAATTAGATGAGACCGAGTAGGACCTCAGAGGTGTTGTCGTGTACTACAATCTTTCACATGTGTACAACAATAAAACATCATTAAACGGAGAATCACCTGAATAAAACATCATTAAACGGATGAAGAACTACCTCCAGAACAATGATTGATGAAGAACTACCAGAACAAGGATCCCATAAAGAAAGAAGCTCGACGATCTTCGACAGGCTCTCCCGAGGTTCCACGGACGCGGAATTGCTCGGATTGGCCAAGATTTGGCGAACCTTGTCCAGTTCCGCACGATTTTGAAGCGTGACTTCCGTCTCGTGTCCCAAAAGTTCTAGAAGACCTGGCACGCGAAATGCCAAAGCCTTGGTTTTCTCCCTTGGCGTCGACTCTGCTGCGCGCAGGCAACCCAGAACCGCAACGACTTGCTCAGGTGGAGAAGAAGTTGCGTTAGAGGTAGGTTTTTGGTGCTCGCTTACCCCGCTTTTTATGCCCTTTTCATCCTAAGGGAGAGAGGCATAAAAAGCGGTAAGAAATAAAGCACCTTTAACCTACTCTTAATTGTATTTGCATCAACCTGCACGTTTTCTTCTAGTCTGGAGGCAGGTCCCCCAAGCAGTAGATCTGGATTGCGGTACAATGTCTCCTTTGTGCTTTGCAAATGCGGGATAGAACTCAAATCAAGGTGGTCGCGCATGGCTTGCTGCTGCAGTGCAAAAAAATCCCCACCAGTGGCACTAGAGGCTCGAGCATTGACCACTTCCTCCCACCAGGAGCCACGAGGGTACTCACGGAAGAGTCGACCGAGGACTTCAGCGCACGCTTTGAAATAGACGGGCCGCTTCTTCACAAAAGACAGCCCATTCACATCCACAACCACCGTTCCAGTAGGATGCCGTAGCAAGTCTATGCCGCAGATGCACTGCTTGAAGGCATGGATTAGAGACTAGTACATTATATCGAGTAGTACTCCAACAAGAATACTTCTCAGGAGTTGAACACATTATGATACCCAACAGTTCAACGAGAACATTGATTGATTGATATGCCTGACAAGAGGTAGATTTTGGAGAGCTATTTGTTCTTCTTCTTCATCTCATATTCAGACGTCGAAGTCCTAACTTAGCCGTTTCCGCTACTATTCGTTTCTCTTGTGGGGTCAGGACGATCGGATACCTTCTTTCCTCTCCTCGGTCGTCAAACTCGACATACCCGTCTACCACAGGCGCCTTTCGCGCCTCCGCGTAAGCGTAGTCCAGACCGACTGCGTAAACTTTCAAATCCACGCCAGCAGTGTGGTAAAATGGTTCGTAGAGAGATTAGATGAAAATCGTACTATTTTTCGCTATAGGAGGGAGGTAGAGGCACACTGCTGGAAGGAAGATCATACTTCAAGTACAGCTTCTTACTAGAACAACATTCTCACTGGATGATGAATTCTCACTGGATGATGATCATCATACTGTATTTCTAGAAGAAAGATCACACTGGAAGCAGATGATACTAAAACATCGCACTCAAACACCATACTATACTAGATGAAGATCATACAACCATACAACGAAAGAAGACTTTATCTTCCCTTACTGTGCATGTGCCATAAATGTATGTTCCGTCTCGTCTGATAGGCGCGCTTTCTTCGTGGTGCGTACTACTTCGAACCACCCCATTAAGTTTCTGCTTGCGGAAGATTTTGGTGAGCCCACCACCATAACTGGTCGTCGGGTAGTAAACATGGATGTCGTGATTTTCAGCGCTCGCTGGTTTCTCTACAAAAGGCTTCCGGAGTCGCCGCCCGTCAGCAAACTCAAGCCAATCCTCATCCTCAACAGGCCAGGTTGGAGACGTAGTACAAATTTGATGCATTTGAAGCTGGTCTTCGGAAGATGTAGCGGCGCTGTTTTGCGGTTGATGTGCATGACGAGTTACACCATGTTGTAGTCGAGAAGACGTTCCACCCGCTTCGTTGGAGTTCGAATTGATGCTGTCCGCAGACGACACACTGCGCGTATCGTCGTCAGCATGATCGTTGTCAACGAAAGCAGTGTTAAAAAGATCAGCGTCCCCTGTGTGCGCTCGTTCCTTATCATGTGTAACAACAGTGAAATCCGGACACGGAATGCCGTTTTTTCGCAACGTCTCGTACACAAAGACACGACTAAGCAGGTCCTTTTGCAACGCAACATCGTTGAGACAAACCATGTGCTCCTTGTGCAGAGCGATGTATTCCAAGGCCTTGTCGAGCGGGAAGCCATGGGTGTGAAAACAAATTAAAAAATCCACCTTCGGCCATTCTGTGACTGGCTTGTTGAGGATACAATCATCCCCAAAAACAATTGCTTCCAGGTTGTCTCCGGCACAATTCTCCAACTCCTTCAGGATCGCCTGCATAGAGGCGCCAAACACTTTGCGGTCACGACTGCAAATCCCTAGACGGCGACGCTGACCGACAGTTGGTTTCTTTTCCTGTTCTTGGTCCAGATCGGGCACAACCTGTCTAAAATCGCGGTTGTGCTGAGACGACGCAGCCGTTGTGGTTGTGCCGCACGAGGTTGATACCGTTGAGGTCGTCGACGCGCGTGGGCGAGCAGCGAACGACTTAATATTCTGGAGATCACGATCACCACTTCTGATGTTATTTTTAGAGCTATGATCCTCTTCTTTGATATAACCGCAGCTGCTTCTCCGACTACTAGGTCGCGAAAGGCCGGCAAGTGTATCTGTGTCTTGATCTTCGTAGTCATCGCCATCCTGATTGATTGCTGGAAAGAGTGGGAGTTGTTGTTGATCATGCGCCTTTGCCTCTTCAGCTGAGACTTCTACTAAGAAACTGTTGAAGTCCTCCATCTTGATCGCCTGCGTCTGCGGTTGCTCTAGATGAACTTGATGTGGTCTTTTCTCCTGCTCCATCGTCGCAGCGGCCACAGAGGAGGAGTTCCTTGTACTGTATTGAATGACTCTAGTATGTCGAAACTTACTGCAGTGAACGGAAAAATTATATGCTGGAAGAAACTACGAACTGATTTTTAAGATCCAATTATATTTTCGATTGTTGAATGTTGTTGGACCACAAGAACACAGGCCTCCGTGCCTTGGTTGTTTCTCAGTGGAAACACAAAGTCAGAATCTTGAATGCAAGCAAATCTTGATACTCCTGCCTGAGACTTGCGATCTCTGGCTGGTGGAGTCCCTGTTTGGTTCATTGGGTAAGATGAATCATACATCAGCAACATAAGCATGTCAGAAGGGATCGGACTGAACATGCATCGTACGACTAGGATCAGTACACACGTACCTAGTCTACGCATTGATCATTATGATTATGCATTGAATGTGCATTGAGTGTGCATTGGAAGTAGCATTCATGATCATTGACATTCATGTCTTGTGAGATCATCCCGATGACAGTCGAACACGAGGCTTTGTGTGAGCCACTGAGAACAGAACAACACGACATCCGAGAGGCTTGAACCATACATGACCAGCACCCCTCCTCAATCGATGCGGGTTGAAGTCCGTCTCACGTGACCGCCTCACTGTGTGTTGAGTCACGGTAATCACATCTCTTGTTTAGTGTATGTGACTTGGCTACGGTGGTTTAGAAACCGAAATAAACCGAATATATTACGCTATAATAAGCTAAATCATCCCCATCTGTTTCATCATCAGAGGACTCACAATTATCTTCTTTACATGTAGTTATCGGGTTATCTATGTGGTGTAGGATAAGTCTACGCTGAGTGGCACTGCAGGTTAGTTTCGAAAGTGGGTCTGCCTTCATCAAGTTGGTAGGACAGAACACGATCTTACTAGCAGCGTCGCGCACTCTTAGATAACGTAAAGCATAGTGTCTACTTTTAGGGCGAGCGTCTGTTGCTTTGGCTGTTGTGATCGCAGACTGGTTGTCTATCCACAATACAGCATTGTCTAAGGAGGGAGACAAGCCGTTCTGTGTGTGTACCAACTGAGTTGGAGGAGGCCTATAGAAGTCTGCGAAGTCATGCATCTCACTGAGCACTATCGTGTCAGAGGCTGCAATATACTCACTTTCAGCCGTTGAGTAGGCTCTAACCGTTTGTCGATTACTTCTCCATGCTATGGGTGTACCTTTGTAGTACATTATGGAGCCGCTAGTACTCCTCATTGTTTTGACGCAGTTCGCGAAACCAGCATCACTGAATATGTTTACTTCTGGCATGTCTCTGCCTTCTGGTAGAAGTTTCTCATATATTTTGTTGAATTCTTCTTCCTTTTCTGGTGAGTATTCTACTCCTTGGCCTTTTGTTGACACCAGGTATTTTAGGACTTTCTTGGCTGCTTTGGCCATTCTTGTTGACGTGGGTTTGCTGACATGTCTAGCCAACGCTGCTACCGGAACAGAGATATCCGGGCGCGCAGTTACAGCTACCCATAGTAAGGCACCAACTACCTCACGAAAGGGATACCCATCAACTATCTTGATCCCGTCTTCAAGCAAAGTTGTTTCGTCAAAGTTGGGCGAGTAAACCGGTTTCCCTAGTTGAACTTCATACTTCTTAGCAATTTTATCGATGTACTGCTCCACGCACAGTCTGAACGACTTAGCTTCACGGCCATAGTACACGATCGCACCTAAGAAGTCGAACTTTAGCCATTCGAGACCCCAGGGGGTTAGAATTGACTCGACTTCAATCGCACGGCCTGGAGCACGTGTGAAAATGAGGTCTAGTTCGGTCTTGGGCTCATCTTGGTCAGGACCTGTAGCAAGATTGTCATCTACATAGACAGACATCTTCAGGAACTTCCCCGGTGCTTTGCTGCTCGGTTTGCGCCACAATCCAGGCGCAGAAGTACACGGTTCCCAACCAAGACTGGCTAGAGTCTCGCGATACCTCTTGAACCATGCTCGTGGTGCATCCTTCAAGCCGTATAGAGCTTTCTTGAGCTTCGCGACCTCGTATCCATGCTGCTTCGCCCAGATGGGTGGAAGACGGCAGTAGACATCTCGATCGAGTTCGGCATTGAGGAACGCTGAATCTAAATCGAACGGGATCACATAGTCCCCTTCTGACGCAGCAGAAGTGAGGAGCAACCTATTAGCGGCATGCGATACCACGGGAGCAAAGGTGTTTAGCTCTCCCGAACGATCTAAATTACCGAGTACACAGGCTCTTGCCTTGTATTTTCCACATCTCTTTCGTGTTAGTATGATGGCAATTGGTAGAGCCCGCAACGCGGTTGCTAGCTGCTCGTCAGTAGCTTCTTCCCACGTTTTAAAGGCTAGTAGTCTCGCGTGCTCAATGTCAATGACTTCCTTCCACTTTTCAGCTTCAGGACTCTTTAATGCATTGGCAACGGACAGTATCACACGTGATTCGACGATTTCCTCGTCTTCGTCTATCTCACACGTGCCACCAATAGCACTTGCGAACAGCGCTAAACTCTTTCTGAGTTCTTCCATCTGTTTCTTTGTTCTACGAATCCTTCCTCCAGCCTTGTCCTTGGCTCCTTTTGGTCGGCCACGCTTCTTGCCGTGTGTATGGCGTTCGCCTGCCACAACACGTGCGGGAGATAGCGCTTTCGATCTAGTCGGACTAGGTGAGTCAGAGATCCGATCCTTCGTTTCAACTTTCCCCTCCTCAAGTGAAACACCTTCAGGAGAGTCAGCCACGTCGGACTCAGCCTTCTTGTCTAAGGTTTCAACATATAGTTCTTCGGGAATGCCGGTCGGTCCACCTGAGGCGCGCTCCGTGCCAGAGAACCCCGATTGCTGATCCAGCCTTTGCACTGACTGCCCAATCAAGGGGGAGCCCAGCGACGACGCTCCACGCTGCAAGTTTTCCAGTTCATCGCACTCATAGTAAAAGCCCTTTCTATCTGGCGTAAGCCAGTCTATGTCCTTTATTAGATAGTCCTCTCTGAACTTGACATCTAGGGTAGAGTATTCCGCCCATCGATATCCAAGCTTGCAACGATCGTCATGAGCGAAAGTAGCAACCAACCAACCAGACGACTTCGGACAGAGTCCAAGGAAGACGCCACGGCGGTATTTGGCCGAGAGCTTGGGTTCAGGAGTGTTGGCTTGGATTTGTTCACGAAAGTAAACAAGACAACCAAATCGGCGGAGCATGCCGATTTTGCTTTTGGAAGAATTTCTACCAGTTCTTGCTTCTAGAATCTCTATTGGACTCTTTCCATCGTGTTCTGGCATTTTAGCGTAATTATGCGGAAGACGATCCCAGCAGTCACTAGCGTACTCAACACAGTAACACCAAAGACGTCGACCAACCTTCGTTAGCATTGTTCTCACGCTGCCAAACAAGGCCCGCATAAAACGTTCAACAGTCCCACTCATTTCCGGATTATAAGGAACAGCCGGATTGTCTGAGACCCGCAGCGATTGCATGAGTTTGGTCATGTCATCACTACCGAGGACTGGTTCGCCATCCCTCCGGATGAACCATACTACCTTGTCATCTAGCGATAAGGAGTAGTCCTGTCGAATGCCTTTTATGACTTGTTCTATTTCCTCCACACAGTCACTTTTAAGCTTCAGCGGTCGACAAAACGCCTTCTTAATTACGTCACATATGACAACTAGAACACATCGCATAGATCTTACTGAAACAGGTTTAATTCCTACGGCCAAGTCTATTGCAAGTAGTTTGAGGGGTTCGGGTTTGTAGGTGGTCACGTCTCTAGTGTTTGCGTGAGGTTTTCGCTGTCCTTTATGTAGGTCACATTCAGGGCAGCCAACTTGTAAACCGTCTATGTGAAAGTGTCCACATCTTCTGTGTAGTTCTAATCTCGTGAGATAGCAACTAGAGACGCCTTCTTCCATTGATGTGCAAGCGAAACCATTTTCGTGCTTGTCTTCCAAGAAACTACACGCGAGCGCGGGCAACTGCAAGCGTGGGTGGGCTCTGATGGGTAGCATCTGGCTGGTGTCCGTGTGCACGATACAACCGCCAGTGCCTTTGAAGTTGAACTTCCACCCTGATTGCGAGCAGTTTCCGTCTCCTAACCATGGCAATGCGCGATCTATGTTTCCAGGTAGAGAATCGTAGTAAGCTCCGGACTCTAGTCCAAGTGTGTTGTTCTTGAGTTTTCCGATTCTTCCATCTTTAGTGCCTGCGCTACCTGTTATTCTACAAATGTTGTCACCAATTTCATCGGAATCGTCTCTGTGTCGTGAAAGATATTTGTTTGCACAGCTATCGACTAGAGCTGCTTCTTCTGATGTTCTAGTATTCAATGTTGTGAAACTATATCCATGCGTATTGTAGCTATCAGCATGATTAACAACGTTTGCCATTATTTCATCTTCTTCGAAATTCAGCGAACGCTTCCCAATGTCGTACGGTTCCTTCCGTCGCTCAGCTCCGCTTGTGCGAGTTCATGACGCTGAGCATCTCCGCAACCTGCGACATGTGGATCATGCCGCTATTATTACCCTTTCCACCTTTGCCCCTAGAGCTACTAGATGGCTGGGGCTCCGGTGGTCCAGCTTCCCTGTCCCTGTTGAAGGGCTTGCGAGTGTGTTACGCCAGCACTCGGAGGACTTGCGTCCAACCTTGTGGCAGCAAGCACAGCGGGGTGGATAGGTATTTTTGTCATTTCCTTTTCCTTTGTCTTATTTCTTCGGCTTTTGTCCGCCGTTCTTTCCTCCTTTGGGTTGGTACCCGTAGGAGTTGTGGACCTCGGCGATTGCCTTCTTCTTTTCTTTCTGCTTGAAACGCTTGAGGGCGTTGGCGGAAGTGAAGGTCTTACCATCTGCCTTATTGGCCTCTACCTCGTCGCCATCCTCATTCTTATCATCACACACGAGGACGCTTATTCGAGGTTTCCTGAACATTGACCGGAAACGCTTTCCCGAAGGAGTCGTTCTCAATTTTGTAGGTTCCCTCCTCGATCAACGTTGTGAGACGTTTCTCAAGTCGGTCTACAATTTGGTCAAATGTCAGGACATCTTGTTCTTGCATCCGCTCGATAGTCGCTATGAAGTTCTTGCAGAACAACTCAGGCAACTTCAGCAGGATCGCTCCGTTCTGTTGGTCAGCGTCGGGCAGATCTGCATCCGGCGGGAAGACGGTGGGCGATTGGTTCATGATGTCGCGGATCTTCGAGAGGAACTCCTTGACATCTGCAGGCTGGTCGCTGTTGTGGAACTTCATCAGTCCCTCCGACAACGGCTTGACCTTCATGCGCTGCTCCTGGCGATTGTTCGCGTTGAAGTTCCCTTGGTCACGAAGTAGAGCAACAACTTCACCAGCATCCATTTCGTCCACCGCACCATCGTTATTCCGATTGTCGGCGAACGACTTGGCCGCACCTTTCAGACTTCGGATGATTACGTCTTTCAGGTTGCGCCACTTCTGGCGGGTCGTTTCTTCACGACTGGTATTGCCTTGCGGTATACCATGTGGAACGGCCGGCACGTTGACTACATTCGTGTAGTTCTCAAGTAAGCCTAGGCGACTAGCTTCTTGACGTACAGCTCGTTGCCACTCGCGCCAGTCGGACTTCTGTCCCAACTTCTTGAGGATCTCCTTGGCCTCGCAGGACATATTGATGGATTTATTTATTTACTACACTACTTCCAATTGTATTTACTTTTGCCGCTCAAGGGTTAGACCAGTGCTGGACCACAAGAACACAGGCCTCCGCGCCTTGGTTGTTTCTCAGTGGAAACACAAAGTCAGAATCTTGAACGCAAGCAAATCTTGATACTCCTGCCTGAGACTTGCGATCTCTGGCTGGTGTAGTCCCTGTTTGGTTCATTGGGTAAGATGAATCATACATCAGCAACATAAGCATGTCAGAAGGGATCGGACTGAACATGCATCGCACGACTAGGATCAGCACACACGTGCCTAGTCTACGCATTGATCATTATGATTATGCATTGAATGTGCATTGAGTGCGCATTGGAAGTAGCATTCATGATCATTGACATTCGTGTCTTGTGAGATCATCCCGATGACAGTCGAGCACGAGGCTTTGTGTGAGCCACTGAGAACAGAACAACACGACATCCGAGAGGCTTGAACCATACATGACCAACAAATGTTGAATTACTTGTAGTTGTTAAATCGTGTAAAAAGAAACTCTGCATCAATCGATCCTTCTATTACACAAGAAAACGTGTGTTGCTCGCTCGGCTACAGATCATCAAAGCCTTCCTATAATTTTAATTCAGCAATCAATCTTTCATTCTTTCAAAACTAATACTGATTCATTCTACCTCAAAAACTCACAAGCAACAACATCATAGAAGAAGTTTCAAAAGAGAGACAAAAAACGCGCGCACTAAAAGTTTTCAGATATCAATCTGCTGGAATGTGCTACTACGCGGCTCGGACTCTGCGGTTCTCCACTTTAGAGCATAGAGGTCGACACCAAGAACCCGATGGTTCATTTCCACTTTCATCTCCTGATCTTTTTCTCGACTTCATTTTTTTTCATAATGATACAACAGGTCTACCCAATTCTTGTAAAACAGGCTACTAAACGCCGACGATAGAATTGGGAGTCATCTGAACGAAGTATCAAGCACTGGTGGAAATGAATCATCATTCATTATGAAGAAGCCTTAACCAGTCCTGAGACCCGGATAGCGTGTCCTTTTCTCGTCAAAACAAGTTGGTCGGCATCATTTTTATCTCTCTCTACCACACGACTGAGGAAGGCAGAGAGCATTTAAGGTTGTAGTCTATAAACATAAGGAACTGTGACTTTCAGTTCTTAGTTTCCGGAAGATTACGATTACGATTTTAGGTCATTTCATATGTTGATGAAGCCGTTATGGTTAGGTTTTCTTGACCACCGTTGTTTCTTCAGTCGACGATTGAAGCAAGGGTCGTGTCGCGCGAAGAGGATAGAATTTCACCCAATGTTGAAGATATATCTTCGAATGGGCCGTTGGTTTGATATGAATGAAGAAAAAGAAACTCGTAAATCAGCCATGAACTTCAAAAAATAGAAAAATCATTCAAAGCCAATTAGGTAGTGTTCTACTCGTATCGTTCATTCGATCAAGACACCATTTTTTCTCTCTACTCTAGTTGCTTCACGTCGTCCCAATAGTTCTCTTTCAAATCAATCTCGAAAATATTCTCAATTTCGTCCTCGTCTTTTGTAATTGTTTACAACGGACTGGTAGCGCTTTTCTGTTCCTCAGTCGTGGGTGTCGAGACCAATAAGACACAAAACTATTCACCTTCACTTTCCATCCTCCATCCCTCTTCACCAACCAACCCCTATTTTTCTTTGGTTAGCCACACAACGTTCCCTATCTGTTTTGAAATGTTGAATTTTGAAAATAATGATGAAACGAGACACAATTTTCATCAACAAGGCAATACTACCTAAGAATAGAAACTCTCTTTCTCGATGAATGATGATCAACATCAATAGTATGTTCTAGCAGTTGCTTGTACTAGTAATAGAAAATGCATGAAATCACTAGAAAATCTTTGATTTTGAAATGCTTGATGATGTTTTAGAGACGAAACGACTACGGGTTGACAGAAGCAATGTATGAGAACGCATAAGTATGAAATGCACGAGAATATCAAAGGAAAACTACGACCATATTAGGTCAGAAACAAGTATCACAACACAGATATACACATTTGTATGATTCTAATGTAAAGGAGGACAAGAATCAATGTAGTGGATGAAGAGACTCACAACATCGATACACTAAGATCATAAGAAGCTCAATATGCTGTAGAGAATACAAAAGGAGCCTAGATGAAGATGAGTCCCAATCCGATTCAAATGCTAGATATATGGATATCAAATGTAAAGAATAGATACAATAAGAAGAGTCAGAGCAATCGGAGCAATTATATACTAACGCGAACCAGCTTCAGAGCACAACAGTCAGAAAGATGCTAGTGAAAACAAGACTACAACGAACAGTCAGATGCTCCAAGTGAAAAGAATACATTAAACGTGTCCAAGAAAAGAATCTTCTAACAAAAGTGTTTTCCGACCTAACAAGTGCGGCAACGAAGAACTAGAGTCTCCGACATTGTTCATCTTCCCTGAGCACGATTTTTAGATTGAGAGAGTTGTCATGAGAAACTAGAAGTTGTAGTAGAGTGCGGAATTTGTGCTGCATGCAAGAAGAGCAAATGTGCAAGATGAAAGAGGAAATGTGCAGAGTGAAGGGAAAAGACACAGCATGCCATGCTCATGCTGTTGCGTAAGCAGAGTCGTGGCAAGAATTGTCATTTTGACGACTGTCGTATCAACATGATGAGAGATTTTGCGACAATACAATACCATACAATACAATTAATCTCGCACAAAGTTCAGTGCAGACACTGGCAGCACATTTTCCAACTTCTTCATCAGAATGACTAGATTTATCGTTCATGATTTCACAAGACGATAAGAGATCGCTAACTCTTCTGTTTTCAGTGGGCACGAAGAAGATCTTATTTCTATCGGCAGGCAAGATCAGTACCAATTCCGCACATGGGCATTCATGGGAACACAGAAAAAGGCACCGAATCAAGCTGTTTTGCTTTTTTTTTGCATGGCTGCTACAGATGTGTGAATGAATATCTCAACATCATGAGAAGAATAAAGGGAGTGAAAGCGCGTTGGTATGAGGCTTTAAGATTGCCGAAGGAGTTTTTACGTGATACATCAATCCTTCACTTTCCTGAACAAGAAGAATTGGCATTGCGTATACCCACTGTTGTTTAGCATCATTTGCTTCTCTAAAACAATTGCCGCTTGCCTCGTATTGGGTCCAAATACTGCTTCATAGTCCTGCATGACTTGTTTTGTCCGAATCGTGACAATACCCAAAAGGCCACCGACAGGCAGTACGCGAAGCCACTCGGTCACCCATTTCTTCCAATTACGTTGGACAAGCGTGTGGGACCCATGCCTCTGACCCCAAGGTGGGTCCACGAGGATAATATCCACCGAGTGGTCCCTCAATGGCAGTCGCCTCGTGTCGCACTCGCTTAACCAAGTGATGTTGCAGCTTGGTCGTGATGTCGAAGATGTAATGGTACTTGGAGTTCTCCTGCTTGAAGTTGATGTTGATTCTTTAAGAGTATTATCAAAAATATCGTCATCCCCTGCTTTTTCTACACCTCCTGCATCAACTGAGGTCGCGGTGTTGATGGATTTATCTCCACCTTCCACGGCAATGGCAAGTGATTTCTTAATTTTCAGCTTGCCTCCTGGTGTCTGTTGTACTTGTCGTCCTCCCAAAATCGTTGATGATGTCGCAGCGCCGTCAGACGATAGCCCTTTTTTCGTAAAAGTAGATCCAAGGTCTTTTTTGTCTGCGCCAAATATTTGTAAGGAAAATCCCTCTAGTTTGTCCACCGTAGAAGTGGTAGTGGTACTGGTGATAGGAACAGTATCTAAGATATGCGGCTTTTTATCCATAGAAGTCTCCGTCCGCCGTTTTTTACTATGATTCGTAGACGTAGAAGATGAAGATGAGGTTGATCTAGAAGAAGTACTGTTCTTGCAGTAGTTACTGAACCTCTGTCGAGCGATGTCCATGATCATAGGTAAAGTTCCATTGCCGCACATGGGATCGAGGACGGTGAGCAAAGGCTTAGTCGATACTCTTCCCATTCCACCTACGCTATGCTCCAAAGTTAGTAGTGCAAGCGCCATTGCTACTGCAGTATTGGTTCCCGTCTCTCCCTCGCGGAGGATGGCTTTCCTATGCCGATACCGGATCCCGAAAGACCACAAGTCAAGGTCAGGGTTAGCCGAAGCGTCTTTAGCCAAAGTCCACTCATAGGTGCCTTCATCAAGTGAGTCTGGAGATACTACATCCCCTACTTCTTCGTGTGCTGATCCGTTGTTATCTTCATAGGATATCCATTGGGGTAAAGCTTTTCTACTTGAGGATGTGCGGGTACTGTCGTCCGTCATCTTTTCATCGTTCTCTGCAACAGAGGCGGCAGTTGTTTCCACCTGCTTCAGAGAAGAGGAAGAGGATGAAGAAGAGGTAGTTGTAGATGTAGCAGTAGCAGAACCCTTTTTCTTCTTATTTTGCCCTCCACCTGGTACTTTGGCATTCGGGAATTGTTTTGAGCCTTCGTTTCCTTGTTTATTGCTCACAAATATAACCACCTCCAGCTCATAGTCGTTCATCGTCACTGGAGATTGCTTTTTCTCTGCCTCCGTTCGTTCGTGCAGATTCTCCGTCGCTAGCTGTCCAAACATCTGGCAGAGTTCAATCGTTTTCACGCCATGGTCCCCGACTTTTTCGCACGTCGCCCGCCACGGTCGGTCGATGCGGTCACGCCACTGAGGAGCATGGGATACTAAGGCATTCGTGATCTGTTTCTTGGCTTCCGCTACACCTTCAGGCGTACTGATCTTCAGTTTCTGCGGGAAATTTTGGTTTGTTCCAGCAGCCTTCACCTTCTGAATGATGGGCGGGTGATAATGCTGCGAGTACTGTAGGAAATGATGGCAACTTTTCGGTATTGCAGCTGCAGGAGAGGTCGCCGTCGCTGCGGTTACTGTACTAAGAGGTGGACAACAACTTTTCGATGGTGAGGGAGAGCACCAGTCCCCACTTGCGGCCGTCGTGGGTGAGATAATTTCGACATCTTCTATTGTAGAAGATGGTCTTGTTCTTGCTTCATCTTCTAACTGCTCTTGCTTGACCAAAGAGTCGTCAATGTTCTTTCCACCTTCGCGAAAACTCGCGATTGGCTGGAACAAGATGTCGAAGGTAAGTGGTAAGTCTTCAAAGGCGTCCCCTAACGGTCTTCGTGGTAACCGGAAAATGATCAACTCGTGACACAAGTTCTCACTGATTACATCCGCACCCAGCAGACGCAACTCGAGCAAACACGCACTGCGCAGTCCATGCTTGTACACGCCCACAAACGTGGCGGTCCACTCTTCAGCTAGAATGTTCACCATCTTGTTTCTTCTACTAACTTTTGCTGACGAGGAAATCCAAATCGAAACTATCTAATAAAACTTAGTAGAATACGACAGCCACAAGGGTAAAGATGAAGATAGTAGGCAGCATCATACTAGGCAGCATCATGAAGTTGGAGGTGGACGCTATGCTCGAGGACCTGACCAAAATGTATGAAAGCATTAATCTAGAAGCAGAGAAGATTAGTACTAGATTGATAGATCGTATTTACAGCGTAAACGAATTTTACAGAGAAGTAGTAGACCTTAGAAACGTAGTAGACCTTAGATCCAAATAATAGAGCTTCATAGCGTACGCAAGATCGATTCGAAGCTAGAATTAGTGGCACATTGATTTCAGATCCACACGATCAGCGCGTTTCCACTGTAATTACCAAGAACAAGATCTGTCATCAACAAGCGTGGTGATCACCATAAAGAACCGATTTTGGCGCATACTAGAGCCGTGTCTTAGGAGTCTGTGATCGTTTCGAACATAATTTTACAGCAGACGTACATCATCTCACGCGTCCGCTTATCCGTTCTTCTGGCGGCTGCTTGTTTAGACTTCATGAAGAAGCAATCAACGATCGTTGCTTTGATTACTAGATAGGCTTTAATTCCCTGAAGAAGAAGATCACGTCGTTAGTTTGGTCAGTATTAGTCAGCAGAAAAGACACGAACAAAATCATCTGTCGTGGCTCTACGACAAAAGACCGAAGCTAGGTCAACATATATTATAATTTCAAAAATCTTCATCTGCAAACTAACCCTAAGCCATCGTTCATCTTGAGAAAACAAATAACATGATGGACACACAACTTCATACCATGCTTTTTGTTTCTCAGCAGCTCCTTTGAACTAACTTCAGAGCAATAGTCTTCAAATCCATCTAGGTGTGAAAACAGATAGATCATCAACCTTGCTACAACTAGTGCTAGGATCGCGAGCCTTCTATTGTACTGATTTTCTTCCAGTGCTAGTTCTTTCTACTTATGCTTTCACGAGCTTGTTCCCAGATAAGTAGCTGCTTTTAGCTGTTCTACCCCCTCCTAGGCGTTGTCCCCATACAGCGTGAATCAGTCAAGGATTGCAGACCGATTCTTAGCTGCAACAACATACCAAATGAACCAACAACTAGCAATCTGACTCTTCTGCTTCCAGTACTGATCATGGTTAGAAGCAAATCCCCGTTTTCAATAAAACAACTACTAGTACAAACTGGAACTGCGATGTTGTTGTTGTAGCCGCTACTTGAACTGCGATCTTGGTAAATATTTGAGATGAACGTCAGCGTCACATGCTGCAATCCGAAAGAATGCTAAGAAATGACTACAACTTGTAAGCTGTATCGACAAGTCTTGAGGATCTTCATCTCCTTAGACCTCTCCTGTAGGAGTAGATCTTGATCTATATCTACATCTATAATTTACATCTATTATCTAATATCATGAATTCCACCTAAAGGTGTTGTGCCATAGAATAGTGATTGTCGTTGAGTTGATGTAGTAAACTATTACCTTTTTCAAGCTAAACGACTGCACGGGATGACACATACAGTCGAGTCGTCAATCGATCTCTGGTGAGATTCGAGAGTTGAGAGTAGATGAAGAATATCTGCAATAGTACCAATAACGAGTTCACAATATACTTATGGGAAACAAGTAAACAACAGCAGAGACGTCTTCGGAGAGACGACTCCACTGAGCACACTGTTCCCGCGACTGCGTAGTACTTTTAGTTCTAAGATAGGAATAAGATCCGATCGAAAAATAAAGCGCGTTGGTGGGTTTATTTTGCGTTTCATTCTTTGCCTTTGGGGAATAAATATATATTTTGGAGGTGGGGAGTCGATTTATGTATATTGCTTAGGGGTCAAAAAAAGTAACTACTCACTAATCCATCGTATCTATCATCTCTGCACACGGTTAGAAAGAGGTTTGTGAAAAAGTACGTACTCACAGTCACAGTTACATCACTTCTTGCAATCTCGATTTGAACTAACTTGAAAAAAGTAGGTATTCTCACAAATCCTTCTGATTATAGATGATAGTACGTACTACTACTACTTGCGCTGAATTAGAATTTCTACTTGCTTGTTCCATCATGATTATCTATCTATACGTTGTGACGACTTACGTTGACGTAAAAGTTGAAAGCTCTGCTATGACAACATGAAGATCATTTTCATCCTCCTCGTTCTTCACTACAGCTCCTAGCAAAATGGCAAAGCACCACCTAGAAGTCCTCATCCATAGAGAAGGCGTGAGCGTCGTTACCCGCTCCCTCAGTGGTCGTTTCTGCTGCCTTCATTACTCCTGCCTTCTGGTAGTCTCCGACGCGCTTCTCGAAGAAGTTGGTCTTGCCCTGCAAGGAGATGAGCTCCATCCAGTCGAAAGGATTCTTCACGTTGAACAGCTTGTCGTATAAGATTAGATGTGTAGCTTGAAGCAGAAGAAGAGGAAGAATTGTATCCAATCTTGATGATTCTGATTTAATCACCCTGCTAGGGTCGATAATAGTCATTCATTCTTGTTTGTTACAACTAGTACGTCTACTTACAGCACTTCATACTGTTTTTAGACTAGTAGAAGAAAGAAAAATAAGTATAGCCGTAAATGCAGTGCCTGAAGCAGTCGGTCCGCCACGAACTCGATGTATTGCCCCATGAGTTTCTTGTTCATGCCGATCAAGTCGCAACTGAGGGCGTCACAGATGAACTCACGCTCGACTCCCACTGCTCCTCGCACGATCTCGTGCACAACATCCTGCGGCAAGCGGTTTTCCAACATGTTGTAGAGCAAGCACGCGAAGTCCGCATGCAAACCTTCGTCACGAGCGATGAGTTCGTTTGAGAAGGTCAAACCTGGCATCAAACCACGCTTCTTCAACGCGTATTAGCGCTCGCCGCAATCCATCTCCAGAGGCATCCTGAGACTGAGTACCTTTTACCCTTGAAAACCCGAAACCCTCTTCAGGAGGCCTGTCTGTCAAGAACAAGATGGATTTGGAAGCGGAAGCCTTAACAGTAGATGGCACAGAAGGATCCGGAAAACAAAATCCCTTCTACACATGCGAATGCCACTAAGCGCATACCGAAGCAGAGGTTTCCATTCATCCAGCTGGAGGCCCACTTGGCCTTCTTCTCAATCACTGGAATAGTCGTGATCGCGTTGAACAACTTCGTCTTCTCAGCTTCGTCGTTACCTGAGTAGAGTTAGAAGGATGAAAATTTCAAGATGAAGATTGTCTGTAGATGGAAAAGTTGTCTGTAGATGGAAAAGAACCTATTTTTTGTAGCAAATCAGAACAACGAGGAAGAGCAGTAGAGAATGAACGAACCCTCTAAGTATGAGCATCTTCCAGACACATCAACTATGTATTAAGTCAAATTCAGATCATACAAATTGCTAGTGAAAGTAGAGTTACGGCAGTATTGATCGATCAGAAGCGAGTAGGTTTCGCTGTGGATGTTTTCCATGGCTGCCTGAAATCCGTAAAAGGCTCTCGCTTCCGGCAGCTGCACTTCGGATGCGAAGTTCAGGTTCAAATTTTCGAGCACAATGCCATCAGATCCAGCGAAGAAGGCCAAAATGTGCTTAAGGAAGTGCTGCTCGTTTGCACTCAGCTTATCCCAGTCGGTCATATCCTGAGAGAGATCAATCTCCTCTGCGGTCCAAAAAGAGGCCTCGTGCTGCTTGTACCTATTGAGTATGAGTTGTTTCTAGAGATGAAGTTGCCTAAAAACGGGAGGTAGTGCATGTAGAGATGATCAGTGTAGTGATGTTTATCATGACTGCTTTCAGGCATATTTGCTTGTTCTACTTGACGATGCCATAATGAAGATCAGCCTGGAAATTGTTCAAGAAGATAATTTTGAATCCTGATTTGAAATGTCTTAGTACATCTCCCAAATTTCCGGATATTTGATAGGGAACATCACCCAGCGTTGCTGGTTGTGTGCGAGCAAAAGCTCACCCTTCTCCTTCGCCTTCAAATCTGCGGACACCGACAAAGCGCGGGCGCGATCCTCGAACTTACCCAAAAGTTCCTCGCTCTCCGAATCAGAAGAGGCATCTGGCGACCCGGTAGTAGAGGAATCATCTCCAGTGGTGGTGTTGTTAGAAGGAGTTCTGGAGCAGCACGTCGATCGCGATCCACCTTGATGTAATTGTTACTAATTCATTTGAGCGAGCCCGAGCCCCCTTATTTATTAATTTGTTTCTTCTCACAAGCGAGCTACTACAAACGACAACCAGCTACGAGTACTAGGAGGCATCTACTTATCACCTGTTGATAGGAGGAGTTGTCTTAGGTAACAACTACAGCCTTAAACACATCGATCAGTTGCTTGTTGTTATTACCTACCAAAATATCATCATAACCTTGACCTCTGCTTCGAGGATGGTCTTACTCGCGACAATGTCCTTCTCGAGATCTACGTCGACGCCGTTCGCCACAATCTTGCCGTTGCGGATGACAGTCTTGTGAGGAATCCCCTGAACTCCATACTCCGAAGGCAACAGGTCATCGTCAATGATCACAGAGAGAAGCTCGGACTTGGGAGTGTTAGAAGAGTCAGGGGTTGGCACCATCCAAACTACAGATATGATTGGACGAAGGGATTAAGACGAGGAAAACAATGTACGTGTCCAAAGAACTTCTACAGATAGAAAAACAATGTACGATGACCTTAGCTACACCTAGAGCTGTTGTCATGAGCTGTAGTCATTAAAAAACGATTCCTCATATTGTTCAAGCATCATAACATTCTTGTCGCTTCCGAAAGTGTTTTCGATACCATGCTCCTCGCAGAATTCCACAGCCCCTTCAAGATCGTTCTCCAGGTTCACCAAGACGAAAACGGCCTTCTTGATGGTGCCCTCTGTAGCAGGGAAGTTCTCAGCCAAGCGTTGCATCTCCTTAGCAGCCTCCGGACATTTTTTGCACCAAGTGGTGTAAAAATCGAGGACCACCACGTCGTACTCGGAAGTCAGCTGAGTCAGAGACATGCTGCGGGAGGTAGACACCTCTACCATACCCGGAATCTCCAGTGCCAAAGCGCCCTTGCACAACATCTTGTCTGTTGTTGTTCGTTGTGGAAGATACTTCTTCTTGAATTTATTTAGGTGCTTTGTAGATGATGTGATCAGATCTTCTTGTAGTTGCAAAGTCGTTGTAAAGAAAATCACGCTCAAAAAGGAGGTATGAGATGGGGTATAGTACTTGAATCAATGAAGATCTCTTAATGAAAAATGCGAAGATTTAGTAGATGTGGTTTCGTACGTACTTGGACTAAACTCAGACTCAGCTCTCAGATTGCGTTTCTTCCTACAGTTTTTGGATGGATGAGAGTCTGATGATTGCTTTTAAACAAGAAATTTCACAAATCACTTCTATGTATACAGTAATAAATGCCTCTTCACGACCACGCTCTGATATATAAACGATACCAAAACCTCTATGAATCCAAGTTCACGATATTCTCCACTCGTTGATGTTGGATCCAGCATACTTAGTATTTGTTCAAGTATTTGGATCAACGCTTTGTCAACAAATCTTCCTCGTTTCTCTTTTTGTGTGCTGTCGGATGACTAAATCACGGAAAGCCACGACAGATCAAGAGTTTTGAACGATCGACTAACGAAAGAAAAAGCGATACAAGGAACAATCCATGAAAGTATGAGGCTTATATTATTGTTGGACAGGAAAAAGGACATTGACCAAACAAACGGGGGAATACAAGCGCAAAACCAATGAGCAATGTAATGCAGAGGCAGGAAATACAAGGGGAACAGCGCTCACTTGCTTCCGATCTTGACATGATAGGCTACTTTTCGCTTCAGGCACCGACAAGTACACACACGACAGGAGTTTGATACTTGGATTGAATCTGCAGTCATTGCTCTCGAAGTCCAACTACAGACAGATTCTTGTCGCGTGTCGGATAGTCTCGTAGTCGTTCTTACTAAGTACGTCAGAATTGAGGATGCAGGACAGACTCAAGGTGGCCGACATCACCCACCTCCCGACGCCGGACTGCAACGTGTTTTTCGAAGTATTTTGTTAATGACAGCAGAGGGACGCCTCACGCGCCCACTGTTGAGGGAGTCATTCTCCGTCATCGCGAAACCATTTTTCTCCAGCAATATACTCGTTTTTCTTGTGGCTCAGCTCTAGAGTTTGCTGTCTTTGTGTTCACTTCCTGTTTGGTCAGTAGTAGTCAGCAGAAAAGACACAGAGAAAATCCTCTGCGGATCTGCGACAAAAAACCGAAACTAGGTCCGATATCTTCAAGCTTCAAAGGCCATGGTTCATAAGAAAACAAATATTTATAACATGATGGACACACAGCTTCATACCATGCTTTTTCTTCTCGACAAGCTTCTGTTTTGAACGAACGCAGCAATTTTCAAATCCATCTAGGTTTGAAAACAGATAGATCGTCAGCCTTGCTACCAGTGCTAGGATCATGAGCCTTCTACTAGTAATTTTCTTCCACTGCTCGTGCTGCTAGTTCTTCGTATGCGTTCACCTTCCCAGATAGCTGCTTTTTGCCATTCTCCCTCCCACTAGGCGTTGTCCCCATACAACGTGAAGCAATCAAGAATCAATTTGAGATCGAGGATTCTGCGCTGTAACAACATACCGAAGAAATGAAGAAGCAACAACTATCTTCAATATGTTGTTGCTGTTCTTCTTATACCAGTACCAATGATGGCAAAAATGATCATAGAAAGACGTATATCCCCTTTTTCAAAAGTAGTAAACAACTGCTAGTACAAACTCGAACTGCAATTTTGTAGCCACTTGAACTGCGATCTTGATGACTGGTAAGCGTGAGGTAAGAGCCGAAAAATACAATCTTGGTAAATATTTGATACCATCACGCTAAGCGTAATGTGCAATCAGAAAGAATGCAGTGACTACTTGTATTAAGCTTTATCGACAAACCTTGAGGATGTTCATGTTCCCAGACCTGTGTAGTAGCTAGATCTTGGTCCATATCTACATCTATTATTTACTATCATTAATTCCGCCCAAAGTTATTGTACCATAGGATAGTGATTGTTGGTGAGTTGTAAACGACTATCTTATATTTTAGACTAAACGAGGACTGAACTACATACAGTCGAATAATCTCTGTCTATCAATCCCTGGTGAGATTCGAGACGAGTTGAGAGAAAATAAAGAATATCAAAAGCTGCGATTATACCAATAACGAGCTCACAATATACTTGTGGGAAACAAGTAAACAACAGCAGAGACGTCTTCGAAAAGACGAGTCCACTGAGTACACTGTTCCCGCGACTGCTGACTCGACTTCTAGTTCTAAGATAGGAATAAGATGATCCGAACGAAAAATAAAGCGCGTTAGTGGGTTTATTTTGCGTTTCATTTTTTGCCTTTGGGGAATAAATATATATTTTGGAGGTGGGGAGTAGATTTATGTATATTACTTAAGGGTCAAAAAAACTAGCTACGTCGTTCTTCTTTGTTTACTCATCGTATCTACCATCTCTGCACACGGTTAGAAAGAGGTTTGTGAAAAAGTACGTACTCACAGTTACAGTTACATCACTTCTTGCAATCTCGATTTGAACTAACTTGAAAAAAGTAGGTATTCTCACAAATCCTTCTGATTATAGATGATAGTACGTACTACTACTACTTGCGCTGAATTAGAATTTCTACTTGCTTGTTCCATCATGATTATCTATCTATACGTTGTGACCTCACGACTTACGTTGACGTAGAAGTTGAAAGCTCTGCTATGACAAGATGAAGATCATTTTCATCCTCCTCGTTCTTCACTACAGCTCCTAGCAAAATGGCAAAGCACCACCTAGAAGTCCTCATCCATAGAGAAGGCGTGAGCGTCGTTACCCGCTCCCTCAGTGGTCGTTTCTGCTGCCTTCATTACTCCTGCCTTCTGGTAGTCTCCGACGCGCTTCTCGAAGAAGTTGGTCTTGCCCTGCAAGGAGATGAGCTCCATCCAGTCGAAAGGATTCTTCACGTTGAACAGCTTGTCGTATAAGATTAGATGTGTAGCTTGAAGCAGAAGAAGAGGAAGAATTGTATCCAATCTTGATGATTCTGATTTAATCACCCTGCTAGGGTCGATAATAGTCATTCATTCTTGTTTGTTACAACTAGTACGTCTACTTACAGCACTTCATACTGTTTTTAGACTAGTAGAAGAAAGAAAAATAAGTATAGCCGTAAATGCAGTGCCTGAAGCAGTCGGTCCGCCACGAACTCGATGTATTGCCCCATGAGTTTCTTGTTCATGCCGATCAAGTCGCAACTGAGGGCGTCACAGATGAACTCACGCTCGACTCCCACTGCTCCTCGCACGATCTCGTGCACAACATCCTGCGGCAAGCGGTTTTCCAACATGTTGTAGAGCAAGCACGCGAAGTCCGCATGCAAACCTTCGTCACGAGCGATGAGTTCGTTTGAGAAGGTCAAACCTGGCATCAAACCACGCTTCTTCAACGCGTATTAGCGCTCGCCGCAATCCATCTCCAGAGGCATCCTGAGACTGAGTACCTTTTACCCTTGAAAACCCGAAACCCTCTTCAGGAGGCCTGTCTGTCAAGAACAAGATGGATTTGGAAGCGGAAGCCTTAACAGTAGATGGCACAGAAGGATCCGGAAAACAAAATCCCTTCTACACATGCGAATGCCACTAAGCGCATACCGAAGCAGAGGTTTCCATTCATCCAGCTGGAGGCCCACTTGGCCTTCTTCTCAATCACTGGAATAGTCGTGATCGCGTTGAACAACTTCGTCTTCTCAGCTTCGTCGTTACCTGAGTAGAGTTAGAAGGATGAAAATTTCAAGATGAAGATTGTCTGTAGATGGAAAAGTTGTCTGTAGATGGAAAAGAACCTATTTTTTGTAGCAAATCAGAACAACGAGGAAGAGCAGTAGAGAATGAACGAACCCTCTAAGTATGAGCATCTTCCAGACACATCAACTATGTATTAAGTCAAATTCAGATCATACAAATTGCTAGTGAAAGTAGAGTTACGGCAGTATTGATCGATCAGAAGCGAGTAGGTTTCGCTGTGGATGTTTTCCATGGCTGCCTGAAATCCGTAAAAGGCTCTCGCTTCCGGCAGCTGCACTTCGGATGCGAAGTTCAGGTTCAAATTTTCGAGCACAATGCCATCAGATCCAGCGAAGAAGGCCAAAATGTGCTTAAGGAAGTGCTGCTCGTTTGCACTCAGCTTATCCCAGTCGGTCATATCCTGAGAGAGATCAATCTCCTCTGCGGTCCAAAAAGAGGCCTCGTGCTGCTTGTACCTATTGAGTATGAGTTGTTTCTAGAGATGAAGTTGCCTAAAAACGGGAGGTAGTGCATGTAGAGATGATCAGTGTAGTGATGTTTATCATGACTGCTTTCAGGCATATTTGCTTGTTCTACTTGACGATGCCATAATGAAGATCAGCCTGGAAATTGTTCAAGAAGATAATTTTGAATCCTGATTTGAAATGTCTTAGTACATCTCCCAAATTTCCGGATATTTGATAGGGAACATCACCCAGCGTTGCTGGTTGTGTGCGAGCAAAAGCTCACCCTTCTCCTTCGCCTTCAAATCTGCGGACACCGACAAAGCGCGGGCGCGATCCTCGAACTTACCCAAAAGTTCCTCGCTCTCCGAATCAGAAGAGGCATCTGGCGACCCGGTAGTAGAGGAATCATCTCCAGTGGTGGTGTTGTTAGAAGGAGTTCTGGAGCAGCACGTCGATCGCGATCCACCTTGATGTAATTGTTACTAATTCATTTGAGCGAGCCCGAGCCCCCTTATTTATTAATTTGTTTCTTCTCACAAGCGAGCTACTACAAACGACAACCAGCTACGAGTACTAGGAGGCATCTACTTATCACCTGTTGATAGGAGGAGTTGTCTTAGGTAACAACTACAGCCTTAAACACATCGATCAGTTGCTTGTTGTTATTACCTACCAAAATATCATCATAACCTTGACCTCTGCTTCGAGGATGGTCTTACTCGCGACAATGTCCTTCTCGAGATCTACGTCGACGCCGTTCGCCACAATCTTGCCGTTGCGGATGACAGTCTTGTGAGGAATCCCCTGAACTCCATACTCCGAAGGCAACAGGTCATCGTCAATGATCACAGAGAGAAGCTCGGACTTGGGAGTGTTAGAAGAGTCAGGGGTTGGCACCATCCAAACTACAGATATGATTGGACGAAGGGATTAAGACGAGGAAAACAATGTACGTGTCCAAAGAACTTCTACAGATAGAAAAACAATGTACGATGACCTTAGCTACACCTAGAGCTGTTGTCATGAGCTGTAGTCATTAAAAAACGATTCCTCATATTGTTCAAGCATCATAACATTCTTGTCGCTTCCGAAAGTGTTTTCGATACCATGCTCCTCGCAGAATTCCACAGCCCCTTCAAGATCGTTCTCCAGGTTCACCAAGACGAAAACGGCCTTCTTGATGGTGCCCTCTGTAGCAGGGAAGTTCTCAGCCAAGCGTTGCATCTCCTTAGCAGCCTCCGGACATTTTTTGCACCAAGTGGTGTAAAAATCGAGGACCACCACGTCGTACTCGGAAGTCAGCTGAGTCAGAGACATGCTGCGGGAGGTAGACACCTCTACCATACCCGGAATCTCCAGTGCCAAAGCGCCCTTGCACAACATCTTGTCTGTTGTTGTTCGTTGTACAAGTTGTACTGATAGATGGATATGAAGATATTTCTTCCTGAATTTATTTAGGTGCTTTGTTGTGATCAGATCTTTCTTCTTGTAATTGCAAACTTGTCGTGTTCGTGATCGTGGAGATAGATGAAAGATTTAATAAGTTAGACGGATAGCAATCTTTCAAAAAACTAGATAATCAAGCTCAAAGAGTGGCGGTGCTTATGCGATGGGGTGGAAAGTTTTCGTACGTACTGGGACTAAACTCAGACGAAACTCTATTGCGTTTCTTGCTACAGTTTTTGGATAGAGGAGAGGTTGTTGGTGATGATGGTGGTTGTGAATCGTGTTCTTGACCACTGATGCTATGCCTTCGTTTCAAAGTAAGTTGCTACAAATCGATCTCATCAAACATGTTGTTCATCTAAAAATTACGATCGATACGTCTGCGATACATACTATCAGTCTACTTTCCTCAACAATATTCTCGTCGTCCACTCGTCGATTACTTAAGCCGTTATCCTAATCCATTTGAAAGCGCCACCACAGACCAGTTTTGAACGATTGATTGATAGCTCAGTAACGAAAGACAGAGCGATACAAAAACGATTATTATACTGAATCGAGATACTAAAGCTTCCCTTTTGTTTCACGATCAACTTTCGACAAAAACAGATACCGTGTATTGCTCTCAATGTTTCTTAGGACTGCCAGAAACGATCTTTTTCTCGAGAACACGAGCGACTATGCAATGAATGCGTGGGACATCACTGCAACTGAGATCATTATGAAGACCGACGCGTAAAAACAACAGACTTCTCAGATATATTACTGCATCTAAAAATAACCCTTCTTCAGCAACTTTCTTCTAGGAGCGGTACTAAAGGAGCGTAACAATTCATGGTACAGCTCGATTACTTTTCCATGTTCTTCTTGTGTGCTCTTTACAGCAGGCGTGACAAAAAAACTAGGCCATCACTGTACAAACTGCACAACATTCATCGTACCATCTCAATTCTCTGCAAAAATACTATTTTTACTTTTAACTATCTAACTGATTTATTATCCATCTTCATTTCTCTGTGTTCTTATGGATCACCTTCAAAAAAAAGTTCTGCATCTATAACAAGTACTCACCATAACCATTCGTAGGATAGGATAGGATGCCTCCGCTTCGCCTCCACACTTGGTGGGACCGCAAGCTTTAGCAGATCGTCACCATAACCATTCGTTCCCCCAGAAAAAAACAAACAAGTTCTATTTCATAGATATTGGTGACCGAAAATTGCAATTTCAAAACAAGTAGGATCTTTTTTAGACTATTCATCTTTATTATCATCTCAGCGACAGCAAATTAGTTCATTCCATAATCCTACTTTCTCCACACCTGAAGTAAAAGTAGGCGTGCTAGTAAGCATGTAGTTCCGGTGTGAAAATAAACAACATGCGTACTATGTATAAGAAAGTTCCACCATTTCTACTTCATGATTGGCATTGAATTTGGAGGATATTCAGTTCATTGTTCAAACTTTGGATTATTTGGAAAAACAAAAATAACTGTTAGTTGACGGTCATGCTGATAAGTTTAGCTGTTACATTAGTTGACGGTGATGCTCATTGCCATTTATTGGCAGGAGCTATTGGAGCTACTTTTATACATAGATACTATAAGAGTTGCCTCTATTTAGTTCAACGACATCATGCTTCTACTTCCTACTGCGCCCTCACAATGATATGAATATCTAGCATTTATACAACTGCTCACTGCGCTCTCGCAATGATATCTAGCGCGTCCTGCTTCGTTCCTACGCGTAAGGACGATGCACGGTTCTTGTTCTCCACGACGAATATTTTGTCCGCGTTTTCGACCAACTCGGGTCTGAAGGTCGTGATCAGAAGTTGAGCACGGGAGGACTTGTTCTCAACATGATCTTGAAGCTGTAGTTCATCTTGCTCTAAGCCTAAGGATGATGCAGAAAGTTGTTCATCTAGGTACTTCGCGACAGCAGCTCGATACTGAGGATCTAATGCTGCGTCCACCTCGTCGAGGAGGTAGAAGGGGGCTGGCCGCAACCGTAGAAGAGCTAGCAGGAGACTTAGGGCACAAATTGTTTTCTGACCTCCTGAAAGTTGACGCATGTCTTGCCATGGTGCTGAGGATTCTTTTGCTTGAAGATCTTGATCTAATCCTTGGCCTTGCTCATTGAAGTTGAACGTTACTTCGCATCTCAATCCTGCAGGCTCTGACCTCTTGTTGATTGTTTTGGTGTTCTTACTTCTACTAGTAGTAGATATCTTATTTTTACTAGAGGTAGCAGGCTCATCTGCTCCATCTAGTATCGCATTCATTTCCAGCTCATCCGCATCCCCAAATGCTACAACTTTCTGCCCTTCCCCATTCACGAGTTCCAACCGTCCTCTGCCTTTCCCGCTTGTTAATTCTGTGAAAACGTGCGAAAATTCGTGCTTCAACTCCTCCAACAAAGCCGAAAACATCAGATGCTTGTTCTCGTCCACCCGTTTTATCATACTGCGAATACGAGCGACTTGAGCAGTGATGGACTCTAGTTCGCCTCGCAAGCGGTCTCGAACTCTGCGGTAATCCAAGATGTCCTCCAAAGCCCTTCGGTTTCTAGCATCCCAAGTCTCGTCCAACTCTCGCGAGACGCGAGTCAGTTCTAGGAACAACTCACTTTGCGACAACCCCTTGACCCGTTTACGCTCAGCAGCCGCTTCTTGTTCCTCTAGGTGATCTTGATTGTGAAGATGGGTTGACGTTGCCTTCTTTGAAGGGACTCCTACTGGTTGTAGTCGTCCACCAGAATCCTCCTCTTCATCGACATCCATCCGTTCGCCGTCGCTTTGTCCCACCTCACCGTCGTCAAACAAATCTCCTTCTTCATGCAACTGGAGTTTGCTTGGATCATCTTGCTGTGCTTTCCTAGTAGATGCATCCTTGTTTTTGGCTCTATTTTTAGTACCAGGCCTTTGTATCTTCTTAGGTACAGCACCTGCGGATCTACTACGACCTCCACTTCTACTACGACCTCCAACTCCTGCTTCTCCACCTGCTTCTGATCCTGCTTCATCCGCTCCTCCTCCTGCATCTTTGTCAAGAACTACATCTACATCCTCATCTTGATCTTCCTCTTCCAGATTCTGAAGAACATTGTGCCGCTTAAGACGAAGTTTAGCATCTTCCACGCGGATGAACTGGGAAATCACTTTCTCCGTCAACAACGCCACCTTCCCCTTCGCCTCATCCACTTCACCGCCAAGGGCAGTGGCTGTTGCCTCTAGTTGTTCCTCTTTCTCACCCAGAGAAACCAAACGGACCTCAGCGTCTGCAATTCGATCTTTTAGACTTAGCGAAGTTCTAGTAGTTGTAGAAGTCCTGCTCGTAGAATCAGGCTGCACATCATTTGCGTCTCCTTCTCCACTCAATTTCTTCTCCAACTCCCTCTTCTCCGTCTGCAACCTCCCGAACCTTCTTCGCACGTCTTCAGTGTCCGCCTTAGCTGTCTCGACCTGTCGCCGAAGCTCTGCCACTGTTTCTCGTGTCGCTTCGATGCCGGAGACGACCGTCTGCCGCTTCGACGTGTGCTGATTTCCTATGTCCTCCAACTTCTTCATTTCTAACTGCAATTCCTCGATTTCCTTCTCCAGGACTTCAATCCTGGACTGGGCCTCTTTTTTGCTTCGCTGTTCACGCTCCTCTTGTGAATCAGACTTGTAGTTAATATTCTTGTTACCATTCTTCAGATTCTTGTTTTCATCGTCTTGTTCTCCAACTAGAAGATCTGATTCTAGTTTCGCCACTAATTTTTTCGATTCCTCTAATTCCGTTTCACTCGCTTTCAAGGATGCTTCTAATTTGCGTACCTCTTGAGTGGTGAGATACTGTTTTTTCTCGTTTGCTCTACGAATAACAGTATCAGCATCGCACCAAGCGCGACGAACGCGCTCTCGATTTGCGTAGATGTCTGTGCGTCGTTTCTGGACGTCTCCCTTGTACTGAGCGTCCGTCTTTTCGGCTTGCTCTTTCAACTTCTTCTCGCGCGGACGCAAGTCCGTGTCGAGTTCTTTCGAAAGCTGGTTTACCCGGTCCTGTAATCGCAACCTCTGCAAGCTGTTCGGGTCGACAAATCCCCCACTGAAGAGACCGCTCGCAAAGACGCGGTCACCGTCTAGAGTAATCGCGTTCACGCCAAACCGCTTCGACACTGCTTCGCATAGTTCTAGACTTTCGCAGATCATCCACGATCCGAAGATTTGGAGCACAGCCGCTCTAGCCCACTCTGGAGCACGCACGACGTCCACCATAGGAAAAATCTTTGGATTCTTGCTACTGTCGACGTCGTTTGTAGAGGTTCTGCCTGCTCTGCTTGAGGACTTGGATGAGGTCACGGTTGAAGTTAGAAGAGTGTCGTCCATTCTGAATCCTAAAGAACAAAGAAACGGATTATACGAAATGATGCTCATGTTCGTGATATTAAAAGGACTGATGAAAGCGAAAGATGCAACAAAAGGTGCATAATATTGCCAATTCCTGCAATTGCTCTGCTGTTGCTGGGGGTTTCCAGGTACGACTCAGATTTTCAATCTTGTCCAATGGCACGCATTCGACCGATCCAAGCTTTTGCTCCCTAACTGTTTTTAGTATCAGAGAAGCCTCCACGTCACTGGCAACCAGTAGATTGGAGAGCGAGCCACCGCCGACTAGTTCCACCGCAACTTGGTAAACAGCGTCAGTTGAGATATTCTGCAGGACTGTGCCGCGAACTTTTTGAGTGTCTTCATGATCCCTGGATGAAGATGAGGAAGCATTACCATTCGAAGCTGAACTAGTACCGCTACTAGGTGTAGGAAATCCGTTCTTTTCGAAATGCAACAATGCGCTTCTAATTCCTCGTGGCAGCGTTCCGAAGAGCTTGCTCTTGCGATCTTGCAGTTGTTCTACTTTCTGCGTTATCGCTGCTGTCGTTTTCGCTTGGTCGGCATGGAGCTTTCTTCGTCCTTCAGATAGTTGTTCGACTGCGGCATCGATGTCGCGACAGGCACGTTTAGTCTCTTCCCACTCGGTATTTAGCGTATCTCGTCTTTTGCTTTCCGTCTCGATACTTGCGACTAAAGTTTCGACCTCTTGCGACTTCGCTTTCAGGTCGTCCTTGTGCTTTTCACACAGCGATTGCAGAGCTGGAAGACGCTTCGACTTCGTGTCCTGCAATAACCCAGCAGCGTCCTTTCTACGAGTACCCTCGGCTTCGAGCCAGCCGATTTCCGCTTTAGCCTTCTGTTTGCGGACCTCAGCATCTAGCTTTTTCTCGTGCAACTGCGTGCTCTCGACATCCAAATCTGCAAGGTTCTTCTCCTGATCCGCTAAAGTGCCTTCTTCCTTCTGCAAAGCTGACTCCAATTCGTGTAGACGAAGCTTCTCTTCTCGACCACGACGATCACCCCCATCTAGATCTGCACGTCCACCACTCCCCAGGTGCGCATGTTTCATCAACAATTGTTCTATTTCCCCCGTCACTGCTGCCAATTGACCTTCAACTTCTTGCCGTTCCAGGGTTTGGTGAGTGATAAGCTGTTCCAATTCTCGCCTTTCCTCAAAAATGCTGTTCTTTTGGTCGGCCACTGCAGAAAGCTTGGTCTCCAACTGCTGAGCACGCAGTTCTGACGCCATCTTTTCGGCTTCGTGGCAGCCCGGGAGTTAGAAGAGGGGAAACAGCAGAGTGAAAATTTTGAAGAACAAAGTAATGGCGCACATGTCCTCGTGGCTCACATTCATTTTTACTCCCATGCTGCACATGGAGACGTAGCTAACGTTGAAGTTTACCTGCTATGTATTCTTATTCTACGTACAGCAGAAAACACGAATATCATCAACAAACTATTTACACCAACTAGCCCTACTGAGTGCTCAAATTTCTTAAATTCTACTCGTCGCGTCGCGCAACTCGAATCGTGAAATAGCGACTTCGAGGACCTTCTTGCGTCGTTCCAGAGCACGAAACGCAGCCAATTCAGCGGCTTCTACATCTAAAGCCGCGATGCGTTGATCTAGGTCTGCTAGCATTTGCTGTGCACGTTCTTTCTGTGTCTCAACTTTCTGGAATTCCACTTCAGCACCTGCTTTTTTCCCATCGAAGGCTGTGGTACCAAGCAGGTCGTGGGAGATTAGAGGAAGTAGGAAGAGGAACTCAGTCTTTCTAGCCCGTCTACGAAGATCAAGATGAACATGAACGACCTTAAGCTAAAATAAGAACTTCTTCTAGTACAGATACAGCCTCTCTCGGTCTGGTCTCATGATCATTCATCCTAGTTACAGTTCGTTGCACTCACTTTCTAGTCTTAGCTGTATCTTAGTTGCACTCACTTATAGTGTTAGTTGTATCTTCCAAAACTTGTTGCACTAGCCATAACAGAAGACGCAACCTTCTTTTTTGGGATAACGAAGCTAGTTCAGCAATTTGACCCTGACGAATGGCCCACCAGGGAGCTGAGGAACCAGCTGACGCAGGAGCAACTCCACCAGCCTCCAAGATGTCCCATACTACATGCTTTTCAGTCTTTTTACCTGTATGTAAGTACGATTTAGAGAAGTCGTTCCCTCTGAAGAGAGTTTTCGTTTGTTATTGTTCAGTTGTGAGAATGAGCAAATTCTTGTGAAGGAAAAATATTACAGTTACTTCATCTACAAGTCACCTGCTCGTTATCGATGTTGTTGAGTCAGAGTCGTCTCGTTATCGACGTTGTAGTTGATGTTGCACACAAAGTGCTAGTTCCCCTAAAACTACTACAATGGGTAGGTTATGTACTACTAACCCTATAGTTCTTGATGCTAAGTAGATGTAGTGTTAGAGGAACAAGAAGATACCATTCAGCGTATAAGCCCGATCCAGCACTCCGCGTCGTATCGTAACTGTGTCAGACTCTACTGGCGCTTTCCTTTCCGCGTTATCGAACACCAACTCCACGTACGCTTGTTGACCTCCATGTTGACCCGCTGCAAGAAGACCTCCTCCAGCGCCACCTTCGTGCACCAGGGTCGACGCATTTGTAGCCACTACGGCGTCACTGACAACAAACAAGATCGCGTCCAAAACGTTGCTTTTTCCGGATCCGTTGTAGCCGACGATCAGGTTGCGACCTGGATGCAACTCTTCACTGTTCTTCCCCTGTTTGTAGGTCTTCCAACCTACAACTTCGATGGTGCGCAGCCACATTTTCTTGACGACGCTGTAATTTTTTCTCTCTAAATCTAACGTGATAGATGGTGTCTTTTTCTTCTAGGAACGAAAGAAAATGCTCATTAGAAATGCAAGTGAAGCTGAACAACAGCTGAACAACCAACGTAGTAGTACAAAATAGAGATTCTTTCTTATCTTCGAATTCCTATCTTACGTGATCAAAACAAAATTCAAAAAAAAAAATCGTCCATCTTCGGGAAATACTAACAGAAAAGTTCTCCCCCTTATTGTTGAATGAATGAATGAATGTGCCTAGCATGAGGTGGTGCAGTGAGTTTTTTATGTCGCTCTCCCTCTCCGACAAATTAGTATTATAATTGTTAGTTGTGATTATGTGCGTCAGCGTGCAACGAGCTAGCTCCAACAGCACAGGGTCGAAAGAAACGAAAGGGAGTCACGAGATCGAACGAAGAAAAAAACTGCGCATAAATTGCCTTCATGCAGTGACTGAGGCGTGGCAAAAAATTAAGCAAAAAACCAACTCTTTATCATGTCGAAAAACTGACCGATACCGACCGCCATTCTCTCAATGCTCAGAATGAAGCAAGAAACAACTGTTTTTGCGAAGATTGTCCGAGCACAAGCGTCGAGGAGTGAAAAAACAAGCGAGGAGGATGACCGATTGATAACAACATTATTGCGGAAAGATACAGAACTCACATGTCTCTTCATGAAGTAGAAGACTCGGCATCGTCTTGCTGCGTGTTCAGGCGCAAGATGGTAGTCACAATATGCGTGTGGCTGTACATGCCACGATGTCACATATTCTTGACTAGATGCAGGAGATGGGTATCAATCCTAGCAAACCTACTCACCGCATCGCAGAACCAAGCGCTAATCAAGGATGAAGAAGAAAGAGTCGTCATCGTGACTGTGCGTGAAGGTGGGTAAAGGGAAAGCGAAGGGGCTTGAATGAAGTTACAGCATGCAAGGGACAAGATGTTGATCATTTGTTGTACTCCTTAGTGACTCTTACGGGGAAACAAGTGCGAAATGTTCTTAGGAATGAGGATCCTCTTGCTCTTTAGTTAATGTTGCTAGGGAGGACCAACGAAGATCCTTTTTGCTGGTAATACTAGGTTGTAGTGGAAGGTCAGACGCAACTGATTAGTATGAGGATTGAGGAAAGCTTGTAAACTCTTACACAGCATCCAATTGTAGTTACTAGCGGAGGGTAAGAGTCAGATATGGTGTGAAGTACGGTGTGGTAGTGTGTGATGTAAGAAATGTCTTGATATATCTTTATGGCAATATGTATGATGCAGAAGATTAAGACTTCGTTACGTTTATCATCCCTCAGTACTAAGTAATGCAATAATGTAAAAGAAGATCAAAATTCGTCAGCATGACTAGCTTGAACATTATCTATAATCATGAATGTATCAATCTGTGTGTCGTGAATGCGTGATATGCTCGTAAATACGTGAAGGGACTAGATTTCGGGTTTTGCAATTGACGGCAAGGTGGATCATGAATGCTCGGAAATCTAAGTATCTAAGTATGATAATGATTGTTCAGAACAGTTCTGCGTCAACAACACACGTCACCCACAAACAGAATCTGCGTGAAGGAGGTATTGCTATTGAGTAGCAGCTTCAGCCTTAGGTGCTGGAACTAGACCACCACGAACACTACTCGACAGGAGAAGTCGCGATTGACCCACTACCAGACAGGAGAGGTCGCGATTGACCCACTACTAGACAGCAGAAGTCGCGATTGACTCCCTATTAAACAGGAGACGTCGCGACTGACCCGTAGTGAGTGTCGTCTTCATCCTCTTGAGCGCCACCTTGCTGCTCGGTCTTTTTCCCCGCGCCATTACCTCGTGTCGTGAGCGGGCTGCCCGTACTATTATTAGTGGTAGTACTATAACAAGGTACAACCAAGAACATACCCATGTACTAGGATAAGTTCGCAACCTCCTGTTCCTCGCGGCCTCTCTTTGGTTAGGTTAGGTGTTGGTCTCTCCTGTTATAGGATAGGATAGGAGGTAGTTCGCCGTCCACAGTGTGACCTGCATCATCGAGCGAACATTTGCAGCCACAGAAGGACTACTAATTTTGATTTATTCTTCAACTATCATCTTCTCTGATCGTATAACGCCACCTCTACCCCCTTCTATTAGACCGCCTGACCGACATAATGCGCTGCAAAGGAACGCACGACAGATCCCGCGGTAATCATTCGACGTGTCCTTCTTGATCCTACTTCGTTAGTGCTGCGCTCCGTCCTGACTAATTACCATGCATTGCAATTAAGTTAGATCATAGGTGGACGAGAAGACCCCTACTATTTATTTCTAAGAAGTCTACTTGCTCTCTTTTTCTTAATGTCGATATTCCTTGGGGTCACTGCACTTGGCTCCACGTGGTCTTGTTCGGATTCTGCTTCCTTAATGGCTCGACGGAGGTACACGATACTTCTTAGAGCAAGAATTTTCGGTAAGAATTAGGCTAGTTTTTGGTCTGCCTAATAAAGAGAGACAGACATGGTGGTCGTAAACGTAATTTCTGATTCTATCAACTAAGGGCTCTTGTTTCTAATTCCTACAACAAAGTAGAACTGATTGCCCAGCTCATCTACTATTGCATCTGCACTACACAGTTGTGCTCTCCTATTGGATGGAGGATCTAACCTGGGATACATGAGGGAAAACTAACCGGTACTCTGCTACTTCATCTTAGGATAGAAGAGGATCATGGATCCTCATCCTGCTTTGATCATCTCGTGTTCGTACGTATTGTTCAAGTCAAATCTTACACCTTTTGTTGAGTATTAAAGTGGTTGAGTGAGCGAGTGAATGTACCCACTCTAGGGGTATGCCAGGCTACTGCGATGCTACTACTTCTTTTTTGTATCAACTAAAACTATTGTCTCCTTATCCTTAAACTTGGGATTCGGGGCAGGACAAGGGCGGCCAGTGACTTAGAGGATTCGTAGGCTGACGAAAACTGAGACTCGATCCTGAGCAACATTTTCTTCCCTATAACTAGACTTCTAGTACTCGTCTCAAGCACAAGATTATAGTATCGAGCAAGATTATAGTATCACCCAGTCAGTCAATCAACCAGGTTGCCGCCACAGGGCACCGACCTCCCCGCAGCTCCGACTGCCGCACCTCTACGCTCGGGAGAGCTATCAGGGAGCGACGTTGTCGAAGTACAACTGATGCTAAATCATATCAGTAGGGAAGTTCTGATGATCAAAAAACGTTCATGTTGACCATGTAATTGGGAAAATCGATCCTGTTGATTTGGCATTGGCGCATAAGATTTAGGAAAAAGACCAAAATGTATACCCAAAATTCCTCAGTCCCTCGCGTTTTCCGCTCCTTTGCGATGGTTTTCTGTAGCTGTAGCTCTGCACCCCACGCCACGAACGTATGCACGCAATAGGCGACACCCGCGAAGGCTGTGTTAGAGTGCTAGTGTGGTACTAGGTAGAAGACCACAACTACATCATCAGACGACGAAATAAGTTTTCAAGCAGAAAGAACGAAATTAAACTACAATGAATCACAAAGATCAGACTTGTCAAGCTTTGAAGCAAAGAGAAATGTGCTTGAGATGAAAGAAATGGGACACCTAGAGGTAATAATTACCTGTCGTGCAATCCCATCATGATATTCGACAAACTGAAGTAAGCAAGTATGTAACTCACTAGAATAAATGCACGAGATACTGAACAAGGAAGAGTAGCCCTCGAAAGAAACCTCCCGCCTTATTTCAGTCAGTAACTCGCTCATTTCCAGTTTTCGAGTACTATCAGATCTACAAGAGAGGGGAGGGCAAAGAAACAAAAGCAGGTTACACTCGGAAAACATGGAAAAAACACAGAGGCATGAGGGGGTCAGAGCATTTATCATTTTATATATTGAGTGGGAGTAGAGGTTTAGATTTAGCTTGAGAGGGGTTCCCGCCTCAGCCCTGCTTTTCTTTGTATGCCAAGAACGGCGAAAGAGTGATCGCAGTGATATCCGGCGCGCCTGCCGGCGACGGGTGGAGTCCATTAACCTTCTTCTATTACCACGGTGCACTGATTGCCTACGAACCCGCCGATTCTAATCGGATGACTTCTACGAGATTATGTCGACATCTCCACAATTGCGAGCATCCAATCTAACACGAGAATTGCTCGTTCTGAAGATTCTTTCTTCAATTCCACCTTCAACGAGGAAGAGAAACAACTTGTACTAAATGCTTCTAGAAAGACCTAGGATGTACGCCTTCTGATGGAAATTTTCCCTTTCTTTACTGGGTGTGGGACGACTACTAGACAGCTAATCCTCAGACTCGTCTGGTGCTCCTGGTTCCTTCATTCACTCGTGATAATTCACTCATAATAAAAATGGCTATGAATACAACCAAGTCCTTTTTAAAAATTGTTATGAATACCAACACCTGTCCTTCTTAATCGTTGTGAAGACCAAGATTCCCGCTGCCACTTTTAGGAGTGCCAAATTCTCGCCATAGGGCCTCCGCGATACCACGCAACATGGTGAGCAACAACAACTTTTTTTTAGAGATAGTGACAGAGCACGACCTTGAAGAGCGCACATTCGGCCACAAAAAACTAAGTTGACTGTTATTCGGAACTCATTAGTTAACAAATTACTAAGTTGACTGTTGTTCGGTGCCTTAAATTCTGGCAAAAACAACCCGCGACCCGCAGCTGCACAAAGCTGGACCAGAAAAGGGCAAGTCGTTCCAAGACCCACCAGAAAAGCATTTTTAGAACGATTCAACAAAATCTGAAAAATGTTGACGCTAATCATGATGATTCTATTACGGTACTGAAGATGTTCATGTCTTCATCATATACCTTCATCTAAGAAGAGACTAATATTACCTAGTTAGCACTATAGTTCTAGTAAGTAGTGTGTCATCAATCAATCAAGTAGTGTGCATACAACCACTATTCATCATCATCTTCATCATCATGAAGGGAAATAAACTAAGGTTTTCTACTTCGAGGGATGAAAAAGAGTGAACCGTGCCTACTGTGCAGCGCTGAAGAAGTGACTAGGTACTCTCTGTTATGCCGTGGCACCTCTTGCGTACCTATTTTTGTCTACTCATGAGGCCAGCCAGTGCAGTAGTTGAAATGATCTAGTTAATAATAACACATCCTCCGCATAACATTCCACCGCTTTGTGCCGGGACCAAGCCAAACAGAGTTAGAATTTCCCGGAAAAATCCATCTTCCTTGTTATGAAAAAGTCAGTAGCTATGCATTGCTGGCCGTTGTATTACTGTGTTCTATTATCTGTTAGTGATAGTGATCTACCGTTTAGAAAGTAATAAGAAGTGCTGTATCATGAGCAGGCCGCGTGCCACAATTTTTAACAGTTGTACACGACCTTGTTGTAGATGAGAGCTAGATGCATTTGATGTAGCCCCAGTAGCTTCATGACAAGATCGATGGAGTTCTTCTAGAGAAGCAGGAAGGCCTTAAGAGAAAGAAAACCAGAAGGTAAAACGGGTCCCAAATAATAAAAACTGTCCCCAAGAGAGACAACATCTGACGAGTGGGCGTCCATTTTAGGCCGATGTCCTGTTCCTGCTCAACTACTTAGAAGAATTGCCATCAATGATGATCCATCTCTCTGTAGAAGAAGCATCTTGACTGATGCCCGTTTCGGTTTTCCCTTGCGAAGCTACGGGATCAAGATCTGTTCCTTTTCTCATGAAAAAAGGAAGCACTAGAGCAATCAAGATGCTTGCTCGCTTGGGAGGATACAATAATATTGTTGTAGCCTTAATGAGCCTGGTTATCAGGCTCCTGCTGTCCATGGTGGAGGTTTTCTACTTTCCTGGCATTAGAATTGGCCATGCGTATCTGTATTTTACTCTTAAGATGACTACATATTCCACTTAGTACTTCTATACAATTTGAGTCGTATCAGGAGAAAGGTGTGCTCATGGATGAGAGTGAGGATGTTGAGGATGTTGTCCAGATGCTATTACTTCATCAACATATTTAGAACAAGTAGGAGTCCTTCTATTCTTAACTGTAGGGCTTTTGCTTCCCTGGGGCGAGCTCGTCTCTGTTGCATTCGTAGTCTTTGGTTTCTTAGCGACGCTTTGTTTGTTCTTCGAACTGAGGTCCGACATTTTGTCGTAGTGCAGATCACGAGACGAAGCCTCTCACTTCTACTTGATGACGCGAAAGAATCTCTTCGAGGATCTACCTAAGACTTCCCTGGCGACTTCTGCCCGCTCTTCTAGCTTGTTGCTGAGCTGTCAGCGGTATTTCGAGAGTTCCTGTTGATCCTGATATAGTACGTAGAGTGATGAATTTTACTGAGGACAACTCAAGTTCTACTATACTGTACTTATTCTACGGAGACAGACTCATTCACCGGGGACCGTCCACAGGGTAGAGCAGGAGTTGTTCTTGTACGTGTAGAGGAACGTCCAGGAGGAGAAGGTAAGAATGCTCCAGCCAAATTGCAACTAAAAGCGTTCACGGACGACAGGATGACCTTGACCGATTCAAGAACATGACATAAACATCGCGGACAGAGGAAGAAGTCACGACACGTCTCTGAAATCACAGGTCTCTTACGCTTGTTCACGAATGATGATGACTTGGACAGGATTTCTATAACAGATATTGATATGAATGAATCATGTGCGTGTGGTGTATTGTTCCACTTATGTCAGTGTTGTATGACACTTATGTCAGCGGTGTATTACAAATTGTCATGATCCTTCATATGCAACTTTTAGGGTCGTGAAGGAACTGTGTTTGCAACTATCATATTTATGGAAACACTTGTATGGATACACTTGTTGTATGATCGTGAATCACGTACACTTGTATGTGTTAAAGGAGGTTTTATGTTGTGCCCTGGAGGAGGTTTTATGTTGTGCCCTGGAGGAGGTTGTATGTTGTGCCCTGGAGGAGGTTTTGCTTAGCAACTTTCACCTGAGAGCTACAAGACCACAGACAATTCTAGACAGGAGAATTCCCAATTGCTCCATAGTGAGTAAGAGTATCATCATCTTCACCTTTTTTTAGAGGTCGTTTCCACGACATTTCATTCTTCAGACCACCTTTCTACATCCCTGACGCATTTTCTTCTTAGAAAATGCGTCCTCAGGGATGCATGTTATGAAGAACGCAATGTGGGACCCCTTAATTTTTGAACCTCTTCTCGTCTTCGTTGATCTCCCGTCTCGTTCTTGCCATTGTTGGCATTGTAACGTGGCGCACGCGTTGTAAAGAAGCCACCTCCGGGTCTTCTTGCCTCTCTCCTTAGAGCTCAAAGCAACTCACTTCCTGCCTACATTTCTCCTCAAAATCCGAAGAAGGAAATTAATACTAGGGCGGAATGACCTCCTGTGAAAATAAAATTATATCTTGAGCCGTAATGTCTGCTCGTGTTCGTCATCTTCGTCTTCGGAGTGTCTCCTCACTTCCTGCATCGCACGCCAAAGATAGACCATACTTGGTACTCGGTCCAGGCTCAGTACGAAAAATGTTACCATTTGGATCGGTTGTAGTTTTTGGTTTCGAGTTCCTGGAGATCCTGTTCCACCTAAGTCCTCTGTTCTTGATACTTCTCGGAAAATTTCGAACAGAATCTGCAACTCATCGGAAACTCCATTAGAGGAAGGATAGGATGGGATGGGATTTGATCCGCCATATACAGTTTTACCTGCATCCACAGGAGAACAAGCTTTCGATTTATCAACATAATTATGGCGCAGGAAGATCTACTTTGTCACTATTTTTCTGGATAGTTCGTGACCAAAAAATTGAATTGTTATAACCAGGACTGTATCTACTGCAGCACTATCTTTACTTCAATCAAGTACACAGACATCCACTAGTAAAGAAACAGCATGTTGTTCGTGGACGAAGACATACACTAGGTAGTAATATATACTTATTCATCCTCGTGGTCCACCTGTAATATTTTATCTGGAGGGACTAATCTAGGATGAAAATGAGGGAAAACTAAGCTTAGTGAGCAATACCAAAAAGTAGAGCCCCCGTTGTCCTTAATGAAAACAACCAGCAACATTCCGAATGACACTTGTAACAACCTTATGTGCGGGGCATAGGGTTGCGGCAGAAACACGCGGTTACAAACCGCCCCAGCGACGTACATCTGCACAAAGCTCGCGAAGAGGAGCGCACATCGCTCCACTACCAGTCGCACAGATTGCATTAGAAGAGGGCGGGTCTAGACTACTACAAAAGAGCAGTAGAGTCGCACAGATTGCATTAGAAGAGGGCGGGTCTAGAAGACTACTACAAAAGAGGAGCTTACGACCTAGTAGAGCTAGACCTAGACTACTACTTTTTTTGTAATCAAATAGGTCGATCAATTAGACTTAACTAACATAAACCAGCATTAAAGAAGGTCCCCTGAACCAGGTGGCCATAACTCTTTTGTAACTGCTGCGGTGGGATCATTATGCTGCCGCCTCCTTGCTCGATCTGCAACTCCGTGTATCATTACAAGCAACGTTAGAGGACCAACGTTTGTCGAGTCAATTCATCTTTGACTGCGTAAACAACGAGGAGTCCGTGTCCGACCATGTTACAACCATAGTAAGTTTTGTTGAATCAATTCTAGATTATTCAACTGTAGGGTCTACCGTTCCTAACATCCAGACGCCGTCGAAAATGGTAAAAAATGTCCCCAAAAGAGACAACAGCTGCCGGGTAGGCGTCCACTCGATGTCCTCGACAACAACGTCACCCTCGTCTTTATTCCCGACATCGTCTTCGTCTTCCCCAGCATCGTCTTCCCGCTTAACGTCGTCTCTCCTGGTAACATCGTCTCTATCTTCTCTCCCATTGGTGATGCTTTTGCTATTCGTCTTCCCATTACTAGTAGCGTTTGGATTAGTGGCTTCAACAGCTCAAATTGCATCAATTTTTGACCTCTATGTATCATCTATATCTACTCGCAGCAAAGGACCTTATCCTCATGGTGTTTCACTGCAGCTCACTTTGAAAAGACTGACACGATGATGCCACGTTTAAATCAAGATCACAGGCGCACATTAGAGACTCAGTGGCTGAGGTCCATTCGCAAAGAGGACTCTGGTCATAATTGTAGGACTAGGGGTTCTTGTGCTCGTCTTTGGGCTCGTTGGTGGGCTCGTCTCTGGGCTCGTCTCTGGGATCGATTCCGTACTCGTCTTTTTCAGAATGCTTTTGCTCTTCGAACTGACACTGGCATCCGACATCTTTTTTTAAATACTTAGCAGTATCTATGATGAAAAGTTGAAGAAGAAGGATCTTCACAAGAGCATCAAGATAACCAATGACATATAGATTAGCTTTGAAGCCAATCAATCAATCAAGTCGGGCAACCGAGGTTTTCAGGTCATATTTTGGGCAAGAAGAAGAAGTCATCCGCTACTGCAAGATGAACAGCATGCTGCTACTCATTTGGAAAAAGAGCATGCTCGAGCTCCTAGACGAGCAGGCTCCTCCTTGGACAAGTCGTCCGCTACTCCTACTGATGTTTGGATTTTCAAGTCGTCAAATGAAGTCGTCAAATGAAGTCGTCAAATGAAGTCGTCAAATGAAGTCGTCAAATGAAGTCGTCAAATGAAGTCGTCAAATGAAGTCGTCAAATGAAGTCGTCAAATGAAGTCGTCAAATGAAGTCGTCAAATGAAGTCGTCAAATGAAGTCGTCAAAGAAGACTCGGTACTGATGATGGATCATCATGACTGAAAATGAACAACTTCGTGTAGGTGAAAGAAGGTAGGTGAGCGCCTTCACGTGGGTGTAGGCGTAGGTGTAGGTGTAGGTGTAGGTGTAGGTGTAGGCGTAAGAGAGCTCTCTACAAGGACAGAGAGAAAGAACGTTAGGTGGACTCTAGGTCTACGGTAACAAGTCCGCAACCTCAGATCATGATGGAAACCGATGCACCACAACAGTCTTGCTCACAGAATGTTGAGGATGACCGACTACATTGACCGAGGATTTCTAGGATCTTAACATTTACGACACAACTGGCATAAACATTTCTACAAACTCTACTACGGAATTCAATCAATGCAAAAATTCAAAACAAGAAAATTCAAACATGTCTTTCATTGTTTCACTAGTGTAATAAGCAGTGACATCGATTTTTACACGCATTCTAGAGCTCTTCTATTGAGGCGGTCGATAACGATAACATCAATGCATTTTTAGTATCTCTTCTGCCCTTCAATCAGTATAAATGGGTTGGGATTTCTTACTGGGTGAGAATAAGCGTAGTGGGAATTTGTGGAGGAGGGTGAAGAGAATGCTCTGTGAATAAACCGGTGGATAGAGATATTACGAAAAGGAGATATCATGGCTATGCTATGAGGACCGACTAAGTAGTCTTACTATGGCAACCAACTGCTTACAACATACAACTGCTTACAAAATATCGAATATTATAGATGAAATATCTCGGATGTATTGCATGTATCTATGAAATATCTATGTGGATACGCGGATGTGGAGTGTTATGTATGATATGAAAATGTGATGCTCTAGCTTGTGCTTGCATGCTGTATCTGACAGGTCCTTTCAAATCAAATGATTGCAAACTTCATTCTCGCTCTTCTTATCCAACTTGGAATGCGGTGATGTCCCCAGCCACCAGCCGTAGTTTAGAGCAGTTTTTATGTGTATTATGTTCTTGTCATAGTACTCATACTCGTAGACATTTAGCTTACTTCTCCTAAGTTGTTTATTTCCCGATTTTTATCGGTGTAGCGTATAACTTACTAGGTGTTTTCGTTTTGTAACTTAAGTTATGCGCCGCGCTCCCATGCGTCGAAGGTTTGGCATGCCTTGTCGAAGAGATCAGCGGCACCCCCAGACTGTGTGATGGCCTTACGGAGAATTTGCAGATTTCGTGCTGCGACGCTACCGGCCGGGGCCTGCTGCCAAATACATGTTTTTCCCCATACTCCACTCGTTTTCAAGCTCGGAAACTCAGACGCACCGTTCGAACCATGCTTCGTAGTGCGGCGAAACAGTTTCACAAGGTAGTCGAGATGCTCGTACCTCTCTGACTGTGCGGTCTTCCGTGCTGTGTTTCCGGAAGGCGTAGGAGCGACCACTGTATTAGAGCAACCGCATTGGCATCCTTGGAAGCATCCCCGGTGGTCTCTTCTTCTAGTTGAAAAAGAGGGCATGGATGCTGTGAAGGACGAAGCTGCGGTAGCCTTAAGTGTAAACTCCGAATCAGACAAGCTCCCTGCAAGCTTCAGCTCGAATGGCTCTTCTCGGCCAATCATTCCTGCCTGCTTCAAGGCGATGATTACGATGCCAGCTAGCGACATGACCGCTGCAATCCCGAACAGGGTCCAACCAAGTCCGCGCGTTAGCTTTGCTCTTAGAGTTCACCCCAATCCATCTTGAAGACCATCTCGGGACGTATTTCCCCTTAAAAACGTTTGCAAGATGTTTCCAAAGATGGATTAGCGGACGCCTTACTGCTCGCTTCGCGGTGCTATAGGGTGTGGCATTCTTTTCTTCTCGAATTACTGCACTCTGCCGACGCGACGCACGGTCTCCCTGTTGTGAATCTCTATCTTCCTGCAACAAAGGGCCTGTCTCTTCATCGTTTCCTTGCTCCACAGCGACGTCGCGGCTCACCTTCCAGACCAGCATGGGTTAGCAGTAGTTTTTCTCTATCACTCGTTGAGTAAGATACCGTCTCCTCCTTATTTTTTTTTCCTCCTCAAGAAATCTGAGAGAGGGTTCGTTCACTGCCACTTCTCAGCACCCACGACACTCAACAACATGAAATAGTCTTAGTTGTACTTAGTGACAATTAAAGTTAAACAAGGAGCCTTAAATGAGCCCTGGGAAAAGCAAGCACAGCGCCACTGTGGTAGTTGCGCCTTTCATGCTTCCCAGGAGATCCAGACCTGGACCGATGACTCCTATGACCGCAGAAACGCCAACGTACACAGCTGTGACCAGCACGTAGAGCCACAGAGGTGCTTGCTCGGCGGGACACATTAGATGAAGACGAGCTGGCATGAAGGCGAAGGTAAGGCTTACTACGAACAAGGGAAATCTACGAGAGTTTGCGACGAGCTGGATTCCAGGATTTTTACTTATCTTCAATCACGGTTGAGTTTACTACACATACTCTCATCCATACTTATCTATGTTGCCTCACCGTAGTCAACACTGTGAATCAAGCCTTAAATATGGAAAGAAGATCTCGAAGACCGCTGCTCGTGCCGAGTTCGAGATCAATGGATAACTCGTCATCACCGAGAGGGCCATACCCAGCCACATGATCTTCACCGCGACCGAATCTAGTAAAGAACTCGGCATAAACCCTCCGCTACTGCTCAAGTCGTAGGACTTCAGGACGTTGCCGCGCATCATGCCACCGAATCGACCATACGCTACGAAGGAGAATGTTAGAAGAACTCTCACCCCAAGTGATCTCCCATTTGTTTGAAAGTCATCTTAAATAAACCTGCTTTTCCCTCATGGGATCTCCCATTTGTTTGAAAGTCCCATCATCTTATAAGGCTGTTTGTTTCCCTTAGTTATGGGAAAGCCTTCCAAGATGCTAGCTATGGGAAAGCTTTCCAAGATGAAGATGCTTCTTTAACGCTCACAAAAACCCGACCTGGCTATCAGGGCCTGAGTAGGGGATCTATATATTTTTTCTCAAAAAAAAAAATTTTTTTCCGATTTCGGTCGACAGACGGGCACTTGAAATCAGATTAGCCGACATTCTTCCACCAAATTCCCAAGGATTCAATAGATCACGCCTCTCACTCCCGACAGACACTGACCGAAACGCAGACTGTATAATTTATGGACTGTTTCACAGATGGACTGTTGCACAGTGTCGATCTACCTGACCCCTCCCAAGATTCTGTTTCTCATAACTAACGCGCGGGGGGGCCTTGCCGCATCTGCATTGTCTACCTGTAGTTGTGTCGATGGTGAACTTCTAAATATATTGCTTCGGACCTCTTCTTGACCGCTAAGACTAGACTATAAATACATGAGGAGCTGATGATATGGAAAGGTTTCTGCAAAAAAGACACCGTGTTCAAATGCTTCGACCATTCTCGTGTTCATGCGCGTTCTCATGTACCTCTGTGCTGCACATACAATGCCGTATGAGTAATCAAGTATGGAAAAGATGAAACTACCAAAAATGACTGACGTCGAATGTTGAGAAATTATGACGAGAAAATATGAGAGAAGACACAACTCAAATGATGGAAATCAAATAATACACTATATGATCTGATGATAAGTCCGGATATTATGAAGATGAAAAATTAACGACCAAAGTTGTAGTATGTAAGTCTTTGAATTTTCGTACACCAGAAATTAAGAGTCATGAAATAAATATGATGAAATTAGTTCTCCTCTTGCTTCAGGTTGAAGGTGTATTTCTGGGGCAGCATCTTGAGTTCCGTCGGCGCACGGAGGACGCCTTCGCAGCTGCACAGTGCGTCTTCGTCCTTCCGCAGACGCGCCTTCACCATTCGGATTGTGCACATCCAGGTATCCGGACCTTTGCACGGGATAGTGCAGTCACGGTCTTTCCACAGCTTGCCGCCCTTGAACCAGCCGCAGTAGCAACGACGTTCAGCCAAGTTTCGGACTTCGTGACTCTTCGGACCATTCGCACGCTCACGTCGGGGAGCATTCGGGTGTTGAGGCCAGTAGTACATCTTCGCTCCATTTTTCGTGATGTAGTGCTTCTGTCCGCGACCCAGGAGGGCTCCACACTTCTTGCAGCTGATGTTGAAGTTGCGAACGCCATCACTTGCCTGTAGCTTGATCAAGTCGTCTCCAACTGGAAAACAAATCGCGCTTTCCTTCTTTGCAGCCATTCCCTCAGCAGTGTTGAGATAGTAATCCACCAAAGTCTGGTAGCGTCGTTCCACGCCCTGCTCCGTGTCATCAATATCGTGGCTCATAGTTTCCGTCGTAAAGAGATCATGCTTATCCCACTCGTCATCTTCATCCGACTTGTCGTCGACCTGTGAGTGGTGAGGTTGCCAGAAAGTGAATTCAAACGAACGAAAGCAATTGCAGGCGAGGTTGCCAGAGAGTCTTAGTCTAAAGATCAATTTATGAGGAGTTACCTCGTCCTTCTTCACTTCGTTCAAAAGATCCCCCGCTTCGCCACCAATATCCGCCTGCGCACGGGCGCGGGCTTGGTTGACCTGCTTCCAAGATGGACCCAAACGCGCTGCGCCACCACCTCCAGCAGAGCTTGCTGCGTTTCCCTTTTTCGAACCCTTCGGCTTCGCAGATGCAGCTACAATGCCCTTGCTGCGATCGCGGATCTGCTGAACTGCCTCGATCTCGACTTCGCGCAACTCCACGATGAGGCGACTAGCAGCCAATCTGATTTGATTCACCTTCCCTGACTTTGCATTATGCAGACCTGTCTCGGGATTGATGTCATCAAAGAAGTTCAACTCGTTCAAAAATGCTCCAGCAAGATCCTCTCCGTACAACAACTGAAAGAGAAGTCCCACATACTCGCGGTAGTTGTAGTTCTCAACTGGAATTTTCCCGAAGTAGGTGGCAAGCGGCCAAACTGGGCTCTGGCCTTCCTTGTACTGCAAGCCTTCGTTCACACGCTGCTGCGGAGTCAGTCGAACTTTATCAAGATTCAGAGGAAGAACCACTGGATTGTTCTTTTTCTTCTTGTGAAACTTCCTTGTGAGTTTCATGTTTTTCTTTCTGCTTGGATTGAACCAAAAACCGTCATCATTGCGAAACGTCGTGCTATTGGCGTACGTACGGATGAACTCGACGTCGTCCTCGCTCGGGCCATGCTCATCATCTTCTTGATACATCTTGACGTTGTAAGTAAAGGACGGGTTTCCGCCACCCAAGTAGTAGAGCGAGCTATCGTGTGTATTCTCCTGACCAGGAATCAACTGTACATCGTCAGACTTCACACCCAGCACATCTTCACCATCCAAATCGCTGCACAGAAGAGAAGTACTAGAAGAAGAAGCGGCCTGTGGCCCAGTGGATTTTACTTGTGTGTTCATGAAGAAATCTAACTCGCGGACGTTGGCTTGTTCTTTGTCTAGCTTCTGAAGCCACGGACACTGTTTCGGATCGGCAAAAACGGGCAGATGCGGGTAGCCAAGCAGACCCTCCATTGTTCCAGGAGACTCGTCCAGGACTTTCTTGATGATCTTGTGCATGTCGCCATCCATACTGAACTCCTTTGCTAGCAAAAAGCCCTTGGCAGTGCCAAGGCCATGGGACAAGGCCGCAGCAAGCGGCGTCTCGCGGACCGAATCTCCGGGAATACGAATGCGCACATCGTTCTTTTCAGGTCGGTAGACGTAGTAAGCACCTGAGCAAACGAGAATCTTCTTCACTCCCCGCATGCTGTTGCAGTGTAAGATTCCGTCGGAGTGGATGTACAGAAACTTGAGGGAGCTGCGGCGAGACTTGCGGTCCGTCGGCAGCGGCATGGCCCAACTGGGAGCATCAGGCCAATAGCCATAGTCTTGGTCCATTCTGTTATGGTTCTCCAAATCCAAGTACGAAAAGTCTTCTTTGCCGTTGTGAGACTCTGTTTTGAAGTTGATGACTCAAGTTATCCAGCTTGTTGTAGATCAGAAGAAAGCTGTTGTAGATCAGGCCTCAAAGTGGGGCACTTTTTTCACGTTAATTTTTTTTCATCCTAACTGCGTACGAAAAAGCGTTACTATTACCTTTCGCGCGCTGGAATGTTGTCAGCTTGCGCTTCTGCTCTAACTCCGTCCATCTTTTTCCAGACGCCAACTCGACATCCGATGACTTACGATCATCCAAAAGCTTCTCAACAATGGTTGGATTGCGCATTTCCGCCAGTTCCTCGGATGGGATGCCATTGTACGCCTCATGCATCTGCTGCAGCTCTGCATTGAGCTCATCTGCGGCCGTGTTCAGCTCGGAGTCGCGACAGAGGTGAGACTCAACAAGGTAGTTCATCTCAGGAACCGAGCCAAAAATCTGCACGTACACGACATTCTCGGCCGTATGGATTTCGAGCACAGTTGGTCTCCGCAACGATTTGCGAGCATTCAAAACGCCCTTTAGAAACAAGCAGTGGTATCGCCCGTTCTCGATTTTCTCGCTGCGAAGAGCCGAATCAGAGCAGAAGTGCGTGAAGTGCTCTCGGACTATCAACTCAGTAGGACAGATGCGACGATAGTCATCAGGATTGTCTGTCGTGCGCTGAAGGTCATCGAGCTCGTCTGGAGTCATCCTGTGCTGAGAAGAATCGGTCTGAAACATCTTCCGCACCTGCTTGCCATACTTGTAAGCCTCGTCAGGACGCTTCATAGTCTTCATGAAGCGTCTGCAACGCTCGTAGAGCGCAGGATCACGACGTTGCTCCGGAGTCTGTTCGCCAAGCCAGACTTCAAGTGCATCAAAATCGATCAGCCCAAGCGTGTTGTCCTCGAAGTGCAGATCCATGAGTCCCGGAAATAGCTCTCGAACACGTTCATGATACTGCCACGTGGTGATTTCTTCTGCACGACGCTTCCCAAAACAATCCCGCTCAATTATCGAGAAGCTGTCCTTTACACCTGGTAGCTTTGCAATACCACCGGGCGGGCACAAATGAGGAATCCACAGCGGCACTTGTGTCTCCGCTTGGTGCCACGGAAACCACTGTAGATATTTGAGGAAGTTGATAAGCACGCTGAGATCAGGAGTTCCCCAGTCGAAAAGTTTCTTGCTATGAAATAAGACACCCAAGTTCTACAAACACTTCAAGTTCTACAAGCAACATCAAAGAACAAGTTAAAGCACATCTGCCATCTGCCCGACATTCGACGCCTGACGCGCACGTCTCGTCATCGTGCCTCCACGTGCCTCCACGTCCCGAGTGCTGACAATCAAACTGTCCAGCCAAGCACGGATCTCATCCATGGCTGCAGCCGTGTCACCTGCGGTTAAATGCCGCTCAATTTCCTTCACCAAAAACGTACGCGCAAGGCCGCATGTGCTCTCCTTAGCAAGAACCCCCATCGCTGAGCCACTCTCTATCGCAGTAGCAACTTGCTGTGCCGTCTGCAGCTCGAACGTAGCAGGTGTGATCACTCTCTGAGGACCGTATGAGGTTGCGCTCTTAGTCCACTCGCCATACCCGTGGCGCCGCATCTGAATGTTGTCGTCTGATTGGAGGTCACTATTGTAACCCGAGAAAATCATGTTCAGCGGCCCTGATCGTGACTCGCCAAGAAGCTCTTCGGAGTGCGCCAGAATGAACTCCAATTCCTTTGGTACTTTGCCCAACTTCTCCGCCTTCTCGCGCAATTGATCCAAGGTAAGTTCCAAAGTGCTGCCAGATCCATACATAAGCAGCCGCTGCCATTGACCAAAACGAAAACACATCGACGTTATCCCACGAGCCAAGCACTGATAGTCAGGTTTTAGATTTGGGTAAAAGAATTATTTGCCTCAGCCTCCAAGAATAAACCGTCAGACTTTTATAATGAGAACAATCATGAAAATTTTCAGGATGACGATGGAGCAAATTGTAATCAAAGTTATCCTGTAAGAAAACGACTTCTAAAGAAGTACCTCTTCAAAGGTGCTCCCGAACAACTGGGCAAAATCTTGGTCATCGTTGTCGCTCGAATTCAATAACGACACCACATCCGCATCAACTGGACGATTGAAGGCCTTTGCAATGTCGCTCAGCTCCGCCGGGTATTCGTAAAAATGAAACTGATGCGTTGCAACTTGCATGAACTGAAGCGAGATCTTCATGCTATGATAGAAGAGCGGAACACCTCCAGCGACCTCGTAGATCAATATACGAAGCTTTGCTCCATACGACTTCAAGATGCACCACAAGACGAGGATGAATTCGACGCGTTCTTCAAGTGGTGTCTTGTACTTCTTGAGCTTCGCCTGACGAGGAGCAGCTGGCGGCTTGTTCTGTTCATAATCATCCGCACCTCCCTCGGACTCCTCGTCCTCATCATCAGCCTTGTCGTCAGCTTCTGCGTCCTCATCTAGAGCTTGTTCCTCCTCACCTTCCGCTGGTAGAAGCTTTTCGGCCTGCTTCTCCAAGGGGTCAACGCCATCCGGCTCCGCACCCTCTTTTGCCGCCTGTAACATCTCCTCATACTCATCGTCCGACTCGTCTCTGGCGTTTTGAATGCTCGGGTCTTTCAGCAGCGGACCTGGAATTTTTTAACACAAGTAGAAACACAGCTAGAAAAACTCAACACGTCAAAGCGTCAAAAGCCTGCAACACCCTCTCCCCCTGCGAAGACTTCGCTCGGCAGAGTCGAGCCCCCCCCAAAGTTGGACCCTCCTCAGCAATCAGATCGCGAGGCAAGTCGTTTGTTTTTTCGTGCTGCTGTTTCGTGTTCCTCGTGCAAGTTCAGCCCGATGGCGCAACTTCGGGGGTGTGGGATTATTGTGCTCAGCCTGACACCAGGGGAAAACCTTCAAGGCGCGAGTCGCGCGGCTTGCTTTTCTTCGGGGGGCTTGTTCTCTTGCGACCTGCTTCGGCTCTGGGTTCGGGGATATTGCTGAAGACTCGGCTACGTGTGTGGGCCGGTCCGGGAAACTGAACCGTGGCGGGGTCTTGCGGCAGCAGACAAGAGCAACAAGACACCGACAAGACGGAGCGGGGCATCTCCGTGAACCCGCCGAACGGGACAGGCCTTTGCCCGTTACTCCTCCAGAAATGGACACCACGCAAAGCGCCCCGGAGAGCCTGCACCGCGATCACCCTGCCCCTACGAAAAAACAGAACAAGCGCGCCTGAAAACTGTCAGCGTGGGGCTGATGGTCGAGGGTTGGCCGGCCTGGTTTTCTTCAATAGCCAGCCCGCGAGGCGGGGCGCACTTCGTGGAGATTTATAACACGCAGCCGGCGCATCAAGTCGCCGCCGGTGCCCATTGCACGATCGCCATCCAGTTCGCGCAGCTTACGGCAGCGCCCGGGGGTCCTCCGGTTTCGCAGGTTGTGTTGGCCCTCGGAACAACAGAAACCCCCACCCGCCTAATATTTGGCAGGAGTTTGCGGAGCAGCTTCGTGCCGTAATGGAGGACATTCAGCGGAAGAGGGCGGGAAGGCGCAGGACTTTGTGGCTGTAACATGGCGCATGAGGTGCGACCGCTGCCCGCTGCTCGGACGGCGATGGGCATGCGCAGGGGCTGCTGCTGCCTGCTGTCGTGGCCTAGCCACAGGCAGCGACATGCAGGGCGTTTTTATTGGGCGAATGAATTCTGTACTTTTTCAATCAGTTCAAAAAATAGTAGTACGTGGGCCAAAGTCAGCTCCTTTTGATGAATCAGCCAGACGCGTATCCAACTCGCGGTGAATCGCCTGCAAGTCGTGATCGTCATACACCAGTATCTTCTCACCGCCCGGGCCTTTGCGCGTTCTCAAGCGCATGCGCACCGCATCGCGAACGCCGGGGTAGTAGGTCAAAACGCAGTGATAGGCGCACATCTTCAGGCAGCACCAGTACTTTCGCAAAAAGCGAGCCATGTAGTTGTACTTCAAGTATCTCTTCGAACCAGAGAAGGTCGAAACTTCGCTCCTAGCAGCGAGGAGTCTGCGCTTCACCTGGTTCATGAAGTCCCGACTCACCCAAGGAGTTCCGATCTCCTGAGCCAACTCGTCTTTCACCGCTCCGACAACCAGCCACTGTTCCTGGTCAGTGAGACCGTACAAAAAGAGATTGATGAAGTCGGCGATCTTCATGGCATGATGTCCACCCACGGTTTTTCTCATCTTCAAGACGCGATCCGACCGACAAGGAAGGATACTTTCTGCCAGCGCTATCATGTCCCGCGACTCGCCGTGCTGGGCATCGAAGCGAATGACGATCTTGTACCCACGGCGCAACATGCGTAAGTAGTAAGCGCGTTGCTCTGATCCTTTATCGATCGTCATACTAGCTCGCACATCGTTGAACAACCGCTCACCGATCAAAAGGTCTTCCACTTTGGCCATCAGAGTCCCCTGCGCAACAGTGGCCTTGATTTGTTTCGAGTAAGCAGCTGGATCACGATGGACGTTCATGTGTCGCCGGATGTTGAGTTGTACATCTTTCTTCTTGAACGTTTTCATCTTCACTGGTGGCAAAGTGATGGTGCAAGGATGCTCACCACCGAAGAAGCGTCCTCGTACACGAATCTGTTCGTATTTTTTGCCACCTATGGTCACACCGTCCGTAGCGATGCCGACGGCTCGTCCATCGGTAATAGTAGGTAAGCCTCGCACCTTTTCGGACACAAGCGTGATGATATGCCCAATAATCTGCCACTGTCTAGCCTGATGTCTCGCCATATCTGGCACATCATCACGCGTCAAGTGCACTAGCTTCTCTGAGAACGGTGCCCTCGGAGCTCCTCCAACATTTCGCTCTACTGCGGTAACCGCAAAATAGTCGGAAATCTCAGCATCCAACAAAAACCGCCAACCTGGTGTGAAAGTGTGAGGCGCATGATCATTATGCTAAGACGAGGATACTCGTGGAACAGAAATCAGAAAGGTTGCATCTGTCATATAGCTCTGATTAAGAAAAAGGTCGCGGGAGAAAGGATCATAGAAGTTTCATACTTCATGGAGGAAAAATTTCTATGACAAGTTGTAACAAAAAACTCTACCCAACTGCAGCCCATGCACCCCATCCATGAGAACTCGATATGCCTGCGTCAAATAACATTGCAGCTTCTTAATCGCGTCGCCCGTTCCATAAGTCAACAATAACGCCAAATAATCACTCTGCGTAGATTCCTCGTTGTCGAGTGCTGAAGAGTTGTGCATTGGAGAAGAGTGCGGCAATGTGAGTAAATGAGTAAGTAATCACGTGAAGGAGAGAAGATGTGAGATATGTTGTTTTTGAGCGTTTCGCGGTCTAATTCGTCCGAATACAACAACTTTTAATTTGCCTACAGATAGTCCTTATGTAGGCACCCTTGTAGGCACCCTTGTAGGCACCCCTATCAATCATACAGCAAAAAAAGAAGGGTGCCTACAAGGGTGCCTACAAGGGTGCCTACATTAAAGCCCTTCTTAAAACGGACCTCGCCTACAGGGGTGCCTACAGGGGTGCCTACACGAGTGCCTTCCAGGCACCATCATCGGACCCAGCTTCCTGGAAAGACACACCCTTCGCCTAGACCTTGGGTACGTCAGGCCCTGGTAGGTCAGGGCGTGGTAGGTCAGGGCGTGGTAGGTCGGGTCTCACGGAGAACAGACAAGGCAGGCATCCGTACAACGCGCAATCCACCAACCGCGACGCCGCTGGGAACGAAACGGCGCTCCAAGCCTCACCCGCCTATTTCTGAAAGGCTTTGGGGAAGTGATGTTGTACGTTGTAGAAAATGACAAGACCTCATAAAGTTGAACTGTCGGCAGTGAGCCCGTCAATCAGGATTATCATGAGATGAAGCGATGATCCATTTTATGAAAGCAACACAGTCTATCATTGTGCAAGTACCTCCGAGGATACGCGAATCGAAAATTCCGACATGCACGTGATGGACGAAGATGTCGGGCTGTACGTCGTGATTGGATGTATGAGCGTCGCTCAAGCGAAAGCTGTGCCCGTTTTGCTCCAGCGGGTCGAGCAGAGTAATCGCAAACACAGTAGCGACCTCGTATTGGACAGTAGACCTGAATTGCCGGTTCTTGGCGTTCTTAACTCTACGCACAGCACAGTCGATCAACGCCGGTAAACTGATGAAATCCGGACCGTACTCAATTTTCGACATACGAACCCACTTGTTTTCCAGATTCATCGCTTTTTGATGATACCGCATAGACACACACCACAGCCCCGGAGTCGTCTGCCCCCACAACGCCGATTCCATCAGATCTAGTACACGCGTTTTCAATTTCGGTCCCGGGATGAGATCGTCCTCCTTCGATAGACCGAATTCGGGATGATTCACACAGGCCTCCTTGTAATCTAGAAGCTTGGGCATTTTTTCGCCCAGAAGAGGAAGATCGATCGGAAAGAAGACGACGTTCGGGAACTCGGTCAGGTATGTCGGCTCCAGGGCCATCGGGACCCCCGAAGTCAGCATTTTCTTGATTTCTTCGTGATTCATTTTGTAGCAATTCGTTAAAAAAGCACTGAAGTGCTCTGATATGTTATGTCATCATACACAGCACTGCTTTGCAACGCCCTCCCTTACAAGTTTTTTATCTATATTCGGCTGATTCAAGTCTGTGGACATGCACGTGATGAATGAAGAAAAGGCGTGAGTCTTTCTTTTGCGCGGATTCATCATGTAAAAACGAGCACTGAGCGAGGTGCTTCTTGGGGATCCGTTTGCATCATTACCCGAGCGACATCTTCATCGAGCAGCTTCCATTTGCGTCATGATGAACGACCGGGCCGAAACATGATCCACGTGCGGCAATCCGGGCTGACTTGTTTTTTCTTCGTGTGCAGCTGTCGTGGGTATCATCATTCAGCCACGTTTTTCTCCAACATTCTATGCAGAATACCAAAATGGGACTCTTTCAATATGGAAAGATAAATAACGAGCAAAAGAAATGAAACCAATGACATCAAAACTAGTATGCGTAACAACTTACTAACTTCTAAATCTTGATGAAAGCGTGTGTGTCCTCGGATATCTCTCATGCAGTACTTCTAGATGAAATTAAATTTTCGAAAATCAATATGATGGAACGCGACGAGAGGAGTTATTTCTCCAAGCATGTGAAATATAAAGCAAGGTCTACATTCCACATGAGTGGAGCAAGGAGGAAAATGCCAGCAAGCCTTGATCTAAATTTTCTAAAAAATCTAAATGAATGATTTTTGGGTCTTCAATCTTACACTTCCAGTATGTAAATATTTTGTTGTACTAACACCAACATGTTATAACATCGTCATTTTTATGATGAAGTAAACGCGTGAAACTTGGGCAACAACTTACTAGCAAAACGTCGTAAAACATGATGACTGAAGTTGATGAAATGAGAAGTCCGAGTATGATTGTTTTCTTGAAAAACGCAAGTCGCTGAATGTGTAGACGGATTACTTATCCTCTTTACCGTCGAAAAAGGTGCTATCCTCACTCATCAAGTTCCAATCTGTATCATCTCCTTCATCTTCATCTGCTACCAAGGATTCTACCCACCGCAAGTAATTCGCCAATCCCTGACCGAAAATTGGACGGTCATCTGCTGACGCGGAGGGTGCGTCACAGCTCTCGGACGAGATTAGAGATGGTGGTAGAAAAAGCGACAGACGGAGATCAACAACAACATCAAGGTCTTCGTTTACTCCTGCTCCCCGCGCTTCTGAGAAGCGTGCATGCTGCTGAGATCGCCGTAGGACGAGGACGAGGAGGAGCTGGAGGTCGAAGAGGAGAGCGAGTTGATGTTCGAGTCCATGCCAGTTGCCTCCTCCTCCGGTGGATGGTAGCTGGAGTCATCGTCCTCGCTCATGACCGGTTCCTCCAGGTTGATGCCCACATTGCCAGCAGCTGCCATGGCCGCTTCCAGCTCCTCTTCCATCCTGCGAAAGGCATCCGAGCTCAGACTGTCGTCGAAGTAGTCAGACAGATCCATATCGCAGAATTCGCTCAGACCGTCGCCATTTCCGATGTCTTCGCCAGCGTTGTCGCCACCACCGTCGGCCATTTCAGTATGGATGTCGCCTCCACCGTTTTGGGTCGTCGGCTCGTCCAACGTGACATTGCCAGACTGCTGCTGCTCCTGGTTCATCGCGTTGCCCTGGACTCCTGTGTCGTGCTGCTCGGATGTAGACGCGGTAGCGTTCATGCCGTTGTTGGACTGATTACGCGGCCCACGTAGAAGAAGCTCTTCATCACTGTGGTGGGTGAACTCCGGATGATGATCGTTGACGTTGGTACTGTCGCCAGCCGTGGCAGATGGAGTCGCTCCAAATGCTTCCTCGAGCAGATTCGGATCATTCAGCTGCAAGTCATCATCTTCGTTACCATTGATGTTGTTGTTGATCGTAGTAGGGCCTGTTGCTTCTTCTTGTTGTACATGATCATTGTTGGACTCGGAGTTCTTGGGATGGTCACGCATTTTAGCGGCACGCGCGCGTAACTTGGCGCGAGCACTCGGTTCCGCAAATTCGGGAACAACGTGATCATGTGTAGCTTCCTCGGTTTTCGTCGCTTTCTTCTTCTCCTTACTCTTCTTCTTCTTTTGCTCGTCACCATCACCGCCACGGGGTGCGACAGGTCGAGGCGTAGCCGGTTTCGCCTTGTTGGAGGTCTTCTTGGAGGTGGAGTCGGTGGTGGTGGACGGACGCTTCACCGGCGGCGCCGTCGGGGACGGACGGACATCATTCGGACGCTTGGAGCGACCACGGTCGCGGGCAGCACGCTGCTGCTGGCGCATAACCTCCTCCGGATTGTCGCGAGAAGAGCCTGGTGTTAGGAGATGAGAGGGCATTTATGGACTGCGCACGTGCGTTTATGGTTACGAATACAAAAGCACTTTCTTGGTTTTCATGTTTAACACTTCTAAAGCGAGACGAACCTACTCCCCGAGAGCGACTTGGATGCGGCATACTTGCTAGACTAGGATAGGTTATAAGTACTCGTCAAGTATTTTCTTGTGAAGAAATGAAACCACTACTATGAAGATCATACTATAATAGACCTGCTACAGCCTGACTGTGATTCTTTTAGGTTGGTCCGGAAGCTGCCAGCCCATCAACCCCCAAATTACACAGCGAAAACCCATCGCATATTTCTCAGTCTGTCACGCAGGCAGCTGTGAACAAAAAAACCAACCGCCTGTCAGGGATGAAGAACTCCAGATGAAGAGCTCCAGACGACGAACAGCAGACGAAACACCAGTTACAAGAAGCAGAAAGCTTCTACTGTGGTGCTTCGCACTGGTGGAGTCACGATAACGAGCGAAGCAGGCTTCACTCCCTGATGAGGCCTCTGAGCGAAGCCGCAACGCTGCTGACCACAACCAACACAACAACACCTGCGAGAGAGGGCCCACATTCGCGCGGGCGAATGAATGCGGCATCTGCACCGCAGCCGCAGGAGCCTTTGTAGCCCGGAACGAAACTTGCCGGGCGGGAGGAGCGATGGGCACTTTCATCAGAGAAGTGCCTACGCCAATACGCAGTCGCAGTTGCTTCATCTCGAGGACGCTAGAGGTCCTCTCAGCTCCCGAACAGCAGCTGATAGGATTTCCTCAACGAGCATTCAACATTGGGCACTTTGACACTGGGCACTTCGACAGGCGGAAAACACGAACGAACTTGCCTTGCCCTTCAGCATCCGGCTCTTCGCAAAAGAGCGACGCCTGTCGCATTTCGGGTCGCAATGTGTAAATGCGACGCCTATACTAACTCCACTGTAGAAGAGTCAGGAATGGTTGCGAAGTGAGTAATACGACTATACTAACTTCTAGAGAATCTTTCTAAATAAGTTTTCTAAATTTTAGAATATTTAGAAGTACATGCAGGATTCCCCGAAAAATGTCCAGGACCACGAGGCGGTGTATCATCACGGAAGGGCGAGCGTGGAGTTTCGCGGGAGGCCTTGGATTTCTTCTTCTTCGCCTTCTTATCGGAAGGGGAATCGTTGCGGTTGAAATGTGTGCCACCGCGGCCACCAGGGCCACCTTTCTCAGCTCCTTTGTTGTTGAAACCTGTGTTGAGAGTGTTGAATTTGATCTCGTTATGAGCTGCATGTCAATCAATATTCAATGATTTAGATTTTGACTCCTTCTTACAATACCAAAAAGATTCCATTTCTAAAACTCAGATCGCAAGGACCTATGATAACTATTATAGTACGCTTTGACTCCTGCAGCTGCTTGCGAAGATCAGCCATTTCCTTTTTCATCTGATCCATGGCCGAGTCCTCCGCTATGGATCTACTGCGACGCGGACGGTCGTGCGGCAGCCTCGAGTTTCCACGCTTTCCAGGGGTGCGAACAGGAGGCGCACGCCAAGACGAGCTGCGGCCACGGGCTGTGGAGGTCGTAGTGTTGGTCGAGTTGCGGCGAGATGGCTCATCACGCAGCGGCGGGCGATAGACGACCAAGGCGGTGCTGGGAGCTGAAGACGAAAGTAAGTTAGGCGATCACTCTGATGACGAAACACTTTGAAAAAGTACACTTTCCAATTACTAGAGTTCGGTGTTTTTCAAAAGGGCGCTCTCTCCAAGATCTAGATTATCAAGCTGAAGTCTATTAAAGTGACCAGTCTGGAAATCTTCTAGTATAGGCAATTCTAGTACCAGCTTGTCCACCATCATCATCTCCAGAAGAATCGTCCGAACTGCTCGGGTCACCACCTCCACCACCACCTTGAAACCTGGGGTGATCTGGATCGCTGGAGGAGAACTCGTCTTCGGTATTCCAGTTGCTCGCGCCAGACTCACCAGACATGCCTTGAGGCATATCATCGAGGCAAGTCGTGGGGGTCATCATGAACTGCGATCGCGTGCAATGCGCAGGCAAGGGGTACTCGTCCTTCCAGGCATTCCAAAGATTCATGCCCTTGGCTTTTTGGCGCTTCGGGACACGCATGGCTTTAAAGAACCAGCGTCGGTTCAGTCCCTTTGGTGTCATGCGTCTCCAATGGCGTGCCTTTTTCTTGATCTGGGAATGGGGTGGAGGAAAGGAGAGTGTAGGAGTGAGGGGGAATGAGAACTATACTGGATTTCTTTCTTGAAGATCATGTACTTGAAAACCATGTATTTGCTGACGAGGTACTACTACTTCTTGTACTACTGCTACTACTTGGTCAGGGTCTTAAGGATTGGGGTGCGCGCTCGTGGGTGGCACGGTGAGGCTCCGTCATCTCCGAACTCATTTTGATCAGTCCCTGGGCGACACGGCGGCTTGTCTTCTGGAAATTGCTCAGCGCCAGGGGATCAGGGTATCCAGCAAATTCGAACCACGCGTTGAGATTGTGTTCCGTACCAGGCAGCTCCTGCTGAATTTCTCCAACCTGTGTTTCAGGGGGAGAGTAAACCTTTAGAAAACCCAAGGCAAAGGCCCGACTTCATGATAGACGATGTCCTCCACTTAGACTATAGTATATATATCGCCACAAGACTCCGTAAACGTGAAGATGTACCTAAATCGGGTGGCATTCATAGACAAAGCACAAGTCTATAGTCGAGAAAAGAACAACTACCGGAACGGTGTCGTCGAGGGCTGCTGCCGTCAGCTCATGCGCTCGATAGGAAGGGATTTGCGGGTAGTTAATCGCACATTTGCCGCCCTTTTCTTGGAAGGTGGACTGGACGTCTTTGAAACGCTGTTGCAACACAGTCGGGTTGATCACCGTGCCACGTGCCGCCATTGTGGATACAGCAGTCTTATTTGCAATAAGACTAAACGCGAGTACCGGGCACAAAAGGACGATGTGAGAAGCAATGCGCAACTGCATGGATCTAGTGTTCCAAAGTCCCTCGAGATGTTGTAGGTTGGAAATCCGATGGATAAGACGAATGGCCTTACACCCTTGCTTTCTCTCTTTGCTAAGGTGGTGATGATATTTGGATGAAGATGCAGCAGAAGGCCAGCGGATCCCACTTACTCACTTTGAGGAGAAAGAAAATTTACAGGCATACTGTAAATAAACGGCAGCAAAGTGGTAGACGGAGCCCAAGGGAAGTCATATATTGAATATCCAATCATGATTCGACTAAATAGCCCACAAGAAACAAGCCTACGCAAGAAATTGCCCGCAAAGGACGTGCTTGTGATGAATGTTACAAACTGGCAGCTTTTTGATGGCAAGACTTCACCTCGCTATTTTGCTGTTGCTCACTCGTGCGGTGCTATTTGCTCACAACACACTGACGCGTCCCTCGTCTGGTTTGCTTGACCTCATGCTCTTTTCTCGCTTGAATATCCAGAACTGCTTCGACACTCTGATGCATTTTTCTCATTTCTAAGCCTCATAGTGCTTGAAGCCTTCAGTCCTACGTTAAAAAGTCTGCAGAAATGCACCGGAGGTGCCAGAATACAGCCGAGAGCAGAGTCTTCTTCAGCTAATTCCGCCACTCGTCTCAATTATTGACTCCAGAAATCATCAGCGACGCCATCGCGTGGTCTCTCATTCTTCATGTGGTGATCTCATAGTCTTCAGGACACCACAACACACCGGGAAAGCACTACTGGTACTACTAGAAGAGGTTTCTACTGCTGTGATGCTGCGGTGCTGTGCTGGTGGTATTTCTTCGGCTCCTCTGGTCGAGCAGTCGTTCAGAAGAAGCTGGGTCCGTGTCCTCTGCGCGTGCCACGCGGCTGCGATAAGATTATAGCTGATATGTAAATGAGAACTCTCATCATGCAGAAGACTACTAAAGAGTCTCGACGCTCTGTACTGAGAGCCCTTCGAGAGTTTCAAATTGTAGAGCAAATTTGGTTACTGGAACTGGCTTAACTCATAGCTCGTTCTAGCTCCGATCGAATACACGGCTCCGGTTAAATGCCATGACTCTGCTCCAACAGCGTGTGCTAGAGAAGCTTCGCATCCCCCAGCAGGGCTTCGCCCTCCGACACAGTGCCGCTCTTGCTACGGATGTCTGCTATCCGGGGGCACCACGTTGAGAGATGACGCCCGCGTCTGGCATACTCCGGCCACGATAATGCGACGCAATCTGCGTGATAGTGACCTCAAATCGCAAGGCGGAGCCCGCTATTTGCGAACGAAGACCGCAGTGAAACTGGGTGGAGAGAATTCAGAAACGATAGAAGCCCAGTCCTTGGCGCATGAAGGTAAGAACCTCTGACGTTCTGTGTTCTGCTCCTGTTTTTTGCGCCTCATAGTGGCTAAGCCTTAAATTCATAGGCTACGCAAGCCACAAACATCAACACAGAGTCACGAATCTGAAAAAAAGCGCGAGAAACATACTCAAACAGTGGCTCAGTTCTAGAAGTACAGGAGTGATTGCCCATTCTTGAACATCAGCGTCCCGAAATCTCGGTGTGAGCGGATTCTACCAAATCGACGACATATCTCGACGCAGGGACATTTCTACTAACCAGAATCAAAGATATTTAGTATAAGTTACTAGATAAAGACCTGATATATTTCCCGATGCCGCTGTCCGCTAGCGATGTCTGAGATACAACTCGTCAGCCTTTGCGGATCGCTACCAAGAATACTCGATGATAAATCTCACACCGCTGCACGCCTGCGAAGAAGGTTTCTAATACCAGCGACAGCAAGAAACTCCGCTCCAAGTTCTGCCGCCGACTTCCATGAACGTCCTTAAGCCGGACCTGCTTGTTTCTGGGACCAAGACTCAACTGAGAGGTCGACCATGCCTGGTCCCTGCGTCGCCAAATTCGGTGGTCCAAAAAGCGGGAGACAATCCATCGCGACGCTGCTCCTCCTATAAGTCTTGATGTCAAGATAGTACTCCAGTACAAACTTCGAAAAAAAATCAGTTTTTTGATCCTTTAAGGTAGGTCGGTAGAGAGGTCGGGTTTTTGTGAGCCTTAACTTCTGGACAAAAAAGGAGACGATGCATTCTTAGGGGAAGTAGTCTTAAGAACAGGAGGAAGACGAAGATGATGATGACGAATGAAATGGCTGAGATCATCAAGAACTGTTTGGGTGTGCGCTTTGGCCCCAATTCGCGATAAAACTTCGGCGCGTTGTAGTGGCATGCAAAAGAGCTGGAGTAAATCGCAATGATGGACAACATCATCGGGAAACTGACAGCTCCTCGTTCATCATGCTTCTGATCTGCCCATGCTTGCCCGTTCTTTGCGTCCTGCATCATTTTCCCACTCGCATCAGTCCACCAACTTCGGTAAAATTCATCGCCAAAGTAACCCCGCTTAGAAAAATCGAAAGTCACGTACACAACGGCGTAAAGCGTAAAAGCCACACCGGCAAAGGACGGCCACTTCAGAAAGTCCAGCTTCGAAAGCAACGAGACCGGAAAGACGATGAACAGAGTGCAGAAGAGGATCGGGTACAAGCGCCTTCGGGTAGGTGTGTTCGCTTTGAGACACCCTTCCTCGCCAAAAACTTGTGGTATCGCATTCGGCATGAAGTCTCCAATTAAAACCAAATACTGCATGCACGTAATGCTCCCGTTGAGAACGAGGAAGATGTCGGCTCGGATTAGAATATCATTCCTACTACATTTAGTAAAACGCACTTATGTAAAAATGAATGAGTGATGGCAATGTAATGACCCCTGTATTTAACTAACTAGTCAGTGGAATACACGCACTTATGTAAAAATGAAATTGCGAAGCCTACTCAGCTCATCTGTTCTGAAGAAGTAAGCGAAGTGTTCCTGGTGGATTAAATGTTGTGGAAGTGAATGCGTGGATCCAGCTGGTGCGGAACTTGCTTGCTTCTGTTTTCTAAAAAGATTCGGTCAAAGCAAGCTTGTTCTAGGCGCCAGAGCTCGTGGGTACGCCGCGACGAGCCACTATGTCTATTAGCGCTAGGCGCGTTTTAAACGTCCGGGCAAAATAGTGGCAGCATAGTGTCATAGGTCAGCGGACCCGGATCTGTTGCCTGGAGCACCAGGTGAGACAAATCTGCCGGTATGCTGAAGGGAAAAAATCGTCCCGCTAGTCAAGCATACATGATCGCCGGCCACGATCAAACACTTTCGAGTGTCATCGGCCTAGCATAAGTCCTCAGCTGAGAGGCCGCCCATAAGGAGGCTTAAAACAGTAGTGGATCTCCACTACTTAGTTATCTAACTAACGAGCCTAGCCAATAATAGACCATCACCTAAAAATGAACAGGCCTGTTTGAGAGCTCTCAAAGCTTAGTTCCCCTTTTTCATATAAAAACTTGTTCTCCTAAAAAGTAAAATAAAAACACATCTACATGTCACACAAGTAAGACACAGAAAATAACAAATTCAAACAAAGAAACAAATCATATTCAAAACTAGAGCCACCTTTCCCAGTACAAACCAGAAAAGGATGGCTGCAAATGGAGAGGAGCCTCCACCCAGCGATGTTCGATCCACCACCGATGGAGCCAGGAGGTGAACAAGAAGGAGCTGGTGGAGGACCGGCACAAGCCGGCGGTGCACCAGCTGGAGATGGAGGTGTACCAGCAGACGCTGGAGCCGGAGGAGCACCAGCAGGAGGCGTAATCCCAGGTGCGGAACCTCCAGGTGGCGCGCCAGAACTGCCACCAGTACTACCAGTAGGCATGCCACCACTGGGGGGACAGCCAGTGCATCTAGGTGGAGCTCCACCACAACCAGCACCGTTAGGACCACTTATCCCGGGCGCTGCCCCGCCACAGTTTCCGCCGCTCGGACCGCCGCACCCGGTGCCGAACGTAATACAAAACACCACCGACGACGAGATCCCGGACCATGCAAAGCAATGGGTACGGGACTTACGAGCTGAACTTGCCGACCACGACACGACAGCACTCCGACGATTAGGCCTCCAACAGCTGTTGGGGGCGATGGTGATGAACATCGTGATCCAACAATTCGAGCAGATTGCAGACGAACGCATGTTCATCCAGCTCGCAGGCGCGAGAGACGAACAAAATCGACCAATCTCAGCGTTCTCACAAGCGCGAATCGCGGCAGTGGTGCTAACGGCCAAGTTGGCTGCGCAAAACCAAGCAGACATCTCACCCTACGGCGTGATGATCTCCAGCGCGCAGATGGACAACGTCTGCAACGTCCTCGGCGTCAACAGACAAGGCACAAAAGTGGCCCGGTGGGGCAGAGTCGAGCAGCACATACACGCCTTACAGCAGACAAATCAAACGCTCGACTTCAATGCTAACTTCGCCCCGAATGTCGCAGTGGTGTACACCGACGGCAGCAATCAACATCTTGCAGTGGCGAACCCACCACCACCGGTAGCACCAGCAGCCAACGCAGGTGCAGCTGCACCTGCTTGGCAACAACAACCAGCACAACAACAGCTACAACTTGGCCAACTACAGCAACTGCTCGCCCAGCTGGGCTTGACGCCAGAAGTCAGAGCAGCAACTATTGCTCAAGCCGCAAACGCCATGAGCAACCAAACGGTACAGCCTTACGGCGGTGGTGGCCCAGTGAACATCGTCCACTCCCCCTACAACCAGGCGCTGATGCCAGACGACCAAATTGCCTGGGTTCGCATCTACACGGGAGATGGATGGAACCACTACTGGCACGACATTCAACAATAAGCCGCTTTCGCACCGGTATGGCGCGGCTCAGCACAGCATCCGCTGACGGTGCCATTGGACGACTTCAAAAACAACATGCGTCTAATGGGCATTGATGAGAGCGGCAAGCTCATCGAAGGCAACTTGCAACGCATCGCTGACAACCTATACGTGCATCCGGAATCGCATGCCTACAAATCCATCGAGAAGCTACCACAAGACGAGCGTCGACAATGGAGAAGACTTTTGGCGACACTACTGGTAAATGGTATAATGTCAGAGACCGACTTGGCTGAGTTCGCAGCCTCGTGGCGCACCAAGGGCATAGCCGCCTTGGGCGACTGCGCCGCGAACGCAGGAGTTGCCCGACCGGTA